GACATTTCAAGCAGCGGAAAAAAAAAGCTACGAATTTTTGGACACTGAATTTTTTTCAACATTGAATTTTTTGAGACTGAATTTTAAAACATCGATTTTTTTGACACTGAATTTAAAAACATTGAATTTATTTACACTGAATACTTTTTTGTTTCAGTTTATAGAATTCAAAAGCAAAAAAAAGTGTTGATAATAAAAACACAAAATAACCTTAATACTTTTGAGGCTTCCAAACAGTCTTCCTAGCCGAATTCCATGCTGACCATGCGGTTTTATAGGCGTGACTTTCAATAAAACGCTAGTTTTCATGTGTACGTTCAGATCTGGGCGGATCTCACACGTTCATAAATCCCACGTTGGATCTTGCGTATTCGGAATCTACACCAAAAATATACACCATTTTCTGCGCAAGTTTCATAAATGAGGGCCAGTGTCACAAAATGAAGATACATTTATTGATTTAATCTGTAATCAACATCTGTTTTATGTGCTTATGGTTGAGAGAATGTAGTCAAAATCAAAATGTCTTAGAGCTGTGCAATGAGATGAGGGACTGAAAAACAATCATTTTTCAATCTTTTGTAAAGCTTGTCTGAAAGTAGTGTGGCATAATTAATTATTACTTTACACTGACTGTTTTACTGTAGGGAACTTGGCACTTTGAAAGCAAAGCTACAAATTACATAAATATATAAAGTCATTTGTCTTAACTGTCCTTTCAGGAAGCACTAAACGCACTCAGTCTAGTATTAATTAGTGTATTAATCGGGACCCTGGGCTAATACACTTTTCCCCATAACGCCAGGCAAGCAGGACGACCAGACCCTCTAACACCTGGCCAACTGCCTTTGTGCGCCTGTGAAAGGTGCCAAGAGATGCCAACAAACATTCAAAAATGCTGTCCTCAACGGCCCCTTTGGTCCATGACCGTGGTGCATTTCCACGCTGCCACATATGGACGCTTACATTTTAATCTCCAGGAGTTCTGCAGTTCTAAAACTTTGTAATCTTTGTAGCTGTACCATTTCAAAATAGAATATCTTGCATTCACCCCATTTTCAATTTGTTTTTTTTTTTATCATAGGAAAACAGATAGTCTCAGAAACTTTATTATGTAAACGTAAACTTGAAGTTATGCCCAAAAAAATATAAACAATGTGATTCCTTTCTAAGACAAACAATGATATGTGATGGAAGCAACTTATGTGTTAACACTTCTTGCTAATGTGAATAACTCTGTTCAGATGGATGCTGTTATTATCCAGGTCGTTATCCACAACTGCTACCAGCCTACATTATCAGAAATACCCAACAAAACTGTCGTCAAGCTCGTTTGGATAGATTTTCTCAAAATAAATCAAAAACAGCCACCCACACTTCAGGGGCCCAGGGTGTAGAAACTGGAGTTTTGCTCTGAAACACAATGGAGCAGTCATTAGTTTTATCTAATCAAATATGACTTTGATATATTCATCATCAACAAAATCAGTCTTTATAAATCACCAGGTAGTGACCCGGATTCACATAATCCTTGTACAAATTTATTTGGACTGTGCTTTGTGGGAGAAAGACAGTTACCCCGGGTCTTTTGGAGTCGAGTGATTATCACATTCCTTTATTGTTGTCTTCTCAGTCAATGCTGAAGAAAGAAGAGGAGTATAATACTTCAGTAAAAATGATCTAGATGTTATTGCTTCATTTTTATCTTTTATACAATTACTAACATTGCATTACGGAGGCTGTTGAACTCTTCTACATTGAGGCCATATTGGAAGAAATACAGAGAAAAAATGCAACGCAGACATACAAATTATTTCAATTACTATATTATATTGTGTTAATAATCTCTTTGGTAGTAATCAGCAAGACTTGTCTTATTTATTGTCTTGTCTTATTTATTCTGAATACATAATAATAATAATAAGAAGAATTAATGAATTAATATTATTTTAAAGGTAATGCATGTTTTAGAAAAATCCAGATTGCTGCATCTTTAGATATAAGATCCCTTGTGATTGTGTCTAGTTTGTGATTGCCTGCTAGTTTGTTGTGAAAGAGACTACTGGTTTGACTAGTGCGAAATGCCAAAATAGATGTTAATGTGGCTGAGTGGATAGCACTCTCGCCTCTCAGCAAGAAGGTTCTGGGTTCGAATCCCCTCGAATTGTTAGACAGCAACTAGACAGGTTGGAACAGGGCCTTTCTGAGTGGAGTTTGCATGTTCTCCCCGTGTCTGCGTAGGTTTCCTCCGGGTACTCAGATTTCCCAATAGTTCAGGGTGAATTAGTGTGTTTGTAGGTGCGAATGTGGGAAACGGATGGAAAATAACCCATGGCTACAATCCAAGTTGATGTGTTCCATGTACTGTTCCAACCAAATAAAATAAATAAATAAATAAAACATTTCTGAATGGAGATGCCAGAAGGGTCAACTGACAAGACCAAAGATGTATGTGTGTATTGTCGCTGTGAACTAGTTATCAACGTATACCACCTGATACACAGTTGATGCAAACTCTCCTCCTCCGCCGCGTTCTTGTAAAAACATATATAATAACGCAACTAACAACAAACTGCACCTTTATTTTGTATCACCCTGTTTTGATCCCTTAAATTACACATGTTATACATCTGTTTATTGACAGCACATTTGGCATCAAGTGTGGATATGAAATATAACACTAGGGTTATTACAGGGACAGTATTTTTTCATCTGTAGTTCTGTGTCTCATATAAAAATATTGGATACACAGGACTTTATCCTTAAGATAAACCATGTTTGCCACACTGACAGTTAAAATAATGCGAGCTATTCACAATATTTACAAGGACAAGGCAAGAAAACATTCAGTCACACATCATTCAACAAACAATACACAAACATAAAGAGATAGACACAGAACACATACAGAAGCACGCAGAGCACTAGGTCAGCAGGGGGCAGCGAGAGCAGGAGGGGCCAGTGCTGACAGGTTTGTCTGGTTAGGTAAAAAAAAAACATTGCACACTGTAAGCCAATTCACGTGTCCACGTTGACAAGAGTAATACAATTATAATTCAAGGGACATAAAGAGTAGATAGAACATTTTGATTCATCATCGCAAAATGACATTTGTGCGATTAATCACAATTACAAAGAAATATTCGTTGGACAGCAATGATATCGTTGCATCTATAATGTTGGACATTGTTGGATCTATAATAATATCTAGATGGGGTCGTTCACTGCAAAGAACCAGGAGGAGCAGACCATGCCCAAATATGGGCGAGTTCTGCTAATCTTTCGGTCCCCATAGCTGTCCCATGCGCTATACTGAGCACAAGCCATTGATTTGAATAGGACAATTAAGCATAATAATCAATAGATTTATTGATTCGCAAAATATCTGGTGGTTGCGGCCCATAAAAGAAACTGAGTCACTGTATCTTAAGCTTTCACATTTGTTCTGATACTGTAATGACAGAACAAAAATCATTGCCACATTGAAAGGGATGGTGAGCAAGCTCATCATTTTATAAAAAAATGATAAAGTAAATTATATTTTACTAAAATAAACATTTTTGCTAGGCTATCAGAACATAACCAAATAAGGAAATCACATAATCACCTGTACATTCCTGGGTCACCTTACATGGACCACACATTCTAGATCTCCACAAATCTCCATAATATTGCCAAAATAATTAAATTTATAATAGTAATAATATTTTTTAACAGTCCTCAAAAACAATGTCTCTCTTGGAAAAAACATATGATTTAATTTAATCTTTTCTTTGTTAATAATAATGATAATAATGCATTGGTTTTATGTAGCGTTTTTCAGGACTCTCAAAGGCGTTTAACATGCCATTTTTCTTTCACTGCTTACACAGTGGTGATATACTACTACTGTAGCCACAGCTGCCCTGGGACACAATGACAGAAGTGAGGTAACCAGTATATGCCATCGGCCCCTCTGACCACCACCAGCCATGCACACACACAGACCAGACTCATTTTAGGCAATGCACCGCTCCAGAGGTTTGATGGGATCTGGCTTTCGCATACACGTGTTGCTTGTGATGCACAGATTTCACTGTTTTTCATGTTTTGTGTTTGAGGCCCATGCTTAAAAAAAGAAGGAAAAGCTGAAACTACACAAGTGACACCATCAATAAAAGACATGCAATGGTGTGTCCCTGAGTAATCTGCTGTCAATGATCAGGCTGGAATTCAGTAGCCTTAAGATCAGTAGCAGCTAGCTGACGGATTACACCCAAGATTAATGTAAGCACATTAAAATAACATTACAACAATAAGAGGCCATATGAGTGAGGACTACACAAGGCCTTCTTATTCTGACACTGATAATACTTTTTTTAATTTTCAGTATGAACTAGCACTATAGATCCAGTCATTATAGCTCATACATAAAGTTGGCAAAAACGTTGGACCTGTGCCAGCCTGGAAAATAATGGAGTTTCTGGATAACTATAAACAACTATAAAAACATACACCATGCCAAATTATTCTGTAGAAAATACCTTATTTCTATTTTTATTTTTAATTTAACTTGATGTTGGTTTATTTAGTCATTTACCACATTTTTTTTCTTATGCATTTATTCCCCTTAGTGAGACCCTCCAGATTTGATGATGATGTCAGAGGAGGATATTCTCATGGTGTATGTTGCTACTGTGGAAGCTTTGAATCCATTCAAATAGTTAAAAGCCTCTTATGGATCATAATATTCTCTGTTGTAAATGATATTATTGTATAATTGAAAATTCATGTGTACAGCTTTACTTGATGTATTTTCAATGTATGGCAATAACCCTGTGTGGAAGTCTTAGTGGGGGCGGCTCCAGGACAGTCTTAGTCTTAACAGATCTAAAAGCAGTAAGCCCACTCTCATAAGTACTATACAGGAAGACAGCACAGAGAACAGAGACAGTGGACTGCAAATGCAGTGACCAGTTTGAGTTGTAGCCGAGCTAAAGGACCTTGTCACTGGTCCATCAATGGCGGCCAAGGTAAGACTGTATTTACATTTTTTAATATTATTATTAGTACAATAACATTTGTCTGTATGACATGATAAGATGTCTGGTACTTTTATCTCATGCAATGAGAAGTACATGCACAAATATGAAAGCCACGTGTTATCTTGAATACAAAAAAAATAATTAATTATCTATTGTAAAAATCTACAGTTTACAACAATTATTACTTTTCTCTGTCCGTTCTGACCCGTTTATCAATGGGGAACAACAACAGGCTTTTCACAATAAGATACTATCACTGAAACATTGCTCAATAACTTATAGCTGCCCAACATATGTGCATTTATGTTTGTAAATAAGAGAAGAACAATATTGAGAAAGAGAAATAGGATTTGAGTCTTAGGCTATAGATAATCAGACAATGAGAACTGCTGAGCCTCTAAATGTCATTCATCTGTAAATAAGGAAATACTATCATGTGCAATGTGCAATACTGCAACTTCAGAATGCCTAATGGACAATGTCCCTTTCCTTTATCTACTTACACAATAAAATGCAAAACAATTTATTCTTATATAGCCCTAAATCACAACAGTAATCATCTCAGAGGACTTAACAAAACCATTGAAATCACCAACACAGATCAGAGAATCAACAGTTAAGACATAAAAAGAATATAGAATATAGAACACATGTTGATAAATGTCCATACATGTTGTAGAATGTTAAAGATAAGATAAGATAGACTTTGTTGATCTCACACAGGAGAAAGTGTCCTGGATCATTACCACAGTCCTTTTTGTTAGACACTAACTGTCCAACAGACCCTCCTACATCGGCAAGGAAAAACATACAGCATAAAACTCCGCACTACATAAAAATATATTTTTTTACACTTTAGTGCACATTTCTTCTCCTCACTTTTGCATATTTAAGAGCTGTTCTGCTATTCAGTTACAGCCAGAGGAGGTATAGCCACTTTCTGCTGCTTTGCTGCTCTTGTTTACATGCACTGCAGATGCTAGAGGAGGCACTTTTTAGACTGAATTAATAAAATACAGGATTATGTACACTATGTTGTCATTTATCTTTCCATTCAAACAACCATTTACAGAAAAATATGACATAATTTTGCAGATTGTTCAAAATGAAGTTATTAAGATTAATACATTTTAAAGCCAAAATTAACTCGATTAAATATATATATATTGTATATAAATATATATGGCTTTAATCTTTTTTTAAGACTGGCATTAAAGCATTTAAGAAAAATAGCTACCACTCATTTTGTATTTTTTGTGTGCTCTTACTTCTGTCCTGTGCGCAGCAACACTGAAATTTCCCCACTGTGGGACAGATAAGGGATTTATCCCTTTAGAAAACCTAATCTTTTTCTAATCCGCTGTGGCTTTATTCGTCCTCCCTTTTACTACAGCTGTGTGCTCTTACTATCACGCAGGAGTAATGTAAAGGTGTGAAATACCTGCATGTAGTGATGAACCAAAGTATTATCTATAACAGCCATTCCCAAACTCAGTAACACCGAGGCCCCCTTAAAAATTTGACGGGTCTGCGTGGCCCCCCAAAATAATAACCAAGAAGACAACATTAAGAATAGGCTCTTCTGGTTATTTTATTTTGGGGAAATAGCCTCTGCTACAAACATTGTAATACAAAAATGATTACAGTGGATTATTCAAGTCAAATAATGAACACAAATATTTTAATATTACAAACAAAACATTATAAATTTAACATTAAATAATTATATTATTTTTTTATTTTTTTATGACCTCCCGCGGCCCCCCTGCAGTACCCTCGCGGCCCACCAGGGGGCCGCGGACCCCACTTTGGGAGACACTGATCTATAAGATAGAACCATCTTTTGTGGCTTGTAACTTGGCTTTAATTCTTTGACCCTAACCTATAGCCTATGCATAACTACATAGAGACATATAGAGCCATTAGGTTCTTGAACGTTTTCCACTAAATGAAACAATCAAAATACTGCTTTAGTGGCTCAGCTGCCGCACAACTGTGGTGGTTTGTCATTTCAGGACGAGAAGCCAAATGCAGCCAAGAAAGCAGAAACACCAACGGGTAAGTGCCCATTCACGCATGGCACTGTGAGCCTTTGTGAAGGCGTTATTTGCACAAAATGATACTGAATGCAGTCATATAGGAAGGTGGTTGAAAAAGCCAGTTCTCTCTATTTTCAATGAACAACATAAACTCAATGAGTTTAATCAGTTTTGTGGCAGGGAGAAATATCAATACCCAGTTACAAATGTAAATGGGTGTGACATTAAAGAGAAGTCAGTGTGGAAAGTTGGGACCAATTATCGCTTTCAAATTCTAACCCAGTACTGAGAAGGGGCTCAGTGCGCAAACATGACCTGTGGGTGTGTAATAGTGGAAGTGCTGTCTATCAACACATTTAAAGATATGAAGTGAGTTTTCCTCAAAGTCATATTTTGAAATCAGTGATTCGGCTGTCGTTTGGTCAAGTTTGTTGTTTAATAAAAAGGCAATTTGAATAAAAAAAAAACAATTTTCCAATGATGAGCAGGAGTAGAAGGTTGAGGTTGGATATAGGCAATACTAGTAAACTGGGCATGTGATTTGTGCAATCATTGATGTTTTATATTATATAATCACAGCTGTTTGTATTTCAGCCCCAGCTGGAGCAAACCCTGGAGCTACACCTGAGGGGTACGTTTTACTGAAAGTCTACAGGTTTTGGAAAAATATAGACATTTGAAAGTATATACAGGTCAATATGTTAAAAATAACATTAGCTGCATTGATACTTATAGTGTCAAATTCTATTATCCGGACAAAACGGAGCACTGGCAAAGTGTAATTAATGAGATTGGCTGGAAAGATGGCCGACGATAGCAGCCAGCGATGCCAAATCCAGGCCGCATGCACACCAACCAGAGCAAAGTGGATTAAAGGATTTGAAGATTTCATCCTAAAGAAGCTCAGGGCAGTGTAACATCAGAGCAAAGTGTTAGAGCAACATGTGAATATACTACATCAAGAGTGGAAACTAAACACAATATGCATATGTTATTATGTGTGAGTTTGAGAATATATCTATTCAGGAGAGCTTTAAAATGAACTATAGCATCTGGTTGTTCCTCTTATCTGTCAATAATTACTCTCACTTTAAGCTGACAAGAGCACTGTTGTGGTTTTGAGCATGAGGTCTATTCATTTCATTAATTTTACCACCTCATGATTAATTTATGAAAGTGAGCATTTGCGTGGAGATATTATTGTTTTGCTTGGAATGTTACTTGATATGATGTAACTGTTAAAATTTCAATTATGTTAATGGGCTGGCTCATTTCTTGGTAGATTTGACATAAACTTAAGTGCAAATTCAGACTGGAACCCAAAGAGATGCCATGCGGCCACACTGAACTCCTCCCCTCTACAACAGCAACAGCTCAACAGCAATCAGACTCAGCTGCTCAGTAACCTGAGCTCTTCATCACTTCATGGCTGCATTTAAACAGAACCTCTTAGGCCATGTTCACACGTAGCCGGGTATTTTTAAAACCAAATATCCCCCCCCTCCGTTTATAAAACAATTTGGATCCACACATAACCGAACATCTGCGTTTTCAGTCCTCTGACGTCCTGCGTTAGGGGAAAACACAGAAGTGGGCGGAGCTTTGATGCTGACGCCGGTACTTCTGTAGCTGCACTTTTACAGACATAGAAGAAAATCAGGGTAAAGACATATGTTTACAAGCACTGACCCCCGTCCTCAGCCCTGGTTTAATCCTGGTTTAGCTCCTGTTTTGGTTGTTTTCGAGCGTGAGTCCCTGTGATCACTTTGCTGCTCTCTGATGTGGAGGATGTACGCTCGCAGCAGTGGACAGTTTTTAAGGCAGTAAGATCCATGCTTCCTCAGTGATCAGAAGCCGCACGTTTTGTTTGTTGTTGTTATGGGGGCAGACTGTGACGTGCGAAAACGGAAAACTCCGGTTATCTCTGTCTATATGCAAATGCATAAACAGAGTTTTCAAAAATCTCCACTTTGCCCGGAGGTTTTTTATATGTTCGTTTATGATGCGTTGTCATGTGGATGACAGGTGCAAACGAAGAAAAATATCTGCGGTTTAGCAGATACCCGGCTACGTGTGGACAGGGCCTCAGTTCTCTGCAGCTCAGGCTGCTGTTCGAGCAGCGACACATCTCCACCCCATCACCGAATCTTCAGTAGAGTATCATGTCATGTTTTCTTGGATATTTAGTTGAGTTCACTCAACAAAAAAATATAAATTAAACCTGTTATTTCATTGTGCTCTCATAGATTATTATTTAAGCCACAGAAAATGTAACTATAAACTAATCCAACTATTTCCTAACTGTTTGATTCTACAGTTTGATTCTATGCCATCTTTAGACGAGAAGAACACCCTCAGCCAATCATTTCCCCCGCCAAAAGTATCAAATAGTGACTATCTCACATGAAAAGAGAGCGTATATTGTGGTCTGACATGTTTCATCCTGTTTGGACAATCAACATGTATCAAGATAAGAGGATTAGGATAGCAGCATACAGGCAGAAGGAATAGAGTTAAGATTAAAATAAAACAATATTATAAAAAAACACTTTTGGAACCAAATAAAATCTTAATAAAACATTGTGGTACAGCAGAATAATAGCTATGTATTTCTGGATTTACTAGTTCGTGCTTTTATATTGTGTGAAAAGTCCATCAGAGATGCCTCAGATCAGACCTCTGTTTCCTAAGCAATTAGACCCCATTGGTCAGACCTGGTTCAGACCTTTTTACAGATTTGCCGTTTTCAAACTCTTCACAGCGAAGAAGCGCCTCCTCCCACCCCTCCACCCATCGTTTTAAACAGATATGCAGATGATCAGCTCCGGGCCATCGCCAAACGCATGCGCGAGAGACTGGAGATCTACAAGGAGAAAGCCACAGACCCCTTCGCTTCCTCTCCAGAGATCACTCCTCCTGTCAGTGAGTGACGCTCTCAACGATAATTACTCAGTTAAATGATGTAATATAGATCATGCATAATACTGATTTCTATCAGTATTACTGGAACATTTTTAACAAAAGTATTTTCTTTTGTTAAAGGAAGAAATAAAGGAATAATGAGACATACAAAAATAATGATACAAAGGAAAAATTGAAAACGGTCCAACAGATATACCCAGACACAAGCATATGTAAGGGATAATGTATCGTACACAGGTCAGTCCAGTTCGCCCTGACGGTACTTATTTTCCGATAATGACCTGTGTACTATACATTATCCCGCTTATTATACGGCTTTGTACAAACAGAACACACAAACAAGAATTCAGTCCACTCTTAGGAATGCCAAAAGGTTTATTAAATGACAGAAAATAAAATAGTTCCCAAAGGCTTTCCCGTGGCTATGCGAGCAACAGTTAGGCTTGCAACAGCTAGGCTAGTAACAGTTTGGCTAGCAACTCCCAAACTAGAACTCTCTGGAACTGCATGAAAACTGAACAAAGAATTCTGAACATCAGCGGTGAGTGACCCAAACATAAACCTAACCTAAATCCATAATTTGATCCTCTGCAAATGTTCCTAAAATGTCCCGGAATCTACTTGCGGGTTTTTCGCGATCGCTTTTTCTCGCATTAAAATAGTATTTTTTGTCATGAAAACCTTAACAGAAAATTCTGAAATCCTCCATGCATGTGTATAAAGAATGTATATGTCTAATGTATTCTCCGATTAACATTTAAGTGGGTTGATTGATAGGTATTGCCGTTTATTGAGCGTGGCTAGCTCCGGAGTGGCTGGAACTACTTCCGGGTTTTTTGCGATTTTTGTTCTCTCGCATTAAAACAGTTTTTTTGTCATGAAAACATTAACAGAAAATTCTGAAATCCTCCGTGCATGTGTATTAAGAATGTATATGTCTAGTGTATTCTCAGATTAACATTTAATTGTGTTGATTGATTGGTATTTGCGTTTATTGAGCGTGGCTAGCTCCGGAGTGGCCGGAACTACTTGCGGAGCAATCTACACATCTGAATTACAAGCAGAGAGTCCGTTGCCATGGGCAGCGGTCATTATTGTTTTGAGAGGTCCGTTATGACCGGTAGAACATTTTAAAATTGAATTCAAATCAATGGAGCATTCTACTGCTGCTGTGAGGAGTCGTGTAATAAATGCTTGTAACTATGGATGAAGTGCTTGTTAGTGGCTGTAATAGTGGCTGCAGAGAAGAGGAAAAAAAAAAAAGAAATATACAGTATATATATATATGTAAAAAGAAATATATATACATACATACACATATACACACACATACATACATATAAAAAATTATATGTATACAATATACAATAGATATACACACACCATATTTAGAACCCCTTCCCCTTTCCATATGTCTGGCCCCTCCATCTCCCACCATATGTAGTGCATTAAAAACATTTGTAAAATGTGGTGCATTAAAAACTCAGACATATCTGGTAAAAGATGGAGGGGAGATGTTTGTTTTTGTCAATGTTTATTTAGCTTACTTTTCATAAATATATATAGGTGTATGTATATTTAATAAATATCTACTAAATTAAAATGATAATAATATTAAGCAAAGGAATAATTAAGTATGATATTAGTGGTGTTATCAAGATAATTAATTATAGGGAGAATAAATGCATAAAATAATAATGATACTGCCACTGCCACCAAGAGGAGAAAATTAATAATAATAATAATAATAATAATATTCCAGTTGCAGCTTATAGTAGAAGACTTAAACAAAAAGGCAAATAAATGAATGATCAAGAGTGAGGAGGAGAGAAGCAAAACAAAACACATTTAAGTTGATTTCTGGTTAAGGAAGTACTGTGGTGAGAATATATGATTACATATTGCTGGAGTGTATTGATGTGATGAAGGATGACCAGATGTCGAAGGGTTCTGTTGGTATGGATTTTCCCCATTATCTGATGTCCATGTCCCCTCTTGACCAATCCAGTGGAACCTGAGAGTAACCTCACAGCCAGTATATAGATAGCTGTGATGGACGGTTTTGGGCATGCAACATGTAGGCCTAATACTGAGGACCAGAGCCTCCAGGGTTCTCTCTCTCTCTCCAACATCTCTCCTTGGTTATGATATTTTCTGTTATGTCTGTATGTATCTTGTGATAATTCAGTGTCATTAAATGTCCTCTTTTATATCTCTTGGTTTGGGCCTAGTATGTACAGTAACGATTACATTTTCTTGATAACAGGTTCTGTTGTGGATTGATTAGAGTGATACAGTATTCACTCATTAGATTTTTCCAGAATGCTTAAATGTTTATGTTTGACCTAGATTTCCAGTTCATGAGGATTGTTTTCTCGGCGCTGGTTGGGGCCACTAGCAGCATGTTTGTGTCTGAGTGAGTGGTTATTTGAGACAGGTCGCCAAGCAAACAGAGGGAGGGGGACATTGGGATATGGCAGCCCATAAGTGAAGAAGAAGAATTGATGTGACCTTTTCCCAAAAATGTGAGGTGGGTGGACAGTGCCAGAAGGCGTGGATATAGGTGTGCAGTTAGTGCAGGTGTCTGATGTGAATTCCATTTTGAACATTCTGTGCCCCGTGTAGTGAGTTCTGTGCAAGACTTTGTATTGTAAGATTTGTAGGTCTGTTTTTTTTTGTCATAGTATTGGCCAGATGCATCGACATCATCCAGTCACGTGATTGTGAATGAGCTTACGGCGGAAGTAGTGGAAAGTAGCATTGCGGCGAGGGCAAAACGGACTACAACTCTTAAAAACATGACTCCTCTCCTAAAACGAGAAGTGGCTGCTTCAAGCACATGTTCGATTACGTTATAGGTGAAAGTAGGACATCTTGTCAGGGCTCACTAAGTTAAGGATCGCCGAACTGGATGTTGACCCCTAGTCCATTTTATCGATAAAAATGAAATGTCCAATTTTGCCCGAATTCACCCCACACGGTCTTTATCATTATGTTGTTAATAATGAATCTCCTCACACTGGGGCAGATTTAAATGTAAATTTGGCTTGTAGCATTAGCACATTAGCAAAAAAAACGCAACTGACGTCAAAGATAAGCTAGATCTTTTATTCATGCCACAGTGAGGAAATTTCAATCTTGCAGCGCACATACAGGACAGTATTAAGAGCACACGTTTGACTTCAAGCGTTACTTGTGTCATTGTCCTTCAAATAAATTAATGGAAAGAAAATACAAAATTGTGATTGATTTATCTTGTAAAAAGTGTGCAAATTTGGGAGTACTTGGATTGCTCCCAGTCCTTTTGGTTGATTACCGCTGGCCATCGTCGTCCTCTTCATGACGAGCAGGTATCAGATAAAAAGACACATTTGACTTATGTCCTTGCCTGTTAGTATAACCAACCGCACTGCCAAATTTCACAGTTTTGGCTGTTATTAGGTGAAACAGGTTGTTTTGGTCAAGTTTCCGAAGGCTCTTAGACTTCCGCCGTCTGTCATGGAGAGTGGGCATGGCCAGGATGTCACATGCAAGGGGTCAATATATATTTTTGAGAGATTTGAATCCAGGACTTGGCATTGAGAGCAAAGGCGATGTCGATTGCACATTTGGAGGTTGGGAGAACGGTTGATTCGTCTGAATTCAGGATTAATTTGTAGATTTTGGAAATGAGTTTTTTGGATGTATTGATTCTGATCATGTCTGCAATTAGTGGCGGGAGGTTTAAATTGATGGGAGTGTTTTTTTATGCGGTCATGGATGATTTCAGTTGCTCTTGATGCCATACTCCCGGACCAGGGTGGTGAATGAAGCCAATTTTTTTGTGGTGGGTAATGTGTTGTAAGTGGGTGATCCCCTTTACCGCCCCTGTTAATAGAGTTTATAGTAGGCCAAATTAGTGCTAGTGATTTTATATAATACCCCCCAAGCTGTCAGAGTGGAAGATATAATTAATGATTTGAAAAGAGGGTGTTTTTTGTTTTGTTTGACTGAGAAATTGTAGGTCCGAGATCTGAAGAGGGGTGCAAAGGGTTTGTTCGATGTCTATCCAAGTGTTATCTGCTGCTTGCGGGTGAATCAATTTGAGAATGTATTGTAGTTGGTTTGCAATGGAGTAGAGAGTGAAATCTGGAGCTGTGAGTCCGCCAAGGTTTTTGGGGTTTTGTAAAGTGCTTAACTTTATTCAAGGAAAATTTTGAAATGATAGAATCCAGTGATGTAAACCAGAAGTTAGGGGGGTGGGTTGGGATCATGTTGAATAGGTAATTAATTTTAGGAAGGATCATCACTTTGATACTATTTATTCTGCCAATGGGAGAAAGTGGTTGGTTCGTCCAGGGAGTAAGTTGTCCTTTATTGTTTTTATTAGTGATGTGAAGTTGAGGTTAATGAGCGATAGGCGGCCATATTCCAGATGTTATTTTGTAAAGGGAGGATTGATGATTTAGTCCAGTTGATGGTGTAGTCTGAGATCTTGGAGGATTGTTCTATGACCTTTATTGTTTGTTCTAGCGAAGATTGAGGGTTTTGTTGGAAGAGAAGTATGTCATCTGTGTGTAGACTAATTTCATGCTGATCTTTGGATGTTTGTACTCCTTTGATGAAGGTATCTTGACGGATGGCTGTGGCGAAGGGTTCAATGAATATTGTGAAAAGGAGAGGAGAGAGGTGTGAAGCGAAGTGATGTGAGTCCATTAGTAGTTGTTGTGGCGGTCGGTGAGGTGACTATTGCAGTTGGTGTTTTGTTGTTGTTGGGTGTGGTCAATTTTGTTAAGAATTCTGCGAGTTTTGTTTGAGGAGAATCTGCTTATAATGAAACTTGTTTGATCTGGGTGGATGATATTGGTTGGAAGAATTGTGTCTAATCTATGGGCTAAAGTTTTGGTGAGGATTTTGAGATCTATATTCAACACAAAACACCATCACATAATTTTAACATTGTTTTATATTGACTCTAATGACTGAACAAAACATGTCCAAATATCATGTTTATTGTGTGGCCTCAGCTCCGATCCTGGGAAAAGCAGAGTTTGCCCGAGTGATGGAAGAGCGAAAGCGACAGGCCGAAGAGGACAGCATCAAGAAGGCAGAGGCGGACAAGAAGAAGAAGGAGGAGGCGGATAAGAAGAAACAGGAAGCCGAGCAGAAGAAAAAGGAGGAGGAGGAGAAGAGGAAAGCAGAGGAGGCCTTGAAGGAGGTTCCCAAAGTCCCACTGAAGACCAGACTCAACCAGAAGTTCTGGTCCATTGTGGACATCACTCTGAAGCCGGTAGAAGATGGGATGGACTCAATTCTGGGTGTCACCATCGATCCTTTCACTGGTAATTTTAGCTTCACCATCTACCAAGAACTGGGCACATTTATAACCAAGGCTATTATGCATTATCCGTCCTGGGAAGAACTTTTATGTTAAGTTTTTAGATTTTTTTTCTGGGTTTGGCATAGCACTTATATTTTGGTCTTCAAAACCCGAAATCTGTATGTCATTTTAAAGCTTATTTTCCCATCTACATTAAAATCCAAGTGCAGGCAGTACCAGACGTTACACTAAAAAGTTATAAAGTATGACCTGGGCACAAAATATAGCTTTTCTTGCATTTTGTGCTATAGTCTGTCATATTTTAGTAATCCATGCTTGCTGTGGGCTATTAATTCAAAGACATTACAAGTTGCTCCTTCCCACTTTTCAAAAACTACATTGGATTTGGCCCTACAACAAGATAAGAGATAAGATAAGATATTCCTTTATTTGTCCCACAGTGGAAACATTTCAGTGTCATCATTGCACACATTACAGCAGAGAAAGAGGGCAATAAGAGCACTTAGATTGCACACATCAAATAGAGTCTATTATTTAAGATAATAGACAATATAATTGAAATAAAATAAGAAGTTAGTAAATAACTATGCTTGTGTCCTCTTCTTTTTAGCTAAACAATGAGACCTCGGTTGAGGCAATTTGTGCGGTAGTTTACATACTGTGAATATATATGTACATACATATAAAAATTTAAAGGAATAGGCCACCGTTTTTACATACTGACATATGTTCTTACCTTACCTTAGACTAGTTGATATGTACCTGTCTGGTCTTTGTCCGTGCGCTCTGTCATGCAAACGGAGCACAAACGCAGCCTCTTCCACATACTGTATAGTAACAAATCAGCTCCCGTTAGAAGCTACCAAACTCTTCCACGTGTTCCCTATTTAAATACAGTTACGTGACGTGTTACACTACCAAGTATAGTAACACAGAAATGTAACATGTCGATTTTCTCAGCAGATAAAAAGGGGTACTATATTGTGAGGCGTAATAATACGAGGAGCGCTACGTCCGCGCACTAACTCTAAAGACTTCTCTCCCGCTCACTTCCATCAATAGAAGCAGCAGGAGCGGGAGAGAAGTCTAACGGGAGCTGATTTGTTGCTATACAGTATGTGGAAGAGGCTGCGTTTGTGCTCCATTTGCATGACAGAGCGTACGGACAAAGACTGTACATATAGGTGCATATCAACTAGTCTAAGGTAAGGCTATTCCTTTAAAGTGGTTCTCACCCCCGCTCCTCGGAGCTTACGTCACTCACATTTCCTGTTCAAATCTTCCTCTAAATGGGCGTAGCCTGGAGGACTGAAGGGGGCGTGAACGAGACTGGGCCGTTTACATTGCTCTGGGCGGGGGGCTGCTGACGTCAGGTCCAACTTGCAGACGTCAGGTCCAACTTCTGTGCCAGTGTTGGCGCCAGATTCAAAATTCAAATGTAGTAATACAGGTCGCCAGCAGATGGCGCCTCACAGACGGTTTTAGGCAGAAAGTTTAACTTTCAACTAATTTGCACCAAAGTGACAAAATTATGACCAGGATATGTAGACAACACTATTGGACACTCATTTATACCGTTTATCAGCAAAAAAAAGTGGATTTGAGGGTGAGTTGTCCTTTAAGGGCGACAGTGGCTCAGTTGGTAGAGCATCGGCCTTTGAGCTTGAAGGTCGTGGGTTCGAGCCCACGATAAGACCTACTTCACCACTCCCACTGATGACTGCTGTCGTTGTGTCCTTGGGCAAGACACTTAACCCCACTTGGCCCGAAGCCCCCGCTGAAAGATCTTATCTCCTGTGGACTCATCACCTGCAGGAGGATCAGTGAGGGGCTGGTGCTCTGTAGTACACAGAGTGCAGAAATGGATTAAGGGGGAAGAAAATGGATGGATAAAAAATTATTATAAACAGCCGCTTTTGTAAATGCTAGATCAATGCTGCAGCCTCGTTCCTGGTTTAGCGGTAGCAACATTGACGCTTCCACATCTGCATAGGATGGACTGTGATAAAAGAAGAAAAGCAAAATATGGCACCTTGAAGTACCAAAACAAAAACATTTGTTTTTTGTATGTGATGGATGACCTATAATTTGAGAAGATGAGTTAGTGTGCCAAATCTTGTATAGCCATAAATCACAACAGCAATCATCTCAGATGACTTAACAAAACCGTTGAAGTCGTCAACGCAGATCAAAGAATCAACAATTAAGACACAAAAAATATAGAACACATTGGTCAATTCCCCATAGACCAATACCTATGTCCATGAATGTTGATAAATGTCCATACATGTTGTATAATGTAGTGTCCTGGATCATCACCACAGTCATTTTTGTTAGACCACTAGTAGTCTAACAGACCCTCCTGCATCGGCAAGGAAAAACTATGCAAAAACATTTTAGTATGCCCAACTTTTATGCACAAGCCAAAATGAGGTGAGTGCTAAGAGGTATACAAACACATTTTACATTGTTATTTTGTTATTGATGCTCACACTCATGCTGACTTGTGTTAAGAAATCACTTTAGTTCATGTTTATAACCAGGACAGAGAAGAAACTGTCGGAATGTTGCTCTCCTGAGGAAACTTTCACATTTCCATTGGAGGAACCTGGTGTTATGCTCCATCACACCAAGTTCCTCCAATCAGGGCTCCCTTCAGCCTCTGAGGAATTATGAGCACACTCAGGGCAACAAAGGCTCCACTGTGCAAACATTTAAACTATATTGGTCTTTATAATTAAGGTCCTGCACGTTGTTCCACTTTTATTTATATTTATTTATTTATATTTATATTTATTTATATACCGCCTTTTCACTGCACATCGGAGTCTCAAAGCGGTTTACAATTGTTATTTTTTGGGAGTGGGGGTGCCAGTACAGGAGGCACATGTCAGACCTATTGTACATATTTTTAGTGTAGGGGAAACCGGAGCACCCGGAGGAAACCTACGCAGACACGGGGAGAACCTGCAAACTCCACTCAGAAAGGCCCTGGTCCAACCGGCATTCGAACCCAGGACCTTCTTGCTGAGAGGCGAGAGTGCTATCCACTCAGCCACCGTGCCACTTTTCATGAAATACTGTCTAAAAACACTGAAATACTAATTTTACTGATATACATGGAAAGTTTCAGACAGTAGAGTGGATTGGAATACCAACTATATTACAGTATATATCCAATAAAAGACCAGCAATACTTTTATTACTGTATTTTCATGAATGCTCTTTTTGCAGATCGCCGGTACATTGCCTGGCTGAGTCTAGTGACCCTTGCCTTCAACTACAACTTATGGTTCTTGACTGCGCGGCTGTGTTTCCCGTATCATACTGATGAGGCCATCAAGTTCTGGTTTTTTCTGGACATTCTGGCTGACATCATCTACCTCATTGACAGTGTGCTTTTCCAGTCTCGAACACAGTTTGTGAAAGGAGGGGATATTATTGTAAGTTTGAGTTTTGAAAATAATTGATAGATTTATCTGAGAATTGTCATAAAATGAGGTACACATGTTGTGTATGTTGGCTGAAATGTTGTACATTGGAACGTTTTTTGCAGTGTCTGTGTTTGTGTGTGAGCTTTCAAAAGTTGTAAATGTTCTGAAGATGTTTTTATGCTCCATCCACGCTACTATCAGTAACTTTTGCCAAAAACATGTCTTGTGCCTTTTAATATATTTTCCTCCAAATTAATTTTGGCAATTTCTCTGTGTTGATGCTGTTTTAACATTCAGTCCTGCCTGACAAAAACACAAGGACAAAAGACATGGTTCTGCAATTTGTAATCTTGGTTGCATTTGTTAGGAATCAGCCAAAGTCTGGGATCGTGTCTTTAATTCAGACAGAAGACATGTTTTATTGTTGATGGTAGAGACAGCACGAACCACACGAACAAGGGATGTTACTGACAACAAGTGGTAATAGACCTCCAATCAGCAGCTGCCACAGTTTGCTTGTAGCTTGGCCTTGAGATAACCAAAACAAGGGAAAAGTACTGGCTCGTACAAATGTAAGAATTAAGAGTTTGAACTTTAACCACAGTTGCTTAAAAGTTTTATGGAATCACTACATTCCCCCCTCTGGTCACAGATTCACGTCTGACCATCAGGATCGATAACAGCAGCATAACATCATAACTCAATACTTAAACTCGGTACTTCACTCGGTACTTCAAAAAACTCAGAACTCAGAATACTTCAAAAACTCAGAAAACTCATAAAACATGTTCAGATCTTTCATAAAACCCGTCAACAATCTTCAGTAAAATACCAAACTTCATCAGTCGATGGTTCTCAAAAATTGCTTTGAAAACTGTCTCTCCCACTTCTCCGTGTTGATTTCTTCAGGCTGGATTTGTTGTGTCGAGCCATGAATTCTTCTGTGACGTGTCTTTCAATCACACGTTTCAGCTTTAGTGTCCAGATTCAGCAAACCAATTCAGTCCAAATTATGTCCAAATTCAGAAATCCAGATTGTTCCAAATCATGTCCAAATTGTGTAGTCCAATTGTTCCAAATTCTTTCCATGTGCTGATCCAGATGCATGGTTTCTCTTAAGGTTTTTCCATTTTGTCTTAAAAAAAAACACATTTTGTGTAAAAAAAATAGTCTTCTGTTCTGTAGATGTTACAGACAATGCCTCCACCACCTGTTTGGAATCAGCCAAAGTCTGGGATTGTGTCTTTAATTCAGACAGAAGACATGTTTTATTGTTGTTGGTAGAGACAGCACGAACAACACGAACAAGGGATGTTACTCACAGCAAGTGGTAATATACTCAGGAGAAACAGAGACCTCCAATCAGCAGCTGCCACAGTGTGCTTGTAGCTTGGACTTGAGATAACCAAAATAAGGGGAAAGTACTGGCTCGTGCAAATGTAAGAATAAAGGGTTTGAACTTTAACCGCAGTTGCTTAAAAGTGTTATGAAATCACTAAACATTTTCCAAGGAGAATTGATCTTTGAAACAGAGACAGAGCAGAAAGTGCTTTTTGCACTCCTTTTTGATAGACTACAAGTCCAGCCTGAAGAAGATGACAAAGTCTGGGATCGCGTCTTTAATTCAGACAGAAGACATGTTTTATTGTCGATGGTAGAGACAGCACTAACAAAGCACACGAACACAGATACAACAGAATGCAAGTGTATTATACAGAGCGGAGGCATGGAGACCTCCAATCAGCAGCTTCCACAGTGCCATGTAGCTTGGCCTTCAGATAGACAAAACAAGGGAAAAGTACAGGCTTCTGCACATTGATAGAATGATGAGTTTAACTTTAACAAAAGTTGCTTCAAAGTGTTATGAAATCTCACAGATACACAATGGGACCTTGTGACTGTGAGGGCCAGATATTTTGTCTTGCGTTTGTCCACCTGCTTAAGCCATAGTTATCTATCCACCATATTATGCAATTTCAGAAAGATCGAGTGATGACCAAGAAGCATTACAGAGCGACAAACAGATTTAAGGTATGTATCATAAAACAAAACATCTCAATATTTCACCCAGGTATTCATCTAAGTGTTCTTTATTGTCGTCAAACAGATGGACATGTTCAGCCTTATGCCCTTTGATCTGCTGTACTATCAGTTTGGCTTCAAATCCATTTTCAGATTCAACCGTATTTTGAAGGTAAGTTCTCTATAACCGTGTAGTTTCATATGTTGCTTGAAATGTTTAATATCACAGGTTGAACTAGTCTGGCAATTATAATCTCAATTATAATTTTCCTGCATGTAACGTCTGGGTCTGGTCCCTGTGTTTGCGATTACAATCAGTTGAATTCCATCCGACCAATCAGCGAGCGCGCGAGGCGGGTTTTGTAGTTAGTTGTGGGTGACGTCAAGAGTTTGCGTCGAACGTGCAGGTTGTCGTTTGGCAATGGCAAAAAATGTGATAGCACAGTAATCTGGTCTGGTTCTATCAAGAAATTGAAGCCGGAGCAGGAGGAATGTTTTGCAAATGTAATCACTGGCAAAAATTGTGGCGCTACTCCGTTAGCGGCAAAGGAGATGGATAGGCTAAACGCTTAATGCTAACGGCTCACTTGGGCGCATCACATACGTGACGGTAAACTCAGATTCAATCGTTTCAATCTGCAAAAGGAGTTAACCCCTACCACCTGTTAACAGAGCTCAATGGAGCACCTCCAGACCTTAGTACAAAATGTAATTTGTACTATGGTGTGGTACGACCAGGCTAAGGTTGAACCATTGCTTTTGTGAAAATGTACTTATGGTAAAATAGTTAATTTTGGGACCATAAGCCGCACATGAATACATTAATTGGCCGCACCTCTTATAGGCCTATAAAACGGTGCAACCTATAAAGCGGCTAGTTGTATGAGCTATCGGAGGTACATTTACTGTCAATATAGATTGGTAAATGCCAGCAAATGTTGCCTCTTCAGCGTTGATTGTGTTTTTTCTCAAAACGCGTTGTCCACAGCAAAACAACAGTGCATCAAGAAATCTTGTCATTAATCAAATCATATTGTAACCAGTTAAAACAGCTGTCTATCAGCTTTGCTTTGCTCCATCAGATTTTGCTTAAGTGTTGTACCATGGCATGGCTTATGATATGCATTTGGACCAAATGTGCTTTATTTGAAAATGTAGGTTTATATACTTGTGCGCTAAATAAACCAGCAAGCACTATACAAAAGTGTTTTGTTTTTAAGGTGGAGTCATTCTTTGAGTTCAGTGACCGTTTGGAAAGTATAATGGCTAAAGCTTACATCTGGAGGTAGGTCTTAAGTCTTGGAGAATATGTAAAATAGTACAAACATAACTATAAAGTGTAAATTTGTCTCTACTTTTGTGTCAGAGTGATTCGCACAATTGGATATCTCCTTTTCATGCTTCATCTCAACGCTTGCCTCTACTACGTGGCTTCGGATTATCAAGGCATCGGGCTGACCAAATGGGTGTACTCCGGACAGGGCAGCGCGTAAGTCTATACATTAAATGTTTTTCAATAGCTTTATCAGAGGGTTGTCAACATGTTAGGTTTCACATATTTCATGGTTTGCATTTCATAGAAAATATGCAATAAGGGAAGATAATTTGTGCGTATCATGCAGATGTGGAATAGGTAAACCAAAGGAAAAGGATGAAAAACTTAGTATTTAAAAAAGCACGGCAGCTTGTCAATCTTTGCTGTAGGTCTAATTGTTTTGTGATCTGTCCGTGATGCTGCAGTTACCTCAGCTGTTTCTTCTATGCGGAGAAGTCCTTACTGATGATCGCAGAGCTGCCTGTTCCAGACTGCATGTTCGGACAGATCTTTCAGATGACTAACTACCTTTTTGGAGCTTTCTTTCTGTCCGCCATTCTTGGACAGGTAGCTCTAACTGTCGTGCTGTGCTTTGTCATTGGCTTGTGTGCATGAATGTGCTTTGAACAAGGATCTGATAGGCAATGTTGTGGAAATATTATGGGAATGTTAAGTGCCTTTTGCAGCTTTCATTGACAGCTCAATACCGTTCATGTAGGAATTTCTGCTCCAACTTGCAGAATATAAGTAAACGTCTCAGTCACTGTTCGTGTCACATTTATCATTTTGGGATTGACAATCTGTTTGGAGCTCTATGTGATTCTGTTGTTGATTTTGATTTTGTCCTTGTAAATCCATTTTTGAGCCATATAGATTGACCGAACTTCAGCTTGCCTTAGCAACCATGTCAGCAGCAGGTTTGGAGCCTTTGCAGCGTGAAGCTAACCCTCTTGGTGGCTTTGCTTTGGCTTATGCAAAACAGTAAAATTTAGGATTTGTATAAAGCAAGTTTCCTACCCACATTTCAACACTATGATTAGAATGGATTCAAGTTGAGTTAGTTAGGCTTATAGAGGGACAATGGCTATACTAGAATAATAAAACATAAAACAATCTGCAGTCTACAAAACAAAAAACATAAAATAATGTAAACTAAACACGTGTGTATAGAAATGAATTAAAAAAATTAAATGTCACAAATTGAACTCTTAAAGCTACATTTGACAAGGGAAACCATATTGCCCGTTAGTTGTTCATTTACAGCTATTGCACAGCCACACACACACACAAGACACAGACACAGAGAAGTGTATAATGAGAAACATTCAGGCAAAGCAATAACTCCACAATTCAGATGGGCCTGTACCTAAACAGAAGATGGAAATATAAACACACAATATTTTCCAATGTCTTGCCTTGGTTTATGTTTAAACAGACGCAGGACATGTACCAAACTGTAGGAGTTTTTCTGGGACCAAAACACATCCATAGTTTTTTTTTTGTAACACCCGCTTCTCCTCAGGTACCTTCGCTGTTACTACTACGCTGTCCGCAGTCTCATCAACATCGGGGGCCTTAACGAGCCCCACACCGTCTTTGAGATCACGTTTCAGATGACTAACTTTTTCACGGGCGTCTTTGTGTTCTCCAGTTTGCTGGGACAGGTAAAAGACAAGGGCCCATAGCTCCAGTCTTCCACCGGCTCCCATAGAGTTCCAGATCCACCCTAGACCATTCACCAGTCTAAATAGTTTAGCCACTGTATAGTTTTTGTGTACATGATTAGTGAGCTTGAACTACAAAAATGAGTAATTATGAACTGAAAATAATGGGAGCTGTGAAGATAGCAGAGCTTCCTGGTTCAGGAGAGAAAAATTCACCATACAAAATTTCTAGGGATTTTGAACCTAATCTCTGCCTACGCTTCCGTGCTAATGGGAATAATATTTTTGAATTATGGATAAACCATTTCCGAAAAAAATATTATCTTAAAAAGAACCAACATTTGCTGGTGTGTTTCCATGTTTCTTCTATAGATTAATGCCAAGAATAAAGCATGAATGATAAGAAGAAGAAAAAAAATATCTATTTCAAGGTCCACATGTTTTTGAGGACTTTGTTTTGTTGTAGTTTTTTCCCGTTATGGTCATTGCAAAGAACAGAGTGACAATCACTCAAAGGTGGGGTTACCTAACTTTTAAAGATAATAATGATAATAATTATAATAATTGCAAATTTTGTTTTCCAAATAAAGGGTCTTCCCAACAAAAAAATGTTTTAGACCGTCGTGAGACAGGTTAGTTTTACCCTACTGATGATGTGTAATAGTAATAATAATAATCCTTAATGCGAAAACCAGTGATTGAACCAAAGTCTTTTGAGAGCTCGTTAAAGTATTCCGCCTTTTATCATGGTATTTTCTCTGCAGTTTACAATGGAAACTTTTAAAGATTATTATAATAATATCAGAATCAAAATTATTGTTATTGCCATTGTGAGTAATAAGAAGTCAAACATTTTTGAATGGATTGAAACGCAAGTCGTGGCGTTGTCATGTAAAAACCATTTGAAAAGAATATTTACATTTCTGACTATTCCTGATTTGACTTGCCTGCAGAACACCAGCTCTTATCTCTAAAACAGTACAGTTAAATTATATTTTTTAATTCCCATTGCTTTTGTTGCTCTTCTTCAGATGAGGGATGTGATTTGTGCTGCAACTGCCGGACAGACGTATTTCCGGAGCTCCATGGACAACACAGTGGCATACATGGTCACCAACAAGATCCCCTCAATAGTACAAAACAGAGTCCGCACCTGGTATACCTACACCTGGGACGCGCAGGGCATGCTGGGTAAGAAATAGAACATAATCAGAATTTTGTAGATATTTTTTTATTTTAACAGACATAAAAACACATATCACACTTACACACATTCAGACACAAATATAAAATCTCAAACAATACAACTAAAACTTCACAGGCAAAAAACGTGATCATTTTATTGGGTTCAACAAGGCGCCAAGAAAAGACACCAAGAAAAGGCGCCGAGACATGGCACTGTTGCAAGAGCTATTCTAATGTGTGAATGTATTTGCCATTTATTTCAAATAAAATGAATATGAATGTGAATCTGAGTTGATGAGTTTTCTGTATGTATCCATTTCCTATAGATGAGTCCGAGCTGCTGGATAAGATGCCTCTTGTGATGAAAACAGCCATTGCTGTGGACATCAATTTGGAAACCTTCAAGAAAATTGATCTCTTCAAGGTAAGATCTTAAAAGCAAATAATCATATATCAACATAATTAAAAAACAAGTGTTTCCTAAAGCTGGAGAAAATAAGTAATACTTTTTCCCCCCATTAGAAACAGATGTTGGAACAGCATTCTGTCCTCTGAAAATTGAAATGTCCCCACTATGGGAGAAATAAAGGATCTCCTAATTGTTGTTGCATACTTATAAGAAAGATCTTTATTAGTCTCTACTTGGCTCTTTGGGCTGAGAGCTGATCTAAAGACACCAGAACTAAAAACTACAGGCATGTGAAAACTAGTGATAGAGGCCAACTAGTGACATGGATTTCATTGCATAATATATTGTTGTGGTTTGACAGTTAGGCTCCCCAATGAATCGTCTCAATAACTACCATTCATTATCAAACGTGGGGTTAAGAAAGTGAAATATCATAAATAAATGCCCATATTCATTATACAGTAAATGACCATTTCAATTCAATTCACTTTATTCTTGTATAGCCCTAAATCACAACAGCAGTTAACTCAGAGGATTCAACAGAGCCGTTGAAATCGCCAACACAGATTGGTGAATCAACAGTTAATACGCAAAAAATATAGAACAGACCCTCCTCCATCATCGGCTAGGAAAAACTCTAAAACCCATTTTAAAAATGAAATACAGTATCTATATGAGCCAGGACATTATGTTCAGGATAATATGTCTTTAAAAAGGGTAAACAAAAACATTTATTTTGAGCTATTGTGTACAAAAAGCTAGACAGTATCTTTATGCAGATGTATAAATATGAAATATTTTGACTTGAACTGTATTTTTAAGGGCTGTGACCAGCAGATGTTGGTGGACATGTTGCTGAGGCTTAAGTCAATTATCTATTTACCTGGAGATTTTGTGGTAAAAAAAGTTAGTAAAATGTATTGTATCTTACCTGAAAGCATTTGGAGTGTCTATCTTATGGTAGTGTATTTCCAGGGCGACATTGGTAAAGAGATGTACATTATCAAAGGAGGAGCGGTGCAGGTGGTGGGGGGACCAGACAACAGTATCGTGTTTGTGACTCTGAAGGCCGGTTGTGTGTTTGGAGAAATCAGGTAAAATAATAACGATTTTCAAAAGATTACTTCCAAATTGGTGCTTCAACATTTGATCCCTTGGGCTCAGTTTTAAAAGTCTTTATCATTGGTAATTAAAAGTACATGTAAGCTAATTGTTAAGCTGTTAAACACCTCGTCATTTAATCATGGTGTGACCAGTTCAAACAGTCGACTATCTGTTACATTAAAACGTGAAAACCTGTAGCTTATATTTAAGTGCAGCCTGTGGATAACATACGTACGTACTTCCTGTAAACCATTTGCTTGTGTGGCTATATTGCTCATAGCTGATGTTTCCCTAAATATTAAAAAAACATATATACACAGACATATTAAAAAACAGTCTGTGTAAATATAATAATATATATAATATAAAAAAAGGAAAATGTCCAATTCATTATTTGCATCAGGTGCAAATAAAATGCACACGTAAAATGTGCAATTTTTTTCAGACTGGTAAAATGGGAAAAGCAGTGATATTTGATGTGTGGTTTTGTTGGCAAGATCTACCCCTGGTACAAATAATATATTTTGGTAGTGCTGAAAAGTCTTGAAAGCTCCACATAGTTATTTATTGCACAATAACCTGTTCAAGTGTGGCTTTGAACACTTGTGACTTGTGTGCTCTCAGTCTGCTGCAATCATCCAAAGACGGAGGGAACCGCAGGACAGCCAACGTCAAAGCGTACGGCTTCGCAAACCTCTTTGTGCTTGAGAAGAAGGACCTGTTTGACATCCTGGTCCATTACCCAGAGTCACAAAAAGTCTTGGCCCGGAAGGGAAAGTGAGTTTTTGATTTATCATTGTATTTGTTGTATTGTATGCACAGCTAAACAGAGCTGTTTTTAACCTGGTTTTAAACAATGTCAGAAAAGCGGCCTGTCTCACATATTTTTCAAAATTTTAGAAGCATGAATCTGAAATGCCTCCCCATGTTTAGTTCTGACTCTGGGCACCATGGCGGCACGGTGGCAGAGTGGATAGCACTCTCGCCTCTCAGCAAGAAGGTCCTGGGTTCGAATCCCGGTCGGACCAGGGCCTTTCTGAGTGGAGTTTGCATGTTCTCCCCGTGTCTGCGTAGGTTTCCTCCGGGTGCTCCGGTTTCCCCTACCACTAAAAATATGTCCAATAGTTCTAGCATGCGCCTCCTGTACTGGCGACCCCGCTCCCATCTCTGTGTGGAGTGAGAGACAAATGCCCAAAAATTAACAATTGTAAACCGCTTTGAGACTCAGATCTGCAGTGAAAAGGCGGTATATAAATAAAGATTACTTACTTACTACTTACTTACCATCAGGAGTCCTGCCCCTGTGCTCCTCAGCGTCCGAGTTGATTCATATACGACTAACATGTCACTTATGTACTTTGGTGCGAGGCCCTGGAGAGACTTGTACACAAGCAGAGCTGTTTTATAATCTATTCTCTGAGTCACAGGGAGCCAGTGCAGAGACATGAGGACTGGACTAATGTGATCATGCTTCCTGACTCAAGCTGCAGCGTTTTGAATTGTATGCCGATGTTTTACAGCCTGTTTTGAAAGACCTGTGAGCAGGCCATTAGAGTAGTCTAACCTACTGGAAACAAATGCATGGATAAGAATATCCATGATGGATCTTTGCTAGTCATATTTTTGATATGGCATTTGAATTTGATTCCTGGTTTCATCTAGAGAATCACTTAAATTTTGTTTGAGATTAGCTGGAGAATTTTTGCAGCCACAATGGTCCAAGTTATCTCTTGCAGTCAGTGAGACATCTAAATTGACTCAAAGGACAACTAAACACCAAATCAACCGTTTTAACGTTTCTTATAGTGCTCTCTACATGTCCTGCTCAATTTTTTGACATTTTAGTGCAAATTAGATAAAATCTTACTTTTGAGCCTAAAACCCTCTGTATGGCGCCCTCTCTACATTTTCGGTGGCACAACATTTGAATTTGGTGCCTGGCCTCTCCATTCACTCTGGTTTTCCTGTGTTATGTCAATGGTACTGTGTGATGCCCGTTGCTCTGCGCCTTTGGTATAAAAGCAGCCAAGTCTCAGCAAGTTGGAGTATTCTGGTGATATCTAGTGGTTTGAAATTGAATTACATCAGTGGACCACCGCTTCTGCTGAGATAATTCTGTGGCAACTGTCTATACAATTATCTTAGTTTGTAAACAATGGTGGAATAAGAATTTCTGGTGCTAAGAACTAATTCTTTTATCCAGCAATGACAACTGTCTGATTTGTATCCACCACGTCCAACCTTCTTGTTCAAATGTTCATGTGGGTGGAGAAAGGCTGGGCACAGGTGTTTATTCACTCTTTAATATTTGTAATAGAACACACTGTTACTGTGTTTTAACTTACCTAACAGCAGCATGTAAAGATTGCACAGAGGAGGTCCCAGGCAGTGCTTAGTTTGTAATTTGTTCTGTAACTCAGAATACTGTTTTTGAGTAACTGTATTTCGTTACAGTTACTTAGCTCATTAGACCAAATGAAAAGGCCAATGTATTTACTTTTACAAACCGTATACCGACAAGGCCAAACCAAAGTAGGCCTATTTAATCTACCCGGGTCAATTGCTCCACTTGTTTAAATACTAGGCTAGGGTTATTGCTCTAGCTCACACACACAATTGGAGGTGCCAACTCCAATTTTGGAGTTGCCGAAACATCTTCTGAAATTAAGTACTGGAGTTGACCACGTAGCACTCCACAGGTCAGAGTCATATGATCTGAGACAGTTTCCAATATCAATTAAGTACCTCCTATCTTCTAGACGCCAACTTAGGGTGATGCTACTGACACGCACTCAGGAACGAGGAGGTGGAGGCGGTGTTAGGGGCAGTCATTGGGGGAAACTCTGGACCAAAAGATGGTGTAATCAGAACCCGCTTCACTTCTGATTTTTATCAAGCTCTCACAATGTTCAGGAAAGCCCAAGAAAGAGGGATGGGATGGAAAAAAGAGGGAAGGGTCACTCAGTTTCTCATTTGAGAGAGTTCATGTTGCATGGGGAGGCAGCTCTGGTTTGTGGGCAGAGAGGGTGAATGGGCCAGGCCAGTCTGCTGGAGCTGGGGCGACAATGGGAGCTTCACAGGAGCTGTAGGTGGGGAAGATGGGGAACTATTGATAACTTGCTGATGATGCCGCAGCTGCTGCTGTTGATGCTGCATATAATGCAGCTGATAACGGTGCTGGTCCTCTAGATGGTTGTATTGTTGAGTCATTCTCTTGAAGTGATTGTAGATGAGGTGGTAGTAATTGGTATTCTCCCCCTGCAAGTTAACATATTTTGCCATCTAAATAGGAGCGTGATCATTTTAATAATCACTCACCACATTGATTTAAAAATAATAAGAAAAATACCCTAATGTAGGATCTAAAAGGGTCAAAATGACCCAGGTCTGGTCAAAAAAAGGAAAAAATTATAAATATTAAGTTAACTTTCTAATCAATGTGACTTGAGGATAGCACAAGGGATATAGTATTATATTATTCCAGTGGTTTTTTGAAATCCCACATATGGAACAATGAAATATAAACTTTTTTTACCAAGTGGGTGACTTTATCCTGCTGTTGAGTTTAGAACAGGCCTTCCCTTCATTTGTGCAGGTATTGTTAGATCTATTTTTTCTTTGAAACTAGAAAACTCATGAAGGCCAAGGGTCCAGCTGCTGCTAAAGCAGACGAGGATAAGAAGAAAGGCTTGGCTCTGTTTGGTCAGAAACCCCCCACACCCAAACTGTTGCGTGCCTTTGGAGGAGCAATCAACAAGAAAAAGCTCCTGGAGAAGATGAAGGTTTGTACCATATTTGTTTGTACATTTGCAATATTTTGGAAATTCACAGGAACTAATTGCTTTTGTTTTGTTTATTATTTTCATTTTCAGACCAGCTAATGATATTGTTGCTATCGAAGCTCACCAGATATTAAAACACATTATGTACCCTTTTTTGGGCGTGTTTCATAAGTTTGTAAACTTTTCCTGCATGTTTTGTACGAAGGAAAAAGTGAGTTGACATAGTTCTATATTAAAATAGTGTCACAATTGCCAAACTCAACATTACACAACAATTACCTGTTACCTCCTTGTGGCTGTTCAAGAACTTGCATTTAGCGTTGCTGAGTTTGATTTACTATTTAAATCAGACTGACGGCACTTGACTACTATAATACAAAACGGTATAACTGAGATTATTCCAATCCACTTTGTTTATATAGATTATATACTTTTTAAGTAAATGTTTCCAATGTTTATTGATTTTTGAATGTCATCACACAATAAAACCAGAAATTATTTAAAATAACATTGACTTTTTAGTTTTTCGTTGAGAAGATGGTTTGGTTTCATACGTTTGCGTGTGTGCATCTTCATTTTTTCGTTATGCATTAGGGTTACTGTAATTCTTGGACTATTAAGCACACCTTTATATATATATAGGTGGAACCTATATATAATTTCACATACAAGTTTAAAAATGCGAAAACTATTATGTGACATACACTTGGATTACATATAAAGTGACATACATTACTTTGTTTATTATAATTTTGATGATTCTGGCTTACAGTCCATTTTCAAAATTCCCATTTTTTGAGATGTGATTTACTGTATCTCACTTTGCATGAAATATACGACCATAATAATTAGTTTCACGTTGTGAGTTGAATTACTGAAGTAAATGGACTTCTGAATGTTATTCAGAAATAATGTTTCAGAATGTTTCTTTTTTCAGGATTTCATGTTGTGTTGTAACACATAATCAACAGCTAATCGAGCAACTGCAGGCCAAGAGATAACTGTTTTACTGATGACAACATGATTTAATGACACTTTGTTTTAACAGTAGGTTAAACCCCATTTCAAATGTATTTAGACAGTGATCTGGTTCAGTATCAATGAAAAGGAAAAAAAACAGCATCATAATTTCAAACTATTTTTTCTGCATTTGTCCGAACCAGACAAAATAAGCTCAATTTCCTCATGAACTCTGATAACAACGGATTTAACTATGGCCACTTGGATGACGTCCCAGGGGCAGTGTAGTTTTGTGAAACACTGTGGGAGTGTCCTACTGGGAATTAATCAGTCTAAAGAATTAGATGGCTCAGTGTTTTTTGTCTGTCTGTGGAGGTCATCCACAGACAGACGGTATTGTAAGTGAGAGTAGAGAGAATGTTCAGCAGGATAAAGCAACTGGTGAAGACCCCCGAGCCCCCTCCTCAAAGCCTACCTCCACCCACAAAGGTAAGACTAATAAGACTAATAAAAAGACTTTGCAATCATCATGAGGCTATGGGTATATCATAAATACTTTTCCTGACTTAACTATTAACACCAACCAGTCTGTTGATTGATTATCTAAAGCTGGGGTAACTTATTTCAAACCACATCAAAAAAACGAAATCCAAAACTTGTTCCTTGTGCAAAAAAACTAAAGGTCGACCGAGGTTTTGATCTGAGCCTACACCTATTCAACAATGAATAGTCATGATAATCACCAACACATATGGAGCAGATGATTCATGATAATCACCAATACATGGAGCAGATGAATGTCTTGACATTTGAAAATAATAATAATAATAATAATCTCCAATATGCAATGGTTTGAATGTCTTAAGTATATGTTTATTTAACAATACAAATAGAAATTATAGCTATACTGTCTAGACTGGCTTTTATTTGATTTTATTGAAATGTAAAAGTGTCCTGTAGTTTAAGGAAATCATTACTGAAATAAACCAAACTTAACACATAAAGTAAATAGGAGGTTCACAACACGAGTGCTGGCACAACTGTTGTGTGACTGATACATTTTTGTTTTTGGGGTTTATGCCAACTAGTATGGTGGACAAGACTAATCAATTGAGTAGTTAGTTTATGTGTTTCAGTAAAATATTGAATACATGGAGTACTGCTGGATGAAAAATACTCAAGTAAGTTTAAACCGATTTATCGGTGCTGAAACTGACGGTTTTATCACAATTTTAATACATTTTTTCATCATCTTGATATCAGCTTGCTCAGACAAAAGAAAGTGTTAAGAGAGGACAACCCTCAACCAGCTCTCTGCCCAAAGCATCAAGTAGTGATACAAAATATACAAAAGGTTTTCCAATAAGTCAGTAAGGTAGTTTCTTGTTAGAACAAATTATTATTTATTAGGGGAAATAAGATACCCCCACTTTAGATATACTACATACATTCCTTTGTTTCATCATTGTTTATATTTTTACTAATATCATACATTTTATGTTGTTTTATATTTGTTACTTTTCAAATGATCTGTTTTATTTTGCGCAGCAATAAGTGACATTAACAACATTGCCTGAGTCTGAGTGGCAGTAAATCTCCTTAGGAAATCCCTGGACGACAGACCAAAATACCTGGGCTCACTATTTTTAACTGATCAGGACTTGATCTTTTTATACTGTACTTTTTAGTTTATTGAACCTTTTTTAACAGGAAGAAAAACCTCTGGAAAAAAATGACGAACTCCCCAAAAAAGATGGTGCACAAAAGGAAGAAAATAAAGGTCAGACACCTCCAAATACACTTCAAATTGTTTGTGTGGGAGAGTTGAGTTGTGTTCATTGGGCCTCATGCATGAAACTTGCGTACGGCCAAATCAGGGTGTAAATGATGCGTATGCAAAACATTTACCAAATGTCTCACTGTCCTGTCCACCCGCTGCGCACTCTTGGGAGTGCATCCATAGCAGGTGCCATGAGAGGTCGTGCCACATAACTCCTCAAATGCTGTCATTCAGAAGTCTTGGCTCCAGAGTTTCTCTGTAAAATCTGGGCCGCAAACGCTCTCGCAAGTGTACAGCGCTTCAGTGCATTCACAAGACGCTGCAGACGCTTCATTGATGAGAGCCACCGCTGCACAATATGAATTCATTCATTCATTCATTCTTTTTTTATTCACTTCTACAATCCAAGAGAGATTTTTATAATTTATCAAAACATTTCTGAAAATTTGTTCAAAACGCAGCTGAATAAATAGCGTAGCGTATATAGCATATATTTATTTTTACATATGCATGAACAACCTGTGGCAGACCCTGCGCTGTATACGTAAGTACGCATATGTTTTGCCTCATTCACCTCTGGCAAAGCAATGTGGGCTTTCCTTAGTTTTGTGCATAAAGCCCCATAAATGCACCTGATCTTGCTCAAAACTGTCTCAACCACTGCCCTGTACTCCGCATAGCAGAGATAGGATGCGACGCGCACCAGCAGTAAAGTTCATTCATTCTTTCAGGTCATTTATTATTTATTAATTTACGTCGAAATTTCAGGACAGATGAGTGCTGCAGTGGGTCTAGACACTAGTGCGCCCCACTCCTCAGATCCATCACCATCTCCTTAGTTCTGGAGATGTTGATGACCAATAAAATGCAATTCACTACATACCCCTGCACTGCAATAATCCTTTCACTTTGCTCTATAATAGTGTAAAGTGACCAATAGTGTAAAGTGACCAAACATCTATGCATGTGTTAACCACTGTTGTGACAAGAAACAAGTGGGTCGTCTGTTTTACCGATACGAATAATTACTGGCGGCACAGTGGAGCAGTGGTTAGCATGATTTTTAGCAAGAGAGGTCTGAGGGGTGCCTTTCCACCTCCAGACGGAAGTGAAATATATGGAATCCCCATAAGTGAAGTCCCCATGTCAAAGTAGGTTTCCTCCAGATGCTCCAGTTTACTTTACATTAAAAACAGGATGAATGAGTGTGTGTTTGTGAGTATGACTGTGGGGAAATGGATGACAAATTAGCCCAAGGTTGCAATCCAGTGTATCAACAGCACTGCTGTTCAATATTACACACGGTCCCGATAAAATAACCAAGTGAAAAATTCCCAAGGACACCGATGGCCGATACCGAGCTGATATTTTTTTGCAGTAAAAGTGAAAATTATGTCAACATTTTTAATTATACAAACTCCAACACTTAATACTCCAATAAATGCCTAAACAAAAAAGCAAAGAATAGCTCCAATTTGACTGGATGTGACAGATGCTGATTTTATTTGATGAGAATCTATCCAAATACAAACTAAAAAACTAAATCTAAATTAATCAGACAGTGTTTTGGAATGTACAGGAAAGTAAAGTTTTTTTTTTCCTAATTGTAATGAAGGTTGTTATAACAAAATATATAATTTACCACAGGACCTACTTCTGCTGGAGCCGCCCCTGCCCCTGCTGCAGCCGCCCCTACCCCTGCTGGAGCTGCCCCTGCCCCTGCTGCAGCCGCCCCTGCCCCTGCTGAAGCCGCCACTGCTGCAGCCGCCCCTGCTGCACCCCCACCTGGCCCTGTAGCAGCAGCACCGGAGGAGGGAAATATGTGAGAGACATAATTTTATTTTAGCATATTGTACAAGAAATAGAGATTATATTACCCTGCTAATTGACAATTTGTCTACAACTCACCAACCAATTAAAAAATAAATAAATAAAACATAGGGCTAGGACTCCCCTGAAAAAGAATTTGTGCAATTTTAGTGTGACTTTCCTGGTTATATAAAATTATAAAAAATGAAGGCTCGATACTGATAATAGGAGCTTTATTTATTTAATGTTTTGACCTGGCAAATTTTATACAGTTTAACTGCAGACTCAATGACCCTTGAGATTAAATGAGAATGTTTACTTTGTGAACCAATCCTGCCGCACAATTTGGAAAGGGCAAGAGAGAAAAGCAGATTAGAGGCTTAGAGGTATTTGTGTCCGACAGTGTTGTCTCAGGCCTGAAGCTAATATGCGGACTCTAATGTGCTTTTAACTTTTGCTTTTGTTAATTTCAACTAGAATGTGCACTCAGAGAGCAACTACCCACCAACACTGCTAACTATCTTGACAATTTAATTGGGTCTTCCTACCATCACATCCCATCTACAACGTCCAATGTTGATCAATTAAATATTACATTATGTATACAGTTTATTTTTTGTATAATCAGATGTCGATGGATCTTTAATAGAAGCAAGTCTTATCACTTATCAATCTTTTGGCGTACCGGAACTTTACAGTCTATGACCGGCACGCTCATGCTTTAATCCTTTAATCCTTTCTCACTGCCTTTCAGAGCGCCTTTCACAATGCACGCTTCCTACTTGGTCTCACCAAGATCAGAGACTACATTACCCATAAGGAGAAGGTGCATGCGTCACTTAGTCCTCTGAAAACTACTCAACGTGGAGTTCAGATCCCCGGTTAAAATAATCCATGGTTGAAATGCATTGAAGACTCACGGCGCTTTTAGAACGTGCACGCATTTCGTGCGACGTGTACAGGCTGTGTATACTAGCGCGGCACTGACGCCTCATTAACCAAAATGAGTTTGCTGCAGGTCAGACGCAGGTCAAACGCTCTTTGACATAAAAACGACTTTAAATTAGATCTTCCTTAAGTGCAATGGACCATCCATGGATCAGTTTAATGCACTGATGTGCAGACACGGCTGGCACTAGAAGTGCAGCATCCACAACCTGTGAAACCCCAAGAGCCCAAAACATGCTGCTGCCCTTTCTAGGTAAAATAATTTGCAGTGTTTCTCATTTTTCATTATCTCTTTCTATAGCTCAAGCATAAAGGAATTTACAGTTCCTTGCGAAAGTATTCGGCCCCCTTGAACCTTTCAACATTTCACCACATTTCAGGCTTCAAACATAAAGATATAAAAAATTTAATTTTTTATCATGAATCAACAACAAGTGGGACACAATCGTGAAGTGGAACGAAATGTATTGGATAATTTAAACTTTTTTAACAAATAAAAAACTGAAAAGTGGGGCGTGCAATATTATTCGGCCCTTTACTTTCAGTGCAGCAAACTCACTCCAGAAGTTCAGTGAGGATCTTTGAATGATCCAATGTTGTCCTAAATGACTGATGATGATAAATAGAATGCACCTATGTGTAATCAAGTCTCCGTATAAATGCACCTGCTCTTTGATAGTCTCAGGGTTCTGTTTAAAGCGCAGAGAGAACCATGAAGGCAAAGGAACACACCAGGCAGGTCCGAGATACTGTTGTGGAGAAGTTTAAAGCCGGATTTGGATACAAAAATATTTCCCAAGCTTTAAACATCTCAAGGAGCACTGTGCAAGCAATTATATTGAAATGGAAGGAGTATCAGACCACTGCACATCTACCAAGACCCGGCCGTCCCTCCAAACTTTCATCTCAAACAAGGAGAAGACTGATCAGAGATGCATTCAAGAGGCCCATGATCACTCTGGATGAACTGCAGATAACTACAGCTGAGGTGGGAGAGTCTGTCCATAGGACAACAATCAGTCATGCACTGCACAAATCTGGCCTTTATGGAAGAGTGGCAAGAAGAAAGCCATTTCTCAAAGATATCCATCAAAATTCTCGTTTAAAGTTTGCCACAAGCCACCTGGGAGACACACCAAACATGTGGAAGAAGGTGCTCTGGTCAGATGAAACCAAAATCAAACTTTTACGCCAAACGATATGTTTGGCGTAAAAGCAACACAGCTCATCACCCTGAACACACCATCCCCACTGTCAAACATGGTGGTGGCAGCATCATGGTTTGGGCCTGCTTTTCTTCAGCAGGGACAGGGAAGATGGCTAAAATTGATGGGAAGATGGATGGAGCCAAATACAGGACCATTCTGAAAGAAAACCTGTTGGAGTCTGCAAAAGACCTGAGACTGGGACGGAGATTTATCTTCCAACAGGACAATGATCCAAAGCATAAAGCCAAATCTACAATGGAATGGTTCACAAATAGACGTATCCAGGTGTTAGAATGACCAAGTCAAAGTCCAGACCTGAATCCAATCGAGAATCTGTGGAAAGAGCTGAAGACTGCTGTTCACAAACGCTCTCCATCCAACCTCACTGAGCTCGAGCTGTTTTGCAAGGAAGAATGGGAAAGAATTCCAGTCTCTCGATGTGCAAAACTGATAGAGACATACCCCAAGCGACTTGCAGCTGTAATTGCAGCAAAAGGTGGCGCTACAAAGTATTGGGCTGAATAATATTGCACGCCCCACTTTTCAGTTTTTTATTTGTTAAAAAAGTTTAAATTATCCAATACATTTCGTTCCACTTCACGATTGTGTCCCACTTGTTGATTCTTGACAAAAAAATTATTTTTATATCTTTATGTTTGAAGCCTGAAATGTGGCAAAATGTTGAAAGGTTCAAGGGGGCCGAATACTTTCACTGTATATAATGGATATATTATTTTCAGTAATGTGGTGTTGTTTCTGTTGAGGGGCGACAGTAGCTAAGTTGGTAGAGTATTGACCATTGGGCCTGAAGGTTGTGGGTTCCTACCCAACACGGGACCCACTCCGACTGCTCCCACTAATGTCTTCTGTCGTTGGGCAAGACACTTAACCCCACATTGCCTGAAGCTCCCGCTGAAACACCAAAGCTGTGGTACCACTGATGTAGCAGCCATCTTCCTGTGGACCTACCCCCCTGCAGAGGATCGTGTTTTAATTATCCAAACAAGTTGTCAAGGGAGCTATTTTTAATCATGTTCATTCATGGGTGTCACTCTCTACAGGTTAATGTTATGCATATCAACCACCTTGTGGTAACTTCTAGTATAGCTGCTTATCATAACAGGCACCCTTTTAAGATTAGATTAAGATTAAGAGATCCTTTATTCGTCCCACAGTGGGTGCATTTCATTATTTGGCCCACTTAAAGCACTACCAATATTGTTAAGTCTTATTTCCCTTTCAGTGAAGAGTTGCCACCATCTCCTCCACCTGTGGTGTACTCCCGATACGCTGACGACCACCTCCGAGCTGTGGCTAAATTACTGAGGGAACGAACTGAGCTTCTCAAAGAGAAAGTGATCGACCCATATGCCACGTCTCCAGAAATCACTCCACCTGTCAGTGAGTAAAGCTGTGGAAAGGAAACGACTGAAATGATTGAGGCTGGATTTATTATCATAATATCAGTGCTTATACTGTAGTATATAAATACAGGGGAAAAAGCATAGATGTGTGCAGCACTAGTCTTATATTACCTTGTATATTAGGGTCTGGGACTCTGGGTCCTTGGATTTCTTCTATGGGCCCCGATATTACATACATAAATATGAAGTTTACAATACATATTTTTAATAGGCACTACTTGTGACTCAATAATGCAAAAATATGTTTATCTGAACTGACTTTTTCAACAGCCCCCATTTACAAGAAGGAGGACTACATACAACTAAAGGTGGAGGAGCGTATTGCCAAAGAGGAGGCAGACAGGAAAAAAGCAGAAGAAGCGGCCAAAAAGGCAGAGGAGAAGAAGAAGAAAGATGAGGAGAAGCGCTTGGAGGCTGAGAAAAAGGCAGAAGAGGATCGTCTGGCTGTGGAGGCCCAAAAGAAAAAGCGAATCCTCCCAGAAGTCCACTGTCATTGTTTTGACGTGCTCTTCCAGCCCCTCGAGAGCAAGATGGACGCCGTGCTGGGATCCACCATCGACCGCTTCACAGGCAAGAAACAAATAAATTCTCATCAGATTCAGATTCAGATTCATTTATTTGCCATTTGCAGTAAAACCACATTGGAAAAACTGTGCAAGACTACCCCGGTGTGCGCCAGACAGAGAAGGCGACACACACCAGAGCTCTTGCCACGGCGCCATCTTTCCGGCGCCATGCGACAAACAGTAGAATAAACAGCAGAGAGCAATAACATTCAGGTTACAACAGACAGTTGGATGGAAAACATTGTGGCTTGTATAAACCACGGATTTTTTTCACGGGATGAGCACTCCGGCTGCCGGTCCAATGTGGCTGTCAGAGGGGGGCGGGGTCAGGGAGGGGGTGAGTCGGAAACACATTGAGGAGTGGAGGGGAGGGAGAGATCAGAGGGAGGCGGGGGGAGCGGGATCCAAGCTGGAACTGACTGAAAGAGTGTGAATTGTTGTAGAGACCAGATTTATTATGATGGCCTTGGCCCGAGGAATGTGAGATAAGAGTGGGGAGAAGACACAGCAAGGAGAAAACACATCTTCCTGTAACGAGGGACAATATAGTATGCATTTTAGCAGTCAAAAACAGGCAGATATTCTATTAAATCCAATTAAACCGAATTACGGCGCCCTCAGACCCCGTACACAGGGGCAAATCCAAGCCGGGTCAGAGAGTTCAAGCGTGACACACAATGTCATTCAATCTCAATTCCAGAGTTTTATGCCCATCGAGTGAACGAGCTGCGAGATCTTTGATCAACTGTTCCACTAACACCACTCTTCGTTGTCCAGCCACAGCGCTCTCAACCACGACTCGGTTAAGCTCCTTGTACATCCCATCAATTTTGTTGGCCAGCAGGTCGTGAATCTTGCGAACTGCCATGCCTCCGAATTAGTGGTAGAAGAGAACCGCTCCAAACCCAAACAGGAGGATCCCCACCACCAAAAAGCCAAAGATATATACGTCTTCCGAATCTTCAATGGACAGGACATGTTGACATACAACCTGATAATTAAATAAGCAAGACTCTGATAAACACCAGACATTTAACAGGTAGAGACAATTAGAGTTCACAGAACAGAAAGTCCAAACAGGTGAGTTCACTCTGCATGTGTCTCCTGTATGACGACCCCGCTCCCATCTCTGCAGGGAGAGACCAATGCCCATAGCAACTGTAAAAACGCTTTGTGACAGAGTCTGGGAAAGGCTCTATATCAATAAACATGAGTTGAATACTCTTGGATAAGCGCAGTGTTGAAGCAAATTTGAGATCATTAGGCTTCCCCTACTTTCAGTTTTACCCACACAAAAAAATAAGCTGCAAGGATAAGGATCAAGGAACGATTGGATACATGACACAAAGGAAGTTATTGGGATATTGCCAATACCAAAGGCTAAATTTCTTCTGAACAAGGGTGTCTTTACATTACACTTAAATGATCAGGAAACGTGCCATCTAACCTCAAAGTGAAGTTTTTTTAAATTAATGAACAGTGAGAATGCACAGGTAATATGAACACACATGAACAACGAGCCATTCACTTCTTCAAGAACAGTTCTGCATGCCTCACAATCCCTCAGAAACAAGGGACCACAACAATAATTATTTTGAGATTTGCTAACCCCAAACATAAATTTGAGGTGCCAAAGCTAGCAAGAAAGCAAAAGGGCACAGACTTCAATACTTTTGAATACCAGGAATACAAGTCATATAATTTAGAAGCAGACACTGGTGTTGATTGCCTTTTTTATCTGAGAAATTAAACCTGGACTGTAGATGTTACTCAAAAACAAAATTACAGCATCAACCGATAACATTTTTACTAAAATACAATGAATTAAATGATCCATCCATCCATCCATTTTCTTCCCCTTAATCCATTTCTGGGTCGGGGGGGTGGCCAGAGATGCCACCCAGTTCACCAGCCTCTCACTGATCCTCCTGCAGGTGGTGAGTCCACAGGAGCTGAGATCTTTCAGTGGGGGCTTCAGGCAAAGTGGGGTTAAGTGTCTTGCCTAAGGACACAACGACAGTAGTCATCAGTGGGAGTCGTGAAGTAGGTCTTACGGTGGGCTTGAACCCACGACCTTCAGGCTCAAAGGCCAATGCTCTACCAACTGAGCTACTGTCGCCCCTGAATTAAATGATATTTAAGTTAAAGTTTAATGTTGTAGTCACATGGTCATTATAATCAGATTGGATTGATTATGTTTGAAACCAGAAAAGCCATAATCAATATTAAAACAGTTGTGTCATTTATTTGGAGTAAAAATGTGGAATTATTTCATTAATTAACTGTAACTCTATTTTAAATTAAAATTTATTCTTTAGAAGTGTTTTTTATTCTTATTTTTATTATCTCTTTTTGACTGTTGCACTGAGCCAAAGCAATTTCCAAGTCTGTGACCTCCTGTTACTTACGTGGCAATAAAAATGATTCTGATTCTGATTCTGATTCTGAACACATTATCAATGTAATGTAACAATGAATGTATATACTTATATCTAGAACGAAATAAACAAAATAATAAATGTGCTGTTCATGCAAATACCAGTAGGTATTTTGAGATGGAAATCAGTATGTAATATGTATTTTTTTGGTTGTAATACAGTCAGTGAACAGTCAGCTGAAGTTGGCTGAATGACACATGTTTACCGTCTCACCAGTTACAGTAGCACCATTAATGGAAGTGACACAATCTAAAACCATGTCAGTACAGTATTTACAAATAAACCAAATTCCAGACGTACTGGGCTTTAGAACGAGTCTCTATATTGGCTGAGTGGAAATTGGATGGATGACACAGCAAACAACAGTGGGCCACATAAAATGACAGTGAGGGCCGCAATTGGCCCCCGGGCCTGAGTTTGGACATGCCTGGGGTATGGATTTAGTCCAGACTGACCTTGGGTGACCTTGGTCTGTAAAATGCGCAATATAAATAAACATTACTTACTCACTTACTTACTTATACTAGTTGGAACACAAGCCATAGAATTTTGGATAAACAAACCTTATTTACTAACTCCGATTTATATAAACTTAAACCTGTCAAAAGCATCACAGTACTTTCTCCTGCAGATCGGAGGTACATCTTGTGGATGGCTTTTGTGGCCATAGCGTACAACTATAATGTGTGGCTGTGCACGGCTCGGCTTGCCTTTCCCTTCCACAACGCAGCCGCAAACCCCTACTGGGTCTTCTTTGACATCCTTAGCGACATCATCAACGTTATTGATATCGTTATTTGGCAACCAAGGCTCCAGTTTGTCAAAGCTGGAGACATCATTGTAAGTACAGTGACGGTAACTGAAGTGGTTTACTTTTCTGTGTTAATGTAAAAAAAAAAGGTCTAGTGACATATACTCAAACATACATTCACAGTTACTTGTTGTTGTGGTTTAGAAGTTACATACCCCAGCTTTTATGTAATTTCAGACACTTTTTTTTAGCCTTTTTTGGCCTGTAGCTACATATATTCAAGTTAAAGATGCAGTTAGCGATGTTGTTTTCTGTTCAGCCCTTTTAGGTTTTAGAAAATAATCCGATGACTCAGGTGCGCACACTCGCAAGAAACAGGAAGAAGGTGAAGGGGGGTAAATGCATCCCATTGGTTCGTTGGGGATGAACAAATCCCATTAGTTTATTTTTATTGGTCCAAAATAATTGTTATTAATTTTTGGAGACTATAGGAATCTGGTCAATTCCGATACTATTTGAAAACACATGATTACTTGACTACGCTTAGGGTTTAGAGATGTTTTCCCATAATATTTTAAAAAAATGCATCTGGAAAAAATCACTCACTGCATCTTTAAGCCCTATTCACACAGAATCAGTATTAACTGGGGACCTTTGGTAATTCTCAAATTACCGCCCCACCTCTGTTTAATTGCACCCCATTCGCATACAAATGTTTCTTTCGGCACTCTGCAATAATCCACAAATCACCAAAGGTCCACAGGTTAGACTAATCCTGTGCAAATCAAGCTATAGGTAATATTCGTAATTAGATATGTCTTATGTAATACTGGAACATTTCAGCCAATTAATTAAAAAACTCACATTTGCAGAAAGACAGAGCCTTGACCAAGATACATTATCGTAAATCCACCAAGTTTAAAGTGAGTAGTTTTCAAAGCGATAATGCCATTATGTGACTTTGATTTATTTATTTGAATAATGATTTATTCCCACACAGTCAGATATAATGAGCGTTCTCCCATTTGACATCATATCTCAGTTTCTGCAGTTTGAATTCTCATCCATGTATAGAATCAACCGTTTCATCAGGGTAAGTTTGTCAGAGAGTAATACTCAATTTCTTTTGGGAATATAAATATATTAGAATTTTCTCTTTTCTGTCTTTTCCCCATTTTACTCAGCTTGATTCCTTTTTTGAATTCAGCGACCGTCTTGAGAGCATCATGGCTAAAGCTTATATCTGGAGGTAAATTATATATATATATATATATATATATATATATATTTTTTTTTTTTAACGGGGACAATGCACATTCATAAACAGCTCTGTAAAACAGTCAGGTGGGGGAAGAAGAAGGTGGACTCAAAAGCAGGAATGCAAAAATAATGATTTAGTAAAATAAGTCCAAGGTAAAGACAAAACTCAAATAACCAAAAGAACCAAGAAAAAGGATACAGAGAGAAACACATCAGGGTGGGGCAGACAATCAAGGCAGGGGAACAAGACAGGAAGTAAAACTAAAACCCAACCAACTGAGAACTAAAACCAAAGTACAAAATAACACAAAATCCACACCATGGCAATAACTGCCAGTTTTAAATACAAAGTAAATATTCAAGTGTAGTCCCTTGGAAAAGTGCGGGAATGCCATCAAAATACATGAAATGTATAATTTTTAAACTAATGTACAAGGGGTCTTGTGGGGGAGTGGGGGATACTATTCCAAATGTAACCCTTATTTCTGTTATTTTTTATTTTTTATCTTGTCTACTGTAATAGTTCATATAGATCATAGATCATTTTGCATAGGTGTCAAAAAAAATCTTACTAAAAAAAAAGGATACTACCTCTGGTCACCTAGTAGCTCAAAATCAGAACCCTTTTTTATTGCCCTCATAAGTAACAAGAAGTCACAATGAGCGAATTTCCTTAGGCCCATGGTGCAAACAAGTTATAAAATATAAAATTATAAGCAGGCACAGAAAATCAGACCAGTAACAGTAGTAAGAGGTATGTGATGAGCTATGGAGTTGCACCAACACCAGACTTACATTGTTTTGTTTATTTCATTTGATGGATACTATAATTGTCTTCCACCTCATTATTTTCCTGCAGAGTGGCTCGGACTACTGGCTATCTCTTGTTTGTGCTGCATATTAACGCCTGTGTTTACTATGTGGCTTCACTTTACCAAGGCCTTGGCACCAGCCACTGGGTCTACAATGGAAACGGAACAGCGTACGTTTACACAGAAGGATTTCCTTATGTTTTTTAGTGTAATCTGTCGTTTCTCAATGTTCATTTATTGTTATAATTTTCCCTCTGCAGATATTTGAGGTGTTATTACTTTGCGGTGCGTAGTCTGATAAACATAGGCGGACTTCCGGAACCAACCAACACCTACGAGATCTCATTTCAGATGTTGAACTTCTTTATTGGTGTCTTTGTCTTCTCCAGTTTGATTGGACAGGTCAGAAGACAAAGGATTTAATATTTTGTTCAATTGAAAATTAGACCATACAACTGGCTGTTTGATGCATTGTAATAGATTCAGCCGTAGCAGTATGTTTGGCCCTCATTTATGAAAATGGTGTACGACCAAATCAGGGTGTAAATGATGCGTACAGAAAACATGTACTCTTCTCTGCATTTAGCAAGTTGGAATCCTGACTCGGTGCACAAAATATACACCGACTCAGGAGGTGGTGTAAATCACAACACGCAAAAAATATGCATGAAATTCAAGATTCAAGAACAATAAACATATTCCCACTCTGGAAAAACTATAGACATCCTATAGGCTATCCTGATAGTTTGTGTTATTAAATAACATGCAAGATGTCAAACTCAAAAGTTTCCCACAAATGTGTGGATTGTTATGTGTAGCACCAATAAGCTTGATCGTCTACAATCAGTACGCAACGGCAATTGGTTCATGCGAGTCCACCACGGCTATCCATTGTATTATAACAATGAATAACTGCATGTCATGCTTTGATGACAGAAGCTATCCGTTATTAGAGCATCTAATAACATTATTACATAGATTCTCTAATAATGTTATTAGATGCTCTTATTCTAAAAGCCGATGCTCAAACACCGCAGGAGCAGCGCTTCCGCGTATCTACTCAAAGAAAGATGGCTCTGCCTGGGGCAAGCAGGGGGTACGCTCTTGTACTCTGCGGCGAAAGTGTGCCATGTGATTCTGGCTCGGTTCTCCACAACAGGACCACGGTGTGTCATGTGATGCACTGGTGGAGCAGCCCATGGATGAGAGACCATGGCCAGCACTGCCTGCACTTTGGCCTGTACAGCTCAAACAGGCTTTCATTCAACAATTTTTAACCTCTTAAACTCCTACATCTGTTTTGGCTCGTGCACAATAGTTTGGCATACCCAAATGTCTTTGCTTATTTAAAAACACATCTTACATCTCACATGCTTGTGTGATGCATCATTTTAAAGCTAGGCCCTTCTAGTTTATGTAAATATACACTGAAATAATGTATGTCATTCCTATTTTACTCTGCATCCTTTGAAGTTTGGGAAAAAAAAATTCAATGTATAAATGCCCTAAAAAAGCCTACTTCATTGGAAGAAGAACATTTTCAACGCTAATTTGTTCATTGTGTTGTTGACAACAACTGTGTAAAGTTTCAGACTTCTAAGTTTTATAGTTTTTATGCAGTTTCTCTTTTTTATCAAGTAGTGTCATTCGGAACCAATTTGGCAAAATGTGTGCCAAATTGTGTCAAACGGCTTTACTAACATTTCACCATCATAAAAAGCATATTTTTTTAGTTTTGGTACTTATAAGTTACAAATCTGCGCGATTTTCTTTTACATTTTTTCAAAATAAAATTTTTAGTAGTGTAAATGCATAGAAAATATGCGCAGCAGTACTAACAGCATCTTTACGCACGCTTTACTGTGAAAATGAAAAGAGTTCCTACAAGTCCCACCCATCAATAGAAAGCTCTTTTTATTGGCTACATTGACACATCAATCATTCAGAGCTAGCTCATTGATTAGCCATGCTAATCAACAACAAGGGAAAAAGGACCCTGTGCAAGTGGATGCGGTTCGTCTTTTTCACAAGGGTCCTGCGGACTGAAAACTGCTCATATCTTTTCATGGAACCTCTCTTTTTAAAGCTAAGGACTCAAGGAACACGTAGATATGATGGTTGTGGGGCTAAACAAATCTCAAACTTGGTGAAATGTGAAAGAGAAGCCTGAACATTTGTCGGAGCGTTTTTTTTTGCAACAGAAAAATGCACATTTTTGGATTAATATCTGAAGAATGGATTATACTTTGGGAAATACAAGTGGATATTCTTTTTCACTGAAGACTTACGGAGAGAAAGAGACTAAGCAAGGATGGGGAAAGTCTAATTTGTAGGAGCAGCAGAAGACAAAAGGTAAGAAACTTATACAAACACTATTTATTTGTGTCCATATTATGCGTTATATCTTTTTAATGCAAAGTCTGATATCGTTTACACTTACATATAAATATAGCTGAGAAAATAAGATTTAAAATGATATATAGCTTGTGGATTATGAAGTTCGAAATACATCTGCTATTGCCAGCAGAAGTATTTTTTTTCTCGTTTGCCCTTAGCTTAAGTCACAAATCCTTTGAAAATATATTTTTTTCTGTACATTTTTTGTTATTGTGGCTTAGTGTATGGTTATGAGTGTTCGCTCCATTTTTTTCTCACCTCTAGGCTTAACTCCTAAATTCTAACTACTAATTACGGTAACACTTTATAATAATGGAGCATGAGTTCATGCATGATTTTCATGAACTCATGCATGAATTATTGCATTAGTTCATAATAAATTCATGCATTACTAGATCATGAATTTTCAGGGACGAACATGATTACATGTTGGTTTATGGATGACTTCATTCATGAATTAATGGTTGAACTAATGAATTTACATGAAAATCTTAAAGATTCATCATGATCATGAGGATCACATAAGAATACCATGAATTTACTGAAACAGCAATGAAATTATAATGAATTGATCAACGTACCATGATCATGAGGACCATCCATCCATTTCCTACCCCTTAATCATGAACTTATCATTTGCTAATCGTTAATACATAATGATTGTCTCCCCTCAACTAAAGTAATGCAATGATTTAAGAATTGGTCCTTCAATTGGAAGTTTTGTATGGAAAAACTATTTATTTAACAAACTATTACACACGAACAGCATGACCAAAGACGACCTACAGTACTATTGTTCTGAGATGTTTAACTTATGTAAGAATATTTTATTGTTGCCATTTTTTTAGGTAATGTATACCTGTCTCTATAAATCTTACAGAAATGTTCATAATGTAAAAATAATGTTATATTAAAATGTTTTTGACTGTTGAGTTGAGGTCGGGTGGTATGTATCACACATATGTTTTTGTGCCAATATAGCGGTATTCTGTGTAATTTGAAACCATAGTCTGTTTACAAACGTGCCATCTTTATAATTATGTGTCTCAACCAAAATTTGATATGCTTTTGTGATAAGGTCTTATTTGGTTATCCTGTACGTGTAATAGTTTGTAAAATAGTTTTTCCATAAAAAAATTCCAATTGAAAGAACAATCCTTAAATCATTGCTTCACTTCATGCATGAACTCATGTACCATTATTATGAAGTGTTACCGTAATTACTAACAATAACTAACCTAACTAATAACTAACAATAAGTCTGTCAACTGTTTGGTATAATGTAGCGTATATTTCTCTTTTAAACAAACCTGAATAAACTCATCACTTTTTATCTTGGCCGCTGTCTTTCAGGATGTTACAAAAACGGGGCGTGAAACAGGCGGTTGCTGAATCATAAATATGCTCGTATTCAGCAGTGGGGGCGGGTCCCGGCTCAAAAGTGGCCAAAATGACGTGCGCTGACATGCTTGCAATACCACCCCGGGCCGATGGGGGTGGACCCAGAAGAAGAATTAGCCAATGCTAACATATAGCATTGGCAGACCTCTCGAAAACGTCTTTACAGGATGGTCCAAAGTTGGCTCTTGGCCCAAAGCTCCGTTCCACATGTGTGTCAATGCTGAGGGGGGTGAATTTTTTTGGACCACTCTAGTTTACTGGCTGTGAATTTTTGAAGTCTCTCGTTCAAATGAATGGAGCTCTCGCCGGCTGACGCATGCGCAGGACCACTCGCGGCCATTTTGGATAGCTCCAGTAGAGCACATTTTTTGGCCCATTAGGCCCCGTCCCACTACTCGCACTTCCACCCTCGCGCCCCTCATTTGCGCGTTCCCGATAAAGGGTGCGAGTGCGTAGGGTGTCCCAATTCTCCAGGGAGGTCTTTGGCCCCGCCCCCTTTGCGCCCCTGATCCACACTTCGCCGTAACCTGCAACTATGCGCACTCTGGCGAAGGATATTGCCCATAATTCTTTGCGGTACACACCAAAACGTCGGGAAAATGCATTTAAATATACATTTTGAAATATATATGCAGTATGTGTGTAAATAAGTTTTGCTATGTTACTTGGAAAGAAGCATAAACGTCCGAAGAATTACGGACATTGTGTTTTAACAATTTAATAACTTTTTAAAGCAAGCGTTCATATATAACATTACATTTATACTTTACACTTAGTACAATAATCTTAGAATGTATAAAAACTGACCAGATAGTTAGTTACCCACATTTAACTTAAAATTATACAGCTATCTCTAATTAAAAACAACTAATATACATGTATTTTAACGTGTGTGAAGCAATTCATTTTGTTTCCCAAAGGGTGAGACAAAATTACATTTAATGTTTATAAAGTTTAGGTCTGAAAATGACCATCTCTTGACGAGTCGATGACGTAACCTCTACTCAGTGTACACTGTCCCAATTCCGCCTTTTTTGCACACTTGTAACCTGCGCACTCCAACCCTGGTGTGCACTTCGAACAAATGCACACTTCGTAGAGGAGTGTAGGGTGCAGTGTGGGTATTGGGATTGGGCCTTAGAACGGCAGAGATAGGCGTGACTCTGTCCGTTAATATATACAGTCTATGGTTTTCAGCCGCAGCATGTATTGACAGCTGCAGGTGCTTACGCTCTGATCTGGGCGGATCTCACACACTCATAAATCCTACACTGGAATTTAAATCTAAAAAATCTAAATATACACCCTTTTCTACGCAAGTTTCATAAATGAGGGCCTTTGATTGTATAAGCAAACATGCATTGTGTTGTTTAGTTTGTACACAGGGTTTTTAAACTTCTTCAAAGGCTCATTATTACTTAACTGTTTTTTCCCAGATGAGAGATGTGATTGGAGCAGCCACAGCAGGACAGACGTACTTCCGCGCTTCCATGGACGGCTGTGTGTCCTACATGAACACGTACCACATTCCTAAAATGGTCCAGAACAGAATCCGCATGTGGTACAATTACACGTGGGCTGCACAGGGCATGCTGGGTAATCCATCCAATTTTTGCTATGACTGAGAACCATAGACTGTATACATTGAGAACATTGCCAGGTTGCAGAGGCAGCAGTCTGCTGTGTGAGCCATAGAATGCTTGGGAAATTGCGCTCAGTCCATGGTGTTTGCAGAGTTTAGGGAAACTTCCATGGATCTGGATTTACCAAAACAAATACAGAATAGGTTTCAAGAGCGAACTAGTCTTTACAAAATACGAGAAGAACTAAACTTTATGGTACAGAAGCACAGCTCAACTCTGAAAAGTTAGCCCTACAGTCAATGGGGTTCAACTGTGGAACAATTCGGAGAGGGAGATGAAACAAAGTCCAAACATTAATCTGTTCAAATTTAAATACAAACAAAAGACTTTCAACAAGTACAAAGAGAAGGAAGTTATACGTCACTAGGGGGGCGCAATCGGGCTAAACTAAAGTTGTCTGTTTTTTGTTTTTTTATTTTTTATTTACTTTGTTTTGTTGCTTATTATTGTTATTGTCTTCTTTCTATAGCCATTAAGATCATTGTTGACCTTGAAGAGTGATGTTGCTTTAAACAGTCGCCTTTATTTGCCGTTACTGCTGCTGTTATTGTCTGTTCTTTTCTGGGTTTTTTAAATACATTTTATATAGTTGCTGTTCAAGGTAAAATGTTTAAATGTGTTTCTGTTAATATAGTGTTTTGGGGGTGGGCACCAATAAGCTCTTGCTTCGGCCCACTCCTTTTGAGCAGTACTTGTCTGCTCAAATAAACAAATAAATGAATAAATAAATCTATAATAATAACGGAGATGTGAAACCACCAAATACTGTACATTCTTCAAGTTGTTATTTAAGTAATTGAAGTGGGACTGTGGTGTGAACACACCTTTAGTCTCTCCAGTGTGTCCTGGGTCTTTCCTGGGTCCTCCCTCTGATACTACTGTCCCAGAACATCCCATGTTCAATGAAGCATCTGAAGCAGATGCTTTTTCAAGATGGTAAGGGGGCAGCAGCTCCAAACTGATCTCCTCCTGTATACCAGAGATCCTCACCCTATCTTTAACTCAATTCAATTCAATTTATTCTCACAACAGTAGTAATCTCAGAGGACAAAACAATTGAAATTGCCAACACAGATCAGGAAATCCACTAGTTCAAACACGAAAAATATAGAACACATAGGTATTGATCCAAAAATGTAGCAGAATGTTAGCGCGTATCAGACCCACTAACAGACCCTCCTGCATCGGCAAGAGGGACTCCATTCTACAGAGGAAACTGATCTTTACCTCTTGTAAATGTAATCTTGTCCTCTGTGATTATCACCCATAACTCCTGACCATAGGTGAGGGAACGATTGGTAGATTGAGAACTGAAAACTGTACATTTTTCAGTTCATAACTGTAATTCATAACTGTAATTTTCATTTCTCGTCAGATGAGTCCGAGCTGTTGGATAAGTTGCCCCTGGTAATGAAGACAGCCATTGCAGTGGACATCAATTTAGCAACATTTCAAAAGATTGATCTCTTTAAGGTAGAACAGTGCAGCATTCAATAAGATGTGAATGTATAAACACAGAAAACAGTACAATAGTTTTGTTTTCTCCTTCAGGGCTGTGACCAGCAGATGTTGGTCGACATGTTGCTAAGGCTCAAATCTATCATTTACTTACCAGGAGATTTTGTTGTCAAGAAAGTGAGTGATCTTTAGGAAAGTATATATACATTATTTCCTAAAGAAAGTGTATATATGTATAATTATATATATATATATAATTATATATATATATATATATATATATATATATATATTATATATATATGCATAATTTGTTTTTAATTTTCCCAAGGGCGACATTGGTAAAGAGATGTATGTCATCAAAAGTGGAGCTGTGCAGGTGGTGGGGGGACCAGACAACAGCATAGTGTTTGTGACTCTGAAGGCCGGCTGTGTGTTTGGCGAGATCAGGTTATTATTGCATTATAGTTACATACATTGAAATGTGTACACATTAATATGGGTTCATACTTTACCCCTAGTTTACTGCAGTCTGCTAAAGATGGTGGGAACCGACGCACAGCCAACGTAAAGGCGCACGGTTTTGCTAATCTTTTTGTACTTGAGAAAAAAGACCTGTTCGATATTCTGATTCACTATCCAGAATCACAGAAAGTGTTGGCACGAAAAGGAAGGTGAGATGTGATCAAAATATTAAATCTAATAAACTGTAGATTTGATCGTATTAAAACTAAAAGCAAATTTCCAGGAAACTGATCAAGGCAAAAGCTGCAACAGGTGCGAAAGCCGAGGAAAAACCCAAAGGAATGACGCTTTTTCAGACCAAACCAGCAACGCCAAAGATGCTCAAAGCTCTGGGGAATCTGCGGAAACGATCCCTCATGGATAAATTTAAGGTAATTTTGTCAATTCAAGTCTACAATCTTATTCGCTGGTAATTATTATAGATTCATAAACAAGAGGTTAATTGTTACTATAAGTAATATATTGACTATGACACTCAATACAAATCAAGATAAATTTTATCAATAAGATAAAATGGGTCAAACGATAACTCACCAAATCCAAATTAAAACAAGATTAAATAATCATAATTAATATATAACAATGAACCATTATAATAATACATACAGACATAAAACCAAATGTATTACAATGAAAAACTGTGCATCTTCTTCATTTTTTTGCTGTTATGTTGATGTTTTTTCTTGATTTGGATTTCTACAGAAAGCAGATGCAGACCAGAACTGAGAACTGAACTGGATCCTATTGGTGGAAATAATCAGTGAAATGCTCAGTGACCTTTTACTTAAATGTATTTTCATTTTGTATTATGTTTACAATAAAGAAAATGAGTTCCTTCTTTCAATGATATTATGTCATCTAAGTTTTAATAGTTTGATGCCAAAAGGAATTTTGATCCCAATAATCTAAAAACAACTAATATTTTTTTATGGATATGGATTAATTATACTTGACTCTTCTGGAGGGATGACATGGACGTTTTGAATGAAAATGATCGCTTTAAAGAAAAAAAAAAAAAACACATAATATGGTTACAGGTCATTGTATTTTCTGAATCGCACCTGAGATTTTAAAAGCTTAAGACAAACTTCAGAAGCACATCAAATAATTACACATGATACAAAAACACTGTAAAATAAAAGCAGCAGATACATTTAACAAACAATAACGTGACATGATGTACTAGCGTTTTATGTATTACAAGGAAACGTGCCTTTAAAAACATGGCAAATACTCCTCCACCTATAGCACAGATAGGGCCTGATCATTCTCTTGTATAGTATGTATTCTCAAATGTTTTCCATAGTTATTAAACAAAAATGGTGTCCCATATTAAACAAGTTATATTAATACAAAAAGGCAAAATGTGACTAATGATTAGTAATTCAACGCATTGTTCTGATAAACAAAAATTGGATGATTTCAAAATAATCACAGACACAGGGAGAACAAGCAAACTCCACTCAGAAAGGCCCTGCTGGGAGGTAGAGTCAATCCCAGGGACCTTCTTGCTGGGAATCAAGTCAAACCATGTGCACAGCTTTATTGGGATCATTTGAAACAACACCCACATTCCTTGCGCATTTGTCTAATTTTTATTTGTGGTAAAAAAATCAGATCAAAGAGGCATTCAAAATATCTTTAAAACGTTCTACATTTCACTTGACCAAACCTGGGACTATTTGTTTCCATATCCTATTACTGTGTGGAGTGAATTAAATAAAAAATAAAAAATTGTGAAAAGCGCTATGGAATACATATGTTTTACAAACTAAGTAAATACTGAAATACAGTTAATTTATACTAATACTAATAAATATAATTATCTCAAATATTAGATTTGGAGAAAAAACTGAATTTGAGCAAGAGCATTATTGGTTCTTTGAGGGATTATATTTGACTGATATGGAGCTTGACCTCTCGATCTACTTGTTGGCAACAAGTAGATCAATTCACTTAAATTCATCAAACCCCTTGCACATGGAAGAGTGCAAACTCTGTTTTTTTCATATTGTAACACTGTCTTTCTCCATTAGAGGGTGCCATTCAACAATAAAGCTTCCAAAACATGATCTGCTTGTCCTCTCCTCCAGTGATGACTGTGGTGTAGAGCTCGTTCATCCACATCGCTGTAACAGCACCTGACAGACGGGGAAGTATATAGAATGAATTAAGTGAAGAAAAACAAAGTGATAGTCAGTGCACTAAAGGCAAAAAGTCAGATCTGAATCTCCAGGTCAAATAACGGCATGTCTAACTACAAAACTTCAGAAAACCATATCATCATATATTATAAAACAAAGTTAGAATACATTGAACATCTATTGAGCAGTCTTCAATGTATAGTAGAAATTAGCCAGCTAACTCTAAAGCCTCTGCCTCTTGTGCTTGGAGCACTCTGTGTCTGGAACACAGATGCTGGTCCTACACTTGTACACCTTTTGTAGGTGCAGCGCTGGAGAGGACCACAGGGCGTTCAATGCCTCAGTTACATGTCATTGTTGAATAACTGCATATACAGTCGCTGATGCAGTATCTGTGTGTATAGTTTTTCTTTAGTCTTCTATCTATTATCTTCCACCAGATTTCAGCGCGTTTCAACTGTTAAACGCCGTCATCAATTATTTATCACGTGTTATACCTTGGTTTTTTCGTCTCATAGGGGATAATACTTTTGGTGAATGTATCTTTTGTAGCATTTCAAAAATTATACCTTTTGAATGTTTAGCCTTTTTTATTTTATGTTTTTAATGTATTTTATCTAAATCTAAAAAATTAAAAAGAGTATTTTAGGGTATTATATTTGAGGTCTTGCAGAACTTTACAGTACTTCTAACATTTCCATTGATTTCAATTGCTGTTTCAATACATTTCAGATAAATTACATTTATATAGCCCCTCCCCTTGGCACAACAATCTCCAGTAAAATTTGCCGGACATTCACTTTAATACAGGCTTGTTTGGATGCTCTCGTGTCATGAAGGAGGTCTAGTGTATAATGATCTTTACCTGAGTGGGCTTGGATCCTTTTGACCACAGTGCTGCTCAGGAGGTCCCACAGAAGCAGGTCTCCAGACTGACCTCCACACAGCACCAGGCTACCGTCCCAACAGAAGCACCTGGACATTAGGGTAAGCATGGGATAAATTCGTTGAAGGGACTAAAACCAATCTCAATATGATGTGAGAGGGATTTGTCAAAATGTAACTTCATTCTGGTCCTAATTTCTTCTGAAAACTTCCTCAATACTGAAAACCTCGCTCCCATCTCTGTGTGGAGTGAGAGGACAAATGCCCACAATTGTAAACCGCTTTGAGACTCTGGTCTGTGAAAGGCGGTATATAAAATAAAGATTACTTAGATTACTTAATATGGGCCTCCCGGAGGTTTCTCACTTATTCCCCTACTGTTTTTTTTAGTTATTACTTGCAGATACAGGAGGGTCTAAGAACAGTGATCCAAGACATTTAAGGACATTTATGGACATTTATTAACATTGGTCATCTGCCCCTTATGTCCCCCTGAGATAACTACTGTTTCGATCTAGAGCTATTGTTACGGACCAAGTCCTTGTTTTTCTCCTTACCACACCTGTGTGGTAATCAGCTGGGAGGAATAAAGGGCCTGGTTCCAGTCAAGGATCTCTCTCAATTGAGAAGAGAGGTTGGCCAGAGCACGCCTCTAAAGCCCAGGTGAGGGGGGGTCACTGTGGCGGGTGGTGGGGAGTGGGGGATGAAGTGTGGTGGGGACTTGATATTGTGCGTCACATTACGTCTTCCGTCTTCCGTCTCCCGCAATTCGATTATCGATATGCATTTGCCAAGTATCAATATCGATTTTGAATTTTTGTTACAAATTATTTGTTTTAATTGGTATCAATACTTAATATAAGGCTACATTACTCCATTCCATTTATCATGAAATAAAGTGTATTTTTTCTTTTATTTATGCCATAAATTGGCATATTGTATATTTCTGACCAATATATCGATAATCGTCATATCGTGATATCGTTATCGTGATAATATTGTTATAGTGAGCTTTGTATCGTGTATCGTATCGTATTGTGAGGTACCCTTAGGTTCCCGACTCTAGTGCTGTCGCAATAACACTTCAAACATTCAAGAATCTGTCTTTATTTAATTGCCAGAACACACCAACATTCACTTGTATCCTACCTGGCTCCGTTCGCTCTGATCGTACGCCACACTTTTCATCCTTTCATTCTCATTCATTCATTTCTCAGCGCTCTTACTCTTGACAACGAGGTAGTCGCTGAAGTTAGTATTAGCGTTGCACTACAGCACAGTTGCTCTGGCACGGTTGCGAGAAGAAGCTCTTGAGACTGCGGGCCGAGCTTCACACCCCTGTAGTGACGATCCGGGCCACTTGGCCTAGTTAGTTTGTAAAAACCTATGTGACCGTGCACTCTCCATGCATATATACTGTATATAATTGTGTAGAATACATGTTTTTTACGTTTTGGACCACTGCTTCCCGTCTCAGTTCCACGCCCAGTTTAAGTATTGTAGTTTTTGAGCCACACTCCTGGACACTACCACTCGGCTCCTGACAGCTATACAAAAATACATTGAATTGAAACCCTAATGTGCTGACGAATATTGAATGGTGTGTTACGTCAGTGTGTGACCATTCGTCAGTGGAACATGCTGCCCACAGAGCTGATAGAAAGCACAAATACTTACATGTTCTCACGCCTTCTAAAGAAATGGTTATTATCAAACCAAACTTGCACTCATGTGTAGCTTGTGTGTGTGTGTGTGAGAGAGAGGGGGGGGGAGTGTGTGTGTTTGACCAGTATAAATGAGTGATATGAATGTGAGTTTTAAACAAATTGTGCACGTAAAGACTTGTATTTTGGCTAAATGTAAACTACATCCATGAACGTGTGTTATTTTTAATGTGATATAATCAGCCTGCCCAGGGACTACAGGTGGAAATTAGCTCTTGAGCTATAACCTGGTACAATGCATCTCTCCTTTTGAGGTTAATGTTTATTGCGCACTGTCCTTGTCATCTTAAATAAATAAACTAAACTAAACTAAACGTCATAATGGCTTTGGAATTCAGCTTGTAATTCAGTCACGACTGGGTCTACTAAATCTGGGGTACCTAACTTTCAAACCACAAGACAACGTACCTGTGTTATCTATCAAACTATTTCCTGGCAGCAAAACAGATTGGATTTATCATAGTTTTCACATTAATACATTTTTGGCCTCTTTCACATAAAATCTGAATTTTCAGAAAATGCTCTATTTTTCACTTCCGTCACTCAGCCAATAAGCTTTCGAGAAAAAGAGGGAGGATTTTGTATGCTTTCCCACCAGTATGTAATAGATATTTTTTGATTTGTGGAATCTAATGTGACAACAACAATGAATGTTACTTTTACAAGACTCATACTGATGGGAAAAAGTATTTATTATTTATGAAACAAAACTACAGTTTGGTACCCCAGCTTTAACTATAAAAATGTATTCATGCAATCATTATTTTCATAGCACCATTCCTTATCGGACATCTATAACAAAACATCTTATAAATGTGCCAAATTATAGCACTGACCTAAGTTTTCATCTGTTGTTCTTATCTTATATTTTACGGTGCTCAGAGAAGGTTTGTGACATGAGCTCTTTTTTAAGCTATGTGTGTTTGTATTGAATAGTTAAGACAGTGACCTCACCTCTGCTCCTCATCGGCTTTGACTGAAGACATGACCATTCCTGTCTGGACGTCTATGACCTTCATACAGTAGTCCTCTCCCACACTGAGCACATGTCTGCTGTCTGGAAAAGAAACTAAACCAGTAAGAGTCAGGCTCATTGTCCAAATTTTTTGGTCTGTTATGGGACAAGATGGAACAATCCCTTGATTAGGTGCCTGAGATTTTGTCTCGCCTTTTCATCCATAGGGTGGCTTGCGTGCTCTGCTGCTCCTGAGAGGGCTTTGATGGTCTGTTGTTGGGCTTGGCCTCGAATGCCAAGATCCTTAAAAAGCTTGATGGTTGACTTGCCCACATAGCCTATGCAGCCAACTTCAGATGGGCAAATCTTGGATTTCCAACCACACTGCTAGCTTCCGCGGCTAGCACTTTGTACTTGTACGCCTGAGGTTTGTTTTTCAGCCGACCAGAATGTGTTTAAGGTTTGCAGGGGATGGACAGAGTGGGCTCATGGGGTTGTCTTCTCCATTATACCACTGGCTGAGGTTAAAGGGGGAGGAGGGTAGGGTAGGGGATTGTTTATGGTCCGTAGAATGAAGCTGCTGTGAAATGCCTCCATACCCATCAACTACCTTCACAATAATTTCCTCCTTTCAACTCCATCCCATCTCCTCCATTGACCTTGTATAGACTGTGAAACAGCCTTTGCACACCTTGCTGCCTGCTCTTGGCACCGCATCTCCTCAATGACCAACCCTCGGCGCTGAGGATGATTTACTCTCCCCAAGGCCGAGGCCTCCTCAGCCCTGTTGAACAAGGCCAATGATGTCTTGTTGTCTGAGGTCTAACTTGGCCTACTGAAGAGCTGCCTTTGGACTGCACTTCTATGCGGTCCCCAGGTAAGGAGCCGCTTGTCTCTGGATCCTTTGAGCGTCATCTCCATCCTTACTTTGAGACACTTGAACTCCTCTGTGAGGCTGGACACCGGAAGCTCAAGTACGCCCCTTCCATACAGCCCAATGTTACTGAAACATCTTAGTTGTTTGAAAATGACTGGACCTCCTGAGTTTCTATCAAGTTCTCAATCATTGAGATCTAATCTAATATTATATCAAGACTGCTTTTATACTAGTTTGTAGTTGGCGAATTCAAACCATCTATCATTGGTGAAATGGTCACAATTACGGCATAAGTTTTGCCCATGACAACATACAGTACAAGATATGGAAATAGGTAATTCCATTGAAAGAGCTATTTTACACACAGTGAGGTGATGGCCATAATTAACAGCCGAACGTATTGCTTGTTATAAGTCTGACCTGGACTGAAGGCCGTGTGGTGGACCGTCCCGAGGTGACATGGCAACTGCTGCAGCACCTCGTGGCTCTGGGTGTCCCACAGAGAAACTGTCCCATCTTTACAACCGGACACCAGCAGAGTACCAGCCACACTCAAGTTTATGCTATTCACCTGAAGATGGACATCACAAACAAAAGGAGGTATATAAGCCAGTTTTTTCCACCATTAAAAATCAAAGGCATTTTTGTCCCATAAAAAACATTTACCGTTTAATAAATATATTGTTCTAGCTACAGAACTTTTAAACCATTACTCCATATAGTCAGTACGGTGTGTGAACATCTATACGAAAATACCACCATTCAAAAGTTGTGATATATTTTTTAACTTGTTTAAATGATAAGTCTAATAGTCAATGAATTAGAGGTTTCAGCTTGTTAGGTTTGTTTTCTAAGTGCATCGTTAATTGTTCATTTTAAAGGCACAGTGTTTAAAACCATTAGTCTTGCAAAAAAAGAAGGATTTTCCTTAGATTTAGCTACTGATACTTCCCATTTGCTTTCTGTGGGTTGGTGAGAACACAAAAAAGATGCATTTGAATTATGATCAACAAGACCTACTATGCAATAGCATTTCTTTCCTCTTTTAAATTATGTATTTAGCTCTATAGTTTTTATCTCTAAAAAAGTCCTTAAGAATAGCTTAAAGTAGCCTCACCCCAGCATCATGTTCTAGTTCAGCCAAGAGTTCAAACTCAGATCTTTTATGAGCGTTTTCAGAGGCGCAGTGCCAGACCTGTGACAAGAACAAAATATGTATAAAAAAATAAATAAAAAAAACGACAATTACAAATTTCCCTTTATATCAAGATTTACTTTGACAGTGGAGTCCCATGAAGCTGTATACAGTCGGTCATCGAACCAGCGAATCACACTGACCGCATCGTCATGGCCCATGAGGGTGTCCTGGCGCCGGCCGAAAGGGACAGAGTAGAAATATCTGTAAAAGAGATGAAGATATAAAGCTCATGGAGACAAATAATACCATCACTAAACACAATTGCTTACACATTGTTGTCCCATGAAGAGCATGCCACAGTTTTACCATCCGCCAGAGTCAAACAGGAGGATAACGCCTTTACAAAACAAGCTGTTTAGGGAATTATTAATTATAATTATTGAACTATTGAAGTGTTTTTCTACCATGTTTGAGAAAGACATGCTTCTCTGGAACTCCTTCAGCTCTTTAGAATACATCTTTAAGGTTGAGTCTGAAAAAAGGCATTACATGATTTTAACATAAATAGATAACACAGTGGTCTATAATTGTAAATTGGCTTGTTGAAGCTATCTTCGGCAAAAAATATAACAAAAGTATTAATATTTTCCGCAATTGATCACTAACACTTTTTTGTCATCTGGATACAAAAACATGTAATAGTACTATTATTTAAAATATATTTTTTAGATGTATTGCATTGTTAACTTGTTTCTGCTGCAGAGCTGCGAGTCATCTTCAGAACTGTGACGTGTCATTTATCAGCAGATGTTACTTCCTGATAGGTCGTTCTGACTGACCATGCCCCAGAGAGACCCCCAGTTGTCTCCTATTCACATGCCTTCTGATCCTTTTTTTATTTGTGGAATGCATGCCCCGTTTCCCCTATGTATGATTTTGGACCCGACTTGCATTGGATTTCATATATTGAATTAAATTTTTGATCTGGTGGTAAAGAGTCCTTAGGGTATATTAACTGTTGTCGTAGTTTATAGTGAGGTTTGAATGCTGTACCAATATCTTTTATGAGACTGTATTTCTGTGCTCCTGCTGCTCTCTAGTGGTGGTGATTGGTTTATTCCTGTTTTTCTTTTTTACTTTTTCTTTCACCTGCTGTCACACTTTCTCTTTGGCCAAATTTGGGTACTGACATTTCTCTCTGTGTTTGTCGTCTGTGTCGAGTGTGGTCCAATCAAAAAGTGTTCTTATGACTGAGTCCGACTAAGTCCTCTGAGATTACTGCTAGTGTGATTTAGGGATTGGGAGTTATGATTTTGAATCTATTTGAAAGTTGAATATTGATCTATGTGTGTGGGTTTTTGGTATATGTTTATTTTTAATGCTGTCGTCTTCGATGTAGTGTATTTAAACGTCCAGAAATGCTGTGGTCTTGTCTCCTCCTTGTGTGTGAAATAGATGTTACCGGTGCTGTCCTGTGAGTTGACATGGTCTGTGATTGCTTATGTACGTGAGTATGTCCATATTGTATATTTTCCAGGATGTTGTCCATGAAGTGCCCACACTGCAGGGGTGTGTGTAGTATGCGTTTGGTTCCAAGTGTTCCATAAAAGATTAAAAATAAACTGGTCATGATTGCGCATAAGGGATCTCTCATCGCAAAACCTTGTTTCTGTCTGTACCTAATGTTCCACACATGGGACACCCTCCTCCAGAGACCACCGGGTGTGGTCAGTCAGAACGACCTGCCAGGTCAATCAGGCTTGACCGTACATACTCAGGAAGTAGATAAATGTCAAGTCATCAAGGCAAGAGACGGTTTTGACGATTGGCTCACAGCTTTGCAGCCGAAACATGTTAACAAGGTCATTCACCAGACTGCCAAGTAAAGAATACTTTGGTTTGATAGATGACCGGATCTCTCCAAACGTCTCGGCCACTTGACACAATCTTGTGGAGGTGACATGTAAAGAAGTCCGCGTTCAGAAAGGGCACCCGCTGCACAGAGGCTGTACCGAGTTCTATCATGGATCTATCATAATAAATAGTTTTACAAACGCGGTGTGAAGAGAAGAGACGCATGGAGGAATAACGTCTGCGGGAGCTTAAAACTGCAATTATCAAAGAAGCAGGACATATACACAGCCGCGGCAGAAAACAGAACATTCACTCATGCTGCTGATAAAGTATTCTGGCGATTGTTTTGTGGGGATTCTGTGTGTTTTATTTGAGGCTTTGTCCCTGAATGAGTTTAGTTGAAACTTAGTAGTTGGACTGCGCTCTGATTGGGTCAGAACATCCTGAGACTGTGTTGTAGAGTCTGCCTCGTTCTCATTATTGTCAGTGTGAAAAAGTTACGTATTGTTCACGTGTGAGTCTGTTGTGTACAAACTACACGATTTGCCTCCTGTTGTGTTGACGCTGTCTTTCGGTGCGTGTGGTTTGCGATGTTGACACTTTGCTGCTACGACTTTTGCATAATTATTTTTCTTAAAGATTGACGTTCGGGTCATTCTTTTACACAACTGTGGTCCTCAATGGTTCTTTTATGTAACTGTGGTCCTCCATGGTTCCTTCTTCCAACTTGTGAAGGCACGGTGAAAGCAACGAAATCAGTAGCTCATGTGAAACTAAAGCGCAATTCTCGCATCCTTTTTGTCCCTTATCCACCACTGTTTTTCAAGATGGCGCATTGACACGGAGAGCACTCCTCTCTCACAGACATATATTAGTTAAATTCTCAACCTATGAAGACAATTCTTAAAAAGGTCGCATTTGTTTTCAGTTAACAGGTTTTTTCATATGGAGCAGCTGTAAAAATTACACAGGGTGGCTTTAAATAAATTCTAACTTGTTGAGAGTTTTTTAAACTATAATGAAATAACTGTAAAACATTTGTCATTTTTCTCTAAAATTATTGATAGTAGTAGTGGTATAAAAATGGTGGCTGACCTTGAGAAGTGGAGAAAATGGCCGAACCATCTTGTGTTACAGTAATGCCCGTTACAGTTCTGCAAATTTAGAAAATGACAATGAAAAGACAATCTAAATACTGAAGACTTTGAAGGAAACAAAACAAAGCAATCATTTGGACAGCACCAATGTGAAAATAACAACACAATATGAATGGCTGCTGTAATCCCACACAAGGTCATGAGATGGAGGATGGACTGGAGTGAGTTCAGCCATGTGGACTCACTCCTTATGGATTTTGTGGCTGGAGAGGAGTTTCAGATTTCCCATGTTTGCCCAGGCCAGCTTCCTGCTCTCCTCCGTCAGGTCTTCAAATGAGGAGTCAGTGCTGGGAGAGGCTGTGGGACAAAGGGTTCATGATTACAGAAGATCAAGATACATTGACAAAATGCTGTCACTGCTTCACAGTGATGAATACAGTGTGCATGTGAGTAAGGACATTATGATTCAAGATGCCAACACCTGCATTCCAACTGAAAGTGAGTGTGACTAGCAACTAGATTAGTTAGAATCTCTAAATAATATACTGTATAATGTTGATTACCACTCAATAGAATGAATCCATAAGAAAACTTGTTATACTAGTTTAATGCCACACTGAAGCATACTGGTAATTTCATGTTACTGCATAGCTTTTCCCCTCATTAGACACATTTCACTCGCTCGTTAGTTGGGGCTGAAAACCCATATATAAACAATGACCATGGATAAATAAGTTTTACCTGGAGACAATTCGCTGCCGGGAGAGTTGATGCTGATGCTGGGGCTGCGTGTGATGTTGTGAAATCGAGGGGTGATCCTTTGAGGATGGGGACTCGTGAAAAGCTGGGTGGGGGTCTGTCCAAATTCCAAAATCTGAGTCAGCATCGCAATCCTCTGGTCTGGATCCTCAATGCTGCAAATTGACCATAAATTAGCAAATTATACATTTCAACTTCAAACTACATTACAATGAACTTACCTATCACAGTCTATGCCTCCTTCATAGGTCAATGGATGGAACACTGGAAATATTTTTTAAAAACAATTTAAAATTGTAATTTGCCTATCCAATATTGGCCAAACTAATAATATTAGTACCATTGTGAGCTCCTATGGCTTCACTGCCTCTCTGTTTATAGCCAAATATTAAATCAATCCATTCATGAAGGTGCTCCGACACGAACTGACTCTCCAGAGCAGTCCTGTGCTTCTGAAGAAAATCACTGGCATCTGCATTAAACACACAAGAATTGCTTCATAAAAGTCCAACTTATTTTAGCATTTCATGTTTTGGACAGTGAAATAACATGTATACATGCATGGATTGAATGACTATTGGCACATCTTGTGTGTTGCAAATTTTAGTTTCCCACAGAATAATTATTTTTCACTTCAGAGGCTCTGCACAATACAGCCACAAAGTTGTAAAGAATGTTAATTTTGAAAAAGCAACAACAACAACTTATTCTTGTATAGCCCTAAATCACAACAGAAGTCATCTCAGAGGACGTAACAAAACCATTGAAATCACCAACACAGATCAGAGAATCAACAGTTAAGACACAAAATATAAACATATGTATTGGTCCATAGGGAGAGACCAATGTCCATGAATGTTGATAAATGTCCATACATGTTGTAGAATGTTAAAGTGTCCTGGATCATCACCACAGTCCTTCTAGTTGGACACTAACTGCCCAACAGACCCTCCTGCATCGGCAAGGAAAAACGAATAAGATAAACCCATTGGGAAAAAAGTGAGAAACCTCGGGGAGACCCACATTTGGTAAGTGCGGAGAGGCAATACATTTGTGTCTCTGAACATGATGTAACATAGTAAGGATCCTTCATAGTTGTGTTTGACATTGTACAACACAAAGATTATCCACCTTCTAAGAATAAAAATAGTAATCTACCTGAGGCCCAAGGAGGGAGAGCAACATCCCCAACATAAGTCCCGTTTTGCCGTCTGCCCAGATCCAAACCCAGGCGGTTTTCCAGAAAAGTGCTATCAGTCCCATAAAACTCTGGTATAAGCTGCATTATAAAGGGATTATACAAGAGATTAATATACAGTTACAGTGAATATCATACATTTACTTCTACAAATGCATTCCTCACCTCTTTAAAATCTGTAGCTCCTTCTAAACAGTTTCTCCAAGTTTCTCCAACACTATCAAAGAAATGTTTGAAAAATGAGACTTTTTGAATTAACTTATTTATTTTAAATCATACTTTATGTGTTTTGGTGAGCATTTTACCTATTAAACATGCGGTCCGCATGGTCGTAGCGTCCGTTCTGCAAGCACAACATGTGCTCTGGAGCTAAGAGAAAAATTAATACAATAAATTGAAAAATTAAAGTTGGTTATATTCATCCGACTCTCAAAAGTAGTCAGTAAATTACTGCAATTACATTGCAAACAGAACCCCAGGCAATCGCAACCTGTTGCTCTCCCTCCTATTATTCAAGTGGAGCAATATACAAATTATCAAACATATTTTTTTTTAGGAGCACAACTTTATAAAGGAATTAGCAGCGCATGCTAAATCCATGTAGTGAAAAGCTAATCATACTCTCAGAATTAATCTTAAGCCACTCCTGTCCCGACTGTCCGAACTGAACCAAATTAATTGATGTTGTGGAATATTGGTCTGGCTTTTGCCAGGTTTATGAAAAACCAACATGGGTACAAACTTTCCCACTTTTTCGCCTCTAGTGTCAAACAACATGGGGCCACGGTGGAAAATACCTACAGACTGAATGAGTGAGACTGGAGGAAGCAGGCCAGATCAATTCTTCAGCCCCATGTTTTTTGACCATAGGCAAAGGACAACAGCCATTTTTGTGGGCCACTGTGCTAAACAATGATACAAAACACTTCCCATTTGTTAGAAGTCCCGTTTCATGCTTTCTATTTAAGCTCTCAGATGACCAATCAATCAAAATATCCCCCGACATATGTGTTAATTACAAGTTTAAAACTTGATGTCTGTTCAACTTCAGGCCACAATAAACACATGCTCATTTAAGCACAAAAACCCCACACAGACTGAAATGTCTGTGCAAATAGCAGTAGTAATCTGTCAACACAAGCACTCCATGTTTCAGTTGAATCAATGTAACCTGTGTATTGACTCTAAAGTTGTGTGACTTACCCACTCTCACCAGATAAAATAGAACATATCCGGGAGATGAATAATGGCTGCCATACAGAAAACTGGGCTCCGGCATCCCCCGATATCGAGCCTGAGGGTGCGGAAACAGAATTTTAATACATCACCTCCAACAGTGATGTGGGTTATTTTGCTGCAATATAAAGATAAGATGTCTAGCACAAGTTTTACCAAAAGTCTGTCTAATCGCTCCTTGTTCAGTGCACCAACAGGTTTACTCAAATCTCTGAAAGAGGCAGCGTTTGTCAAATCTGCAAAAAGTGGAGAGGAAATAGTCAGTTTAGCTTCCCTTTATATGGTGTGTCTGTAATAATGTTCAACTGTGTGGTTAAGGTCAAAGTAACTTTAGATAACAAAGAAATTTAGAAAACTGGAGAGAAATCTTGTTGGAAGCCAGGTTGCAATATAGAAAGTGCTCCACATTCAAGAGCAACCCTGGTGCCTATATTTATTTAATTTTAATATAATTTTGAACCATTTGAATGTAAAATTGATTTTTTTTTTATTTTGTACACTTCTATAATAAATATTATTGATGAAATTCTATTATATTCAACAGGGTCTTGAAGTATTTTGCACAGAGAATGACTTTTGCTCAGATATACAGTATAGTAGACTAAAGTAAAACAATGAGGTTGTATACAATGGATTCATAGATTTCCTGAATACATCGACTATTTTTGAATACTCAAAAAATCAAAACAACTTTTACTTTGCACTTTGTTCATCTCAAAACAGTGTGTGCTGTATACCGAGCTGGGCGCTGCTGTAGTCACTGAGCACCCAGGGGCAAACGGGGTACTGCGACAGGTCGTTACAGGAGCGGTCTGCCAGGTTGTTCAGGTGCAGCAGGTACTCGTAGTTACTGAGGAGGCCACGCTGCCACTGCAGCATATAGCTGTCTGCTGTCTGCTCTGTCATGTGGTTCTCTGACACACATACACACACATTAACACACACACACGCACACAAACCCACAAACATGTGCACGCACAAACATACACACACGCACACACCCCCACGCACGCACACACAAGCCCATAAACACACACACACACACACGCAAGAAAATACATTACATGAGTTTTCCTGGGGTTTTATGTAATTCATGATCAACTATAAAAACGTCAGAGTCACTTTAATTTATTAAGTCAAATCCAGCAGATATGTTATACTTAGAAATGTATTTTTACAAACATTATTAACTGTTACTGTTATAACATTTCAACACTGTATGTATGTACTGAATGAAGAAGTTTTTTATGGTCATTTACAATCTCTGCATGTTTCCACTGGTCAAATCTCAACTGCAGAATATTATGAAAACAGACACAGTGTAAATTAACTTACCAAGAAAAGTGGCAATATAGTAGTATATTTCATCCCTGTCTGCGCTGACATAAAACTTCAGATATATATCTGAGCAAAAGTCATTCTCTGTGCAAAATACTTCAAGACCCTGTTGGATATAATAGAATTGCATCAATAATATTGATTATAGAAGTGTAAAAAATGAAATAAAAATCAATTTTACATTCAAATGATGCATACTGTATTAACAGTATACTCACAAGTGGCCTCAGTCCATGCCTCCTCTTGTAGATTCTTCTGATACTGTGAAGTTTAATTTGAATTATTTGCTCCTGTAAGACACAAAATAGGATTATGTTATTGAGCAGTATAATAATAAGAATGTATGGAGGTCATTCTTACTGGATATCCATTGAGAGGCTGGAAGTAGAGGTTTTCATCAGTGACGCAGACATGACCTGGATTAGACACAAGTGGAGTCACCATCTCCACTGTACACTCCATGTGGGGCTTCTCCACAACACTCTGAAAGCTGCATGTAAACCAAATGATCAATATGACAGTTAATCACAAATAGTGGCTTGTATACACATACCAGTTTTTGTCAAATGTGGTCCTTGCCAAACGAGACTGCAGATTGGCCTCAACCTAATAAAGTTGTGAAAATATATTTGTACATTCAAAAGTTCATTGATTTTGGAAGCTTCAACTGACCATAGCTGTCTGATCTCCAAGCTTCTCCAGACAAGACGCTCTATGAAGCTGCAGCATAGAGAAACTATATAAGTTTACTGTACATTTACTGTACATTTGAAATAACTGGAGAAATTCCTTTTGAAGTACCTGTAACAATGTCTGAACAACATCTTCTGTCTTAGTCCAAACCTCTAACTGAAAAGTGAGTCGCTTTGTCCCCTACACAGAACAGCTAAAATTCAATGACAATATTCATTAAAGAAGATAGAATATATGGGACAACATACCCTCTCAATTGTATAAGGTGCAATCACATTACTTTCTTTGATGTAAATTATCTGTAACAAAGTGATTAGATTGAGCTACATCAACTCTGACTGAAAATCTCAATAACATTTCTACAACACTCACCTGGCCACATGAAATTGAAATAGCAGATGGCTTTGGGCTGAATAAGAATAATACAAGTCTTAATTTAAAGGATAGAAAGCTTAGAAAGTTGTTACATAATTTCAAAATATAAAACAGTATTACATTTGTCTCTTAAAAGAATATACTTGTAGATGACTGATACTCACTTATTGAATGGATTAGTGTCTTTTTGCACAAACTCAACCATTTTGCAGTCTCGAAAGGGAATCTATTCATGAAACAAAGACACAACAGCAATAAGTTACAATCATAACAAGCAACCCAGGTTTAAGAAACATTGATGTAGAATGAGATCAATCTTTGTGCATTGTAACCTTCAAAATTGGCGTTTGAAAGTCATCTGGGTCAAAAATGACAGATTTTGAGCAGATCTTGAATGATCCTCTGACCTTTCTGTGTGTGGGGAGGACAAATGCAATATGAAACTACAGGAATAGATTATGTTAAAAATACCACATGTTGTATTATTGCAGGTTCTATAGGATAATACATTCTAGGACACATACATATAACATGATGAAATGTACTGCAGGTAAACATCCTTTGTAAACATTGGGGAACTACGCTTACATGCTTTTAAGAAAAGCATGTAAGCGTACATGCCAAACAAGCAGAAATGTTAGTGCCAGCGGACATTGCAGTTATGTCTATCACGTTAATTATCATAATTGTTTAAATAAAAATGATTCTGATTCCGATTCTGATGATTATTTATCGTTCAATAACTAATGAATGGGCCAATATATTGTGGGTCTCATTATTTATTGTCTGTAATGAAATGTAATGTAATGTAATGTTCTCAAATTTTTTTGAGAAAAAAAAGCGACCCAAGCTCCCTCTACCTTCCTTTCTGATTGGTCTTGAAGCCGCGCCTACATTTCCTACAAGTCCAGGTCAATAGGAAAAGACGTGTGGAGGAGAGAGCGAAGGACGGACATGCGAAATGGGTATATTCTGATCTTGAGCTGAGTGTTGATCCATGGCTGCGCTCGGGACTAATGGTGGGGGCTTGATTCGGAGGCTCCGTGAAAACAAACAACTGAGCATGCGCGCAGTTACATGTGCGCTCGTGATGATTGACAGCCCTTGGCATCAAGTAGGCAGGTAGGCAGGTAGGTAGGTGGGTGAGTGGATGGATGGATGGATGGATGGAGGGATAGATACTTTATTGATCCCTGTAGGAGAAATTCAGGTGTCCAGTAGCAGCCAAAATATAAAATAAAAATGATCATTCTAAAAAGTTAAAAATAGTAATTATCAGCAACAGCCCTTCAGGTCACAGCAGCAGAGGTGGAGTAGTCTCTGGGTGGAGCAGGACGGCTCACAGCAGCAGAGGTGGAGTAGCCACTGGGTGGAGCAGGACAGGTCACGAGGTGGAGTAACCGCTTGGTTCAGACCATTTTCTCTGCTCGAGTCCAAAATATAATGCTAAATTCTTTATCATTATTCATTAGCATTGAATTCCTCCAGTGGATTTGTGCCTGATCCGCTTGGTTCGGATCATGAATCCTCTCCACTTCGGTCTGGACCATTGTAAAACGATGGACACTGCACTGCAGCAATATCTCAGGTAGAGAAAAGCAATAAAAATTAAAATTCAAAAGCACAAAACAACTGTTTCAGAGCTACTTAGGACTTGCTGCCGTTTTCCAGTGCATTCAAAAGTAAAGGTGAACGGCACCGTGGATTTTAAGCCAAAGTTAAGATAATGTAAGACGGGATTTACCCGTAATATTATAATTCATCAAATGACTTATTTTAAATCGACATTTAAAGCCAGGAGGTCAATTTGATACGATTAGAGTTCCAGACTATCACTTTAACAGATGTCAATTATTATGCTTAAGGTTATGACATAATACTATAACTCAATCACAGACCAAATCTGGTGCAATTAAATTACAAAGTAAAACATTTGACTTCAAAGCGTTCAAAATAATGCAGCAGTGTATTTCTGTAGAACCTCTCTTTGGTGGATGTAGTGGTCACATGGTACACTGTGTGTTGTTCAAAATAGTACTCCTCGAGGTCCAGCAGGAGGAGGGAAAACCTGGAGAGGACAAAAGATTAGTAAATTCAAAGGAAAGTGATAATTATCGATCAATCTATGTGACAAGAAAACAATCAACTTTTGTTTTGCAATTTTCCGCTGCATCCAATTATGGCTGCTGACTTTATCCGAAAATCCTTTAAACCAACACAAATTCTAATTTATTTATATTCTAAATATTGTGCATATACCGCAAGCGTGGCCATAGCATGACACGTTATTGAATAGTAACATTTCATCATTTGATTATGAACAGACGTCACTGATAGAAAAAACAATAGTCTAAGATTATTTATAATTATTTTACAAATTACTGACATTAAGGGGTCGTAAATGTAGGTGCCCAAAAATTGAGCAACCAACATATAAGATTTTGTATTTGTTCCTATGAATGTGTATAGCTTACACAAAATAAAGAAAGAAATGGAGCTTACATCTCTTAATAATATGTATAGGTCAGTGCATTGCATTGGGTGGGCATCACAAAGCATCACTTCACACTGAGTAGATGCCCAAAACCACATAATCTCTACAGTATTCAGTTCAGATACCATGAGTGCTTGAGTACTACATCTGAAAAGTAAAACCATAATGATTTAATCCTAATAGGTGTTTGTACATGTCTAAAAGAAACAAGAACTGATTTTTTTTCTACCATATGCCAGTTCTATTTAAGATAAGATAGACTTTATTGATCTCACACAGGAGAAATGTACAATATAGCATTATTTATTGCCGAAAATAATGCATTTTGGTACATTGTACAGCACATCAAGACATAGTTAAGCAATGAGTGACATGGTACTGAGGTACCATTAGCCCAGTAGCCCTCCAAGTCAATATTAATGAGATTCATCCACATCCACTCAAAGTAAGTGAAGGAAGCAGCCATTCAAAGCTGTGAATAGGCAGCTCTGCAAGCAAAACAAATCCGTAATAGTACTATACACATGCAAAGCTGTGCAAACCTTTCTTTTGGTCGTTCTTGAGGCTTTAAAAAGGCCATGATCCCGTTTACATCCTCCTCAGAAACAAAAACATCGAGCTCTGTGCTCTCGGTCTGTAAACACGGAAACTTGCCCTGCACCACGTGACCATCTCAGAGTCAAGCGATCGTTGATGCGGACAAAATAATGATGCGCCACACTGATCACATCATTAAAAATACAAGTAAGGACCCGTCATGGATCTATAATAAGTACAGTAGGGTAAAGTTAATTGAAAATATGCTTTCAACTATTACATCTTTTTTTTCTTCTTTAATAACAGATTCGCACCTAACTCCTCAGCGAAGTGATTTTAAAGTACATTGTAGAAAATGTTTCCAATAGACGATCGTCACCTTACGACGTCTTGCCATGTCACCGAGAGCAGGGAAGTTTTCTCTCTTCAAATGTTGCTGCTAAACATTTTACGCACTTTACTCTGAACAATGATTGTCCTATACATCAGCGACAATGCAGTGGAAAAGACAAGGCACTGGTTGTATCTTTAGCTTCCTTTTTGTTGCGTCGTATTTCACGAACAAGGTGAGTGCCTTGACATGTTTTATCTTCTGTATATTTGGGTAGAAAACTGGATATTAAGAACATCGTCCTATAGGTCTGGACATTTTACCTATCCCATCCATTAACCTGATGCGTAATCAGGTCAGCAGTACAATTCTAGAGCCTGGTTTTCAATAGTTATTTACGAACAATCCTTATCTCCACAAAGAAAGGTAAATAAAGTGTAATTGAGAGACAATTTAATGAAGTAATAACGTTTGTTTATGTATGTGTTTATTTAATGCCTGGTCCTATCTTGTTTTGTTAAGCACTTTGCCTTGTGTATGAACTGAGCTATACAAATAAACTTTTCTTGCCTTGCCACCTTGCATATTTTAGTTGTGGAAATGTGATATGAATACCCGAGCAGCAGTTCCTTGATGATTGCATTGCTAAGTTGGCTTTAGGGTATCCCATGACAATGTGGACGTGCAAAGACTCCCAAAATTCCTTTTATTTGTTATTTTGACGGCATGTTTTTCACATTTCCTTTCTTAGTTTGTTCTTTCTGTATTGAAGTTTACATATCCAACACTCTTCCAAGGGTAAGTCATTGTATTGAATCAATGTAGCATGTGTATATGTTAATCTAACTGCATTTGTTTCAGATGGCAGACTCTTATTGGGGCAGTGCTGCTGCTCTTCTGTGTAAAGCTGGGTTGGGTGGAAATGAGCCACATCAACAGGTGAATCCTCCTCGGACTACTCAATGTCAAATACTTTTACAAATGTAAGTACTGGTATTTTGCAGGTCAGCAGCACTTTCCTGGCTTCCTGGCTCACTCCTGTTTGTTGGAAACATATATGCTGGCTCCAGGGCCTTGTCGCGCATGGTATTAGTAACTTCAAGCTGGACCATTGTATATCCAATCTAATATTATCTAAGTCAATTTATTTGTTGTAGGACATTCCCCTTTTCTTCACACTCCAGAATTACTCTCATGTTGTGAGTTACATTATCGGAAAGTTTGTTTACAGAATGGTAAGAACTAAATGGTACCTAATTAATATCTGCAATACGTTTTGCACAAACTCAAATGAACTTTACTGCTGCCTTGATGGACAGACCATAAACAATATTTCATTTTTTTTTTTCATTTTTAACAATTGTACTAAATGACAATGTCTTTATCTACAGAGGGTACAATGGTTGAAATTTATCAGGTTGGTTTTATTCATTGTCGAAATAAGTTTTAAAAGTACAAGAAACATTTTTATACTTTTTTTTCTTGCAGCATTTGTCTCATGATGCTGTCAGCCATCAACCTTCCCATCAACGATCCTGGGGTAAATACAAATAACCCAAAGTTAAAAATAACTATTTGAAATAAATAAAACTGTTTTTCTGCACTGCTTATTCTATGATATCTCTTTGGCCCACTTTCTATAGTTTGACAAGATTGCTTATCAATGGGCTGTTGCTCACCTTATTTGTGTTGGTAAGAATACATAGTTTGAACACGTCACAATTGTCATATAGTTTATAAAGTTTACAAAAGTCTTTTGCCATTTTAGGTTCATACAGAGTTTTCCAAGTTAACCACAAATCCCCAAGCCTTAGGTGAGTAAAATTACTAAATGACATCCACAAGTCAGTTTTTGAGTAGAACTAATACAGTCTCCCTAGACTGCATACGGTTCTATACAGTCCCTACTATGATTTCATGATTTGTAATTAATGTTTCATTGCAGTGACATCGAGCAACAGTGCATCAACTATGTTTTTAGGTAAATTATATTCTATAAAAAAAGAAAAAAAAACATTTAACATGGAGTACCTAACTTTCAACCTGGCATATTGTGGAAGTGGGTATGTGTGCCATAAAATGTAATATTTTGCATCATCTAGCATGTAAGATACTGGACATGAGGAGACGCCAAAGTAAATAGTGTTTAAATCACTATTCTGCATGGTGCGTCTGTTTTCACGAACACCTAATTTTCTCAGCTTTTTGTCAAACAACTCTTTTCAACTGGGGATTAAAGTAGAACGAAACAAACTAGAAACACAATTCTAGAAACACAATATTCTGTGGGTCTTGAAAATCAGTGAAATGATCAAAAATGACTGGCAGTCAATGAGTTAAATAATCTAAACTTAAACTTTATAAGCATCAAATAATTTTTTTCCCAAAAAACAGTGTTCTTCTGCTTGCAATGGCAGCTCATCCAACAGGTAATGGAAGTTTACAATATACATTATATAGAACATGCATACAGTGATATGAATATACAGTGGGGCAAAAAAGTATTTAGTCAGCCACCAATTGTGCAAGTTCTCCCACTTAAAATAATGACAGAGGTCTGTAATTTTCAGCATAGGTACACTTCAACTGTGAGAGACCGAATGTGAAAAGAAGAATCCAGGAATTCACATTGTAGGATTTTTAAAGAATTTATTTGTAAATTATGGTGGAAAATAAGTATTTGGTCAATAACAAAAATTCAACTCAATACTTGGTAATATAACCTTTGTTGGCAATAACAGGTCAAACAATTACTATTTGTCTTTACCAGGTTTGCACACACAGTAGCTGGTATTTTGGTCCATTCCTCCATGCAGATCTTCTCGAGAGCAGTGAACACGGACTTTCAACTCCCTCCACAGATTTTCAATGGGGTGGATGTCTGGAGACTGGTTAGGCCACTCCAGGACTTTCAAATGCTTCTTAAGGAGCCACTCCTTCGTTGCCCGGGCGGTGTGTTTGGGATCATTGTCATTCTGGAAGACCCAGCCACGTTTCATCTTCAAAGCTCTCACTGATGGAAGGAGATTTTGGCTCAAAATCTCACAAGACATGGCCCCATTCATTCTTTCCTTTACACGGATCAGTCGTCCTGTCCCCTTAGCAGAAAAACAGCCCCAAAGCATGACGTTTCCACCCCCATGCTTCACAGTAGGCATGGTGTTCTTGGGATGCAACTCAGTATCCAAACATGACGAGTTGAGTTTATACCAAACAGTTCTACTTTGGTTTCATCTGACCACATGACATTCTCCTAATCCTCTGCTGTATCATCCATGTGCTCTCTGGCAAACTTCAGACGGGCCTGGACATGCACTGGCTTCAGCAGGGGGACACGTCTGGCACTGCAGGACTTGATTTCCTGTCGTCATTGTGTGTTACTGATGGTAACCTTTGTTACTTTGGTCCCAGCTCTCTGCAGGTCATTCACCAGGTCCCCCCGTGTGGTTCTGGGATTTTTGATCACTTTTCTCATGATCATTTTGACCCCACGTGATGAGATCTTGCTTGGAGCCCCAGATCGAGTGGTCTTGTATGTCTTCCATTTTCTGATAATTGCTCCCACAGTTGATTTGTTCACACCAAGCTGCTTGCCTATTGTAGATTCACTCTTCCCAGTCTGGTGCAGGTCTACAATTCTTTTCCTGGTGTCCTTCGATAGCTCTTTGGTCTTGGCCATAGTGGAGTTTGGAGTCTGACTGTTTGAGGCTGTGGACAGGTGTCTTTTATACAGATAACGAGTTCAAACAGGTGCCATTAATACAAGTGGAGGACAGAAGAGCTTCTTAAAGAAGAAGTTACAGGTCTGTGAGAGCCAGAGATCTTCCTTGTTTGAAGTGACCAAATACTTATTTTCCACCATAATTTACAAATAAATTCTTTAAAAATCCTACAATGTGAATTCCTGGATTTTTTCCCCCACATTCTGTCTCTCACAGTTGAAGTGTACCTATGATGAAAATTACAGACCTCTGTAATTATTTTAAGTGGGAGAACTTGCACAATCGGTGGCTGACTAAATACTTTTTTGCCCCACTGTATGTATAATGCATAATACTATTACTAAAGTCCGTGACAGTCCTAACAATAGTAACATAACTTTGGCTCCTTAGGTGATCTCATGGCTGCCCTCGAATTTCCCTCTCTGCAGTCGCACAAGTTTCTCTTTGGCTGCTGCATTAGGTAAAGGGAATTGTATTTGATTGTGGGTCACAGGCAGGAATTTGTTGTTCAAAAGAGAAATGAGTTTGTAATTAAATTATACTTTGTCTTAACTTCATGCTTCTTTTTCTAGTGCCTTGGTGGGATTTTTGTTGCTTTTGGTCTCAGTAAAAATAAAAAACGGGCTTTCAACTGAGTATCTTAAAGTCTGGATGTTTGTGGCCAAGGTAATACTGAAATGACTGACAGATACTCAATCACAACATAAATTTGCCTTTTATTTGTAGGTTACAGCAATTTCTCTGTCTCCATTCATTTTTTACACAGACATAAATGTACGGTCACTATCTTGGTGCGTATGTTCCCCAATATAAGGATTTTTGAATGGGTGTTTTATTATGATTTTATTTATAATATTTCCATTGTTCCTACAGTATTATTACCAGTCACTGTGGAGAGGCTTTGCTGCTCTATTCAGAAAGAGATTCAAAGTAATAAGACTAAATACTCCAGTCTTATGTGTTTCCAAGACACAGTTCTAACCAAATGTAGATTTTCTAAATTAATATTTTCATTGTTCACTAAAAAATAAAGCAATAAAAATCTTGTTACTTTTGTCTGACCTGTTTCTTTTGGTGCAATGACTTTTTTTTCAAGCAATACCAATAGTTGGTGCTTTTTGTTTTGTTTTAGGGGCCAACTTAATAAAAAGGGCCAAATGACATTCAAATGAAGACAGAGCACTCATTTTCTATCTTCAAAAATCCAAAGCAGATTACTTGAGAATGTTGCTTCCTGAGCCTGTTGTGAACTACCCTGCTTAACAAGCCGACTCACCAACCAGAGCACATGGAACAGGTTACTGACACATGAATTATAGAGAATTAAGTTTTAAAAACGTGTTGAGCTCACACTTGACCAGCGAACATTAATTTTCCGTTGTGTATCATATGCAGCTCCGTTTTGAGAAAACGTCTGTTTTTTACACATGGGGAAAACGCACTGTTACCATCTTGCTGTAGTAATATGATGATGCTTTTACTATAACTATATTTACTACAAAATTAAATGTATTAGTTCTCAATATAATTAAGTTTTTGCAGTGTTATTAGCAGTCTCTTGAGAGGTGCTTTGCTGCTTTATGCAGAAGATAACTCATGGATCCAAAGTAATGAAACACAAATGTTCAGAATTTTTTTATTCATAAGGTTCATTTTCACAATTTACATGGTTTAAAATATCGAACATGGTGCACTAGCTCATCCTCCCCATACTCTCGCATGTCTTGGTTATTTTTCCTTCTTTTTACCTTGTGGGGAAAATAAAGCATTGAAAGGCTGCCTCCTTCGTGAGCGCGACAGCGGGTTCTTGTCCTCTTTGATGTAACCTGTTAATCACAAAATGAAACCTCTTAAGTTAAGCTACACGACAAAACAGATATAGAGTTCTAATGTTTTTGAAGTGCCTTTTTGGCCACACATTAAGGGGGTGATTTCCATTCAGTTCATTTCAAACGACTAAATGCATTTGAGTCTCGTACCTCTTTCTATACAAGTCTGTGTGGATGGAAACCCCACCTCCCAGAAGTTCTCTGGAGTGCAGGGAGGGATGTAGAGAAACCGGTGTCTGGAGCAGTTTGACAGCTTCTTCTTCCTCTCCTCTTCTGGAAGATGTGCGTAATACTGCAGAGAAGTTATATTTGAATTTACTTATTGATACATATAGCATTGGCCATACATAGCGTTTGACATACAAAGAACACTATCATTTCAATCATGTTGGTGGTAAACTACTTTTGAATCTGCTGGATACCGCAGCCAGTCCGAATTAGCTCTGAAAGTTGTTTTGTGTTTTACAACTTTTAAGATGTTGCTGCAGTACAGTGTTCATGGTTTTGCACTGGTCTATACCAGAGCAAAGAGATAACATGGTCCGAGCAAAGCAGATCAGGCAAAAGTCCACTGGAAGAATGCTAACTTATTTTTTTTAATGCTAATGTAGCTTTCAGCATCTCACATTGGACTAGAGCAGAGAAAATTGTCCAAACTGGCTACTCCACCTTTGCTGCTGTGACCCGTCCTGCTTCACCAGGCGGCTACTCTATCTCTGATGTTGTGACCTAGAGTGCTGTTGCTATTGTTAGCAATTTTTAGAATGATCTATTTATTTGTTTTGTTTGTATGGAGGCATGTTTCTGCTGCTACTGGACACCGGAATTTCTCCTACGGGGGAATCAATAAAGTATCTTACTACTACTGCCAATCTATGCCATCATCCCCCTTCTTTACACATTGATGACATTTTATGAACAATTACCTTAATAGAAAACATGATTAGTAAGTATGAAGGCTAAAATACTTTCTATTGGTAACTCTGCTTCATCAGGACGGAGGAAATAAAATTCAAAAGAGAAAGATTGGCTGCAAACACTGAAGAACGTAATTTCGCCCAAGAATTTAGAAAATTAATTCATGGGTAATATTTTTAAATAATGAGTAGGAAACTAAGCGTGATGTCATAGTAGCCCAATGAAATCTTCCTACTTTATATCATACTTTATTACAGGACTGAGACAAGCTTTGAGGTAAAAGGGACAGAGTTACATGTTTGTGCCAGAAGTTCCTGATATTAGATGGATATAAAAATTACTGCAGGTCTGATTTTTATGAAGAAGCAATGGAGCAGGGTTGTAAAAGGGTTAAAACATGATAACATGCAATTAAGAAACTCAATCATTCACTGTGACACTTACTGTGCCTCCTGCTGGTCCCATTGGTCTTCCATCACAGTGCTACCCAAGCCCAGCACTGCTTTGTTTCTGATCTTAATACTTACAATTTCACACTCCTTGCAGGTTGTTCCTTTCAGCTTTCTTCTCTCATCTTTCTTGCGAATCACAACCACATGCGCAAAGGCAGGCTCTCTATTGATGCAAAGCAAAAAAAAATATTGACAGCAACACCAACCATCTTTAAACCAGGACAAGACTGAGGAAAAAAGTGAAGCTTACAGGAGGCCAAATGAACAACATTGTAAATCTGTGTCGTCGGTGTTATTAATAAAGTAAAAAGTCTGGTTTACCCTTGTTTTCTTCTATTTGTATGATTTTCAGCATGATCCTCATCAACAGCTGTTTATAAGAGAAATTTAATGAAATTCAGGTTCATGAATAATTTTTTTTGATAAAATACACAACTATCCCTACCCTCCTCTTCCTCCTCCTCCTCCTCTTCTTCTTCTTCCTCCTCCTCCTCGCCTATGGGTAACGTGGTGCATGACTTGTAATCTTCACAGGCGCTGGTGTCGAAGAGTCGGTCCAAGCTGTCATTCGCCTTTACACCTAAACCATAAAATAAAACAGATGGATTTGAAAAAGAGCCAAAATAATTGGAATGATTTATTTTATTCTTGTCAAAGCTCACCAGATCTGCCACTCTTGTCTGGTCCATGTTCTGGCCGACCAGGAAGGAGGCTTTGTCTGATACAAGTGCAATCGGAGTCCACATATTCTGCTGCATGAGGCATTTCTGCTTTTTCCTGAAAAACAATTACAGTAATTTCCTGCATTTGATAATGTTGATTGAAATAATACAATATTTCCATGACCAAATTCAAAAATGTTAACTTTATTTCAGTGCAATTGCAGCATGGCACAAATGGCACTGACCACTAGTTTTGCAAGGATTCACTCCCAGTTTTTTTCTCTTTACTAGCTACATTTTTCAATCTAAAGAATCTTGAGCCCTGAAGTTTTTCCATTATTACTCAAAACCGTGAGCATTCATGTAGACTTTTAATCAGTGGCATGAAAAATTTAAAGTCTGCTTCAAACCACATTTGTTAACAGATACAATATGACTGGGTGCATGTCTTAACAATTGGTTATGATTGAATGGCTGTCTTGATTATGAACTTAAAGCTAAAATCCAGCAAAGTCTAGAGCTATAAAACAATGTCCCTCTACCTTATCAATGCCTTGCTCACTCTCATACATGTCAAGAGCAAGTGCTGGGTCAATACTCCACATTGGTTCAACTTTCAATTCTCTTGGAGCTGCAGAAGATAAAATAAGAAAATGTTAATATCATACTTTGAATAAAATCACACTCAAATTATCTTACAATTGTCACCATCAGCTTCAGAAGGTGGGTTGCTCTTATTCTTGAGTGGAGTTTGATTCTTAGTGTCTTTTTGCGTCAGATGTTTCACTTTTGAATTTGGCTTTTTAAAAACCAGACTCAAAGAAGCTGTGTTTGTTCTTTCGATTAGAGTTTCATCTTCAATGGCCTGGCTCTGTTGAAGAATCAAAACAAAACTTACAGAAAATCTCAGTAAATAAGCCATTTCATTTAACCCACAGCCAACCTTGCCGTCAGTTTTTAAATGATAATTTTGAAGAGAGTGCTGTTCTAGCTTTGGTGTCACTTTGCTTTGCACATTTTGGGGAATTTCAAGTATTTCTCTCTTTTCACTCTTCTCTTTCTTCCTTTTAGGATAGTTGCTGTCGACAAGAGAGTCATTGGAAAAGCGCTTGTTTTGTGGGAGTAATGATGGAGAGCTGTCTGTAGTGGAGTCTGGACTGCGGTTCATTGGGTGCAACTTTGCTGCGATACAAGATCTTAAAACAAAGACATTATTGTTAAAATGTTATCCAAGAAATACCTAAAGACAGAAAATGCACTTACATGGTTTTATATTTAGACTTAAAAGACGATGTGTGAGTACCGAGTTGTTGGTTTTTTGGCTTTTCCTTTTTCTGAAAAGTGTAAAAATAAAAAAATTACAAATAAAAAAAATAATCAAAGAACACATTTCCACATTCATAACTTACAAAGCGAGAAGGAACAAGATCAAGGCGACACGTCTCAGCTACCACATCATCCTCGAAGTTTAAATCTCCATCTAAAGATCATCAACTAATTATAATCTTGCTTTATTCACTTGTTTTTAGACAAGTAATAAAATATGCAGAATGTCTTTACCCATTTGAGAAGCCTCTAGAGCACACGTGTTTGGCACCAGCACTGGGTTTGGGAAGGTCTCTGGTTCTTTCTCAGCTTCTGCAGAAGAGTTTTAGTGAAGTACTATAAACTGGTAAGGAATTAACACATTAAAAATCTTATGCTCATCACATTGTTTTTCGAAAGTTTTTAAATGGCTTTCAAAAATGTACTGACCTATGAACAGCGAGGAGTGAGCGGTTTGTAGCGGCTTCTCTGCGTAGCGAAGCCACTTTGATTTTTCTAAACGTTTACGTTTTTTGAGTTTATTTGCAGCTGGGAGTGAACTGGACATGACAGGAGAGTCTGGGATGAAGCAGTCCTCCGGCTCCGGGGAAGAAGACCTCTGATGATTTGAACTAAATATAATAAAGAAATGGATGAGAACTGAAAATTGTTGAAATAGTAGAACAAGTATCGTTTACTTGCAATGTAAAAGGCCAGAAACTAAATACATGCCTAGCTATCTTTTGTCTTTCTATTTCTGCATTAAGCATAATTATGTCATTCTTGAGAGCTTGTATTTCTTGCTCTAAAACAGAAAGAAAATCATCAATGTTAACATGAGTTAAAAATATATAGAGATAGATAGACTTACTAAGTTTTTCAGTGAGGGCAGTATATTCTTCTTGTTTTTTTTTCAGGTCGTCTTCTAAAATTATGCATTTCTCGCACTGTTGATCCCGAAGCCTGAAGACAGACATTGATTTAACTCGTACATTTTTAGGGGATATTACAATACCATTTCTTGATTCCTATACAATTCATGGTCCAATACCTGTTGCCTAATGGGTCATTAAAAGCTCAGAAATATTCAACAAAATTAATATGAAAGATAATTAAAGAGACACACATTAGAAAATCCTGAATTCAAGTGATTTTTATCAATACTGGAGGATGATTTTGAAGTACTGAAAACATGTGTTGTATCAGAGATTCTATGAAAGCAATATCAGTATTGAAGTCTAAAAAGTAAAGAAGAGCAGAAGTAACAAGAGCTACTGTACCTTTCTTCTAGACCATCAACTGTGTCCTGTAAGGTTTTGTTTTGCTCTTTCAGCTGCTGATTTCGAGTAAAAAACACCTCCAGTCTCTGAGCATCCCTGGGGAAAAATAAATGTTATTTTGAATACTTCTTTAACCAGGACCTTTTCAATGAAAATTCCTAATGGTAGCGAGAAAATATAACTTACAAACATCGCTCCTTTTTCAGCTTAGTCACTTTGGCTTCCAGATCTGAACCAGATAGAGCTTAAGTTGACAAAAAGGCTGACAAAATGCATTTTACCAAATAGATTATATATATAGAGTATATATATATAATATATAATATATATATAACATACACACACACACATATATACATACACACACACACACATATACATACATACACACACACACACACACACACACACATATATACATACACACACATACATATATACATACATACATACACACACACACATACATATACATACACACACACACACATACACACACACACATACATATATACATATACATACACACATACATATATACATATATACATATACACACACACACACATATATATATATACATATATGCATATACACACACACATATATATATATATATATACACACACACACATATATATACATATATATATATACACACACATACGAGTAGGGTCTGTCTCACAAATTAGTAGGACACTAATTACATTTTTAAGTAAATTGACAAACAAATGCTCTTTTGTGGCCAAACCTTGGCATTTGTACATGTCTATAGTCACTTAGCAATGCAATGAAGTAGGTGCGGACCTTACCTTGAACCGTATTTCGGTGGCATTCTCCGAGCCTGCTCCACAAATCTCCAAACAGTTCGGATTTCGTCTCGTTGTTGCTGAGAACAGGGCTGCTGCTCATCGTGGCCAGAGAAACTCACCGATATTACCAACTTTACTATAATAATACTGTTTATCTGTCCTTGGTTTAGTCAGAGGAGTTATAGCATTGTGTGCAAAAAACTCCTGAACGCTGGTCGTCCGCTTGAGACGAGAATAAAGTTACACATTCACAGAACAAAAGACCCATCTAAGTAGATATAACGGTCTACAGCTTTATACTGTTTCTACGTGAGTGAACGGTAGACTGAGCAATAGGCTTTAAACATCAGATCCACGGTATATGAACGAACCATAGACGAACATACGCAGAGCTCTTCATAGTTGTAAACAAATCTGGCGCGCCGCAATGCATTCTGGGTAAAGCGTTGCAAGATGGGTTTTTTTTTTTTTTTTTTATTAAAAATTTGCTAAAGAAAAAGCAAATTCCTAAACAGGATCTCAATGACTGCACATGAACATACCAATATCAACATGGATCTATATACAAACACATATACGCTAATGCTCTGCTAATTAACTAATATTATATAATACTATTTTCTATATCAATGTGATAAAAATGAAATACGATATTAATTTAAATTAATTTTCAATAGAGGCCAAATCAGATGCTTTAAAAACCAGAAAAGGTATCGATTTATCATTATATAAATAAGACACAAATAAAACTGAATTTTGGATCATTTAATATTTGTAACATTTGGGGGGAAATTGAAAATGTACCAAAATCTCTGTATTACAGACAGTTTACTTATGTTCTATCTTTCACAAATGTTGCACGAAGTCAATAATAAAATTATAAATATAATGATAAAAACAAAGTCCTTTTTTTTTTTTTTTCAACATTATTTTTATTTTTGGTCTTTCTTTAGAATACAAAAAAGAAATGAAGTCACAAAAATAACATTTACAAAACATTTTAACTGAGGTGACTGAGGCAACATAGAAAAGCAAGTCCGGACAGTGATCTTGGTGAGTTTCGCCTGGTACTTGGGGGCAAAACAGCAAGCAATGCAAACATGTCTGGTGTTTTACACGTGTTTAATTAGTGTCTTTATTCAGTAGTGCTATTCACACATGTACCTTAATATATCAGGTCTTAACATACATGTCCGTAATATTTTATGCTTTAGTGCATTAGGTCTATCTATCAAGAATGCATGTTATTATTGACACAGGTAACATAGGTCTAGTTTTCTAGGTAAATTGCACTATATGGCACCATTTAATGGTTTTCTCCTTTTTTAATCTCAGTAATTGTCACAAAGGCTACTGTTGCTCATTTCACACTCACCGACATGGTGCAAATGACCTCCAAAAACGTTTTCCTACAAAGAATACTTTTGGTTATAAAAGCAAATTGTCATCCAATTGTGTTTCAGCCAAAAAAGCTGAATATGACCAGTGGAATTAAATCTTCTATAAAATAGTGTAAAATAAAATATTTAAACACTTAATGATAAATGCATGGCCACCAAATAGGCACAAACGCAAAGGTCCCATCTTTGTCAAAAAATACAAAAATGATAAAGACAAAATGCATACACTGCATCACTGAAAAAAAAAAAAACGTAATAAAAACCTACCATTACGTTCTAAACCACAAAGCTGTGAAATTACAGTTTTGCCTGCACTTTTAGTGCAGGAGTGTTTTTTGCATGAGCTAACTTTATGTTAGCTCTTCTTTTCACATTAAGACATAGTCACGAGTAGTTCAGCCTCACAGATTATTACTCGTCTAGTTCTTTTGGATGTGTGCCTCTTGTTAAATTTAGCGTCTGCTACAGCAGGTAGATTGCGCTAGCATCATTTGCCTAAATACTACATGTACACATGCATTCAGCATCATATGTATTCCCAAAGAGTATGATTTGTGTAACAAAATCCAATTCTAAACTTTTCAATGCTAAAAAGGATTAAGCTTCAAAATGTGTATGACAAAGCACAAAAGGATTAATACAGAGCTTTGTAATATGTTATATGTGATATGCAGCAGAATCTAGAGATGCTGGCATTAGGAAAGTTGTATTAGGAATGAAAACTTCTCATATGCCCCTTATTCTCTCCTTATTTAAAATTGGGCTAATTCTAATGGATATAGGGATTGAGATTCACATTATGCTGGAAGAGCTATTGGCTTCAGACAGTGTCTTCACCAAAAGCAAAAACACTGGACTATCGTGTGAATGCATAACTACCGTCCAGTCTACCTGCAAATAAAAAAGTATAGACATCTTTAAAATGATTTGACAAATGCAATGTTTTGTAAAGTATGAATCCTGCTCACCCCTTCACCACTGTGGGGGCACATAGCTGTAGCTGGGGGTCCCAGGAGGCCGGTAGGTTTGCATTGGGTGGGGTGCAACAGGCGCTGGTGAAGGAGTAGTCAACAATGTTCCTAGAAAATATAGGCAAAAGACATCAGAAGAATAAACAAACAAACATGATGTTTCAGGACTTTGTGGACTGGTGTCAGTGGAACCCCCTCCTCATTAACGCGGGGAAAAACCAGGGAGATGGTGGTGGATTTTTGCAGAGAAGGGACTTTGAGAGAGAGGGGACTCTGGGGGTGGTACCTGGGTGCAGTGTTGGTCAGTAACATGATAAAAGTAACGCGTTACTGTAATCCAATTACTTTTTCTGAGAAACAAGTAAAGTGAGGGATTACATCGGCAAAAAAGTAATGTAATTACATTTACTTTTTTCTAAGCAAGCTGCGTTACAAAACTAAGTGTTGTGACTTTTGTCTTGTCGGCTCGTGAGTGATGCAACCACTGCGACGTGTAAATATAACAAGCGGCAACATAAAGTATATAATTATATATATATATATATATATATATATATATATATATATATATATATATATATATATATATATATATATATATATATATATATATATATATATATATATATATATATATAGAAATTTCTCCAGTGTGGGACGAATAAGGTACCCTTATCTTCTCAACCTTTAAAACCCCAAATGTCCAAGGCACACAATATAACACATCCATCCATTTTGTCGGGTGGGTGGCAGTCAGAGCTGCACTCAATTCACATAGCACCTGCTCCTCACTGATCCTCCTGCAGATGGTGAGTCCAAAGGAGCCTTGATCTTTCAACGGGGGCTTCAGGCAAAGTGGGGTTAAGTGCCTTGCCCAAGGACACACCGACAGCAGTGGGAGTCCGGAAATAGGTCTTCTGGTGAGCTCGAACACACTACCTTAAAAAGGCCCAAAGACCAATGCTCTACCAACTGAGCCACTGTTGCCCCACAAAATAACACATATCCTGAATATTTTCCTCCTTTATAAATTCACATATTTGGAATGAAAAATTAATAATTAGCCATACATTCACAAATACAGATTTACTCACCTGCTGACATGGCCATAGTTGTGCCTGCTACCATCCCCATGGTAACTCCATTTGGGCGATGAGAAGCGGGCATTTGCGGGGCAAACATAGTTGCAGGCATCCCATTGGGCTGGACAACTGTTGTGTGATGAATAACATGAGGTGGTGCAGCGTACAGTGGCTGTGTGTAATAAGTGCCTTGTTGCTGTGATGGTATTAGTGCCTGCAATAAAATAAAATAAAGTAATAAGAGCATATTTTAACAGATTAAAGTATAAAATGAACACATTGTCCTAAGACTAATGCTATGTATGAATACAAGTAAAGAGTGAAATCCTCTATTATTTAAGCTCCAATGACATTGACAACACATTTGTACTTGAAAACTAAAACACCCATGATAGAAACCTGTGCGTATGGGTTCTGTTGGGGGTAGGTGCTCCTGACAGGATACATTGCAGCCTGATAAGGGTTTGGTGTAGACGTATAAGGCGGCACGGCCCCAGTGTTTGGAGAACAAGTCATTTTAAAAGGAGTGCCTGGAGAGTATCCTGTAATAAAAAGATAATTGTTTGACATAAAAAGTGACAAAAACATAAGAGCGGACACATACATACACTTAAATAAAAAAATGTTGTTGATAGTTATAGAAAGAAGGCATGACACTTACCACTGGGAAATGCTGGATTGGCACCAGGATAGACACCAGGAGTATATGTGGGAGGTGCTGCATACCCAACAGGGAATCCAGCTAATAAAAAAATTTATAAAATAAAATCTGTGAAGATTTTAAACTCCAAAACCTTTTATGTATAAAAGAGAAAACATACCTGGATACCCTATGCCTTTGGTATTGGTAAAGGGGACCCCTGTTGGTGTAGGGCTGTACACTGGGTTCATTGTGATTTCAAATTCTGCCCAGGGAGAATGCATTTAATAATTTTAAAAACCATATTACATAATAATGTACAAGATTTGTTTTGAAAAGCACTTCGAGTAAGCATCTGTATGAAAAGCAATACACTTGCCTTGCCCAAAAGCATAGTTAAAATAATGTCAAAAAACGGAGGGGTACATTTATAGTGCAATTACTTATACACATTATTTTTGTAACCCGTCATTTGACAGGGTTTTTTAATTTTTATTTCGGTTTTAACAAACCACTCCATTTTTAACTGCAAGCTATATATTGGCAAACAATGGCGTGCCTTGCTGCAACATTGACAAGCCAACACATAATATGTATGTGGATTATGCTTAAGAGTTTTATAAGACGTATGCCTCTTCAATATTCATTAGGCGGAAAAGAGCGTATATGGCTGTACTACAGAATAAAAGATGGCTGAGACACCGTTTACTTCATTAGGATCTTTAGTGAAGGTGAACGGTAGTGGCAGAGTTGTTACCACTCTATCACAGAAAATTCTCATAAAACTGAAAACGTGAAACAATTACAGAGACGTGGGTTGTAGTCCGATTTAAATTGCACATCACCGCTTTGACCACGCTAAATCACCGGACTGTCCTGCAAAGAGCAGCCTGTATTGAGGCAGCGCTTGTCAACAGGCCGCAGAGACAGACAGGAGGAGGCAGCAGCAGGACAGGTATCTCCCACGCTAAAACCTGTCTTAGAGATGAACACAAATACATGCAGACATAAACGACTCCACTTACGGTTTGTGGATTGAGCTGCCTGTTTTACCCTCCTTCTGTACCTTTTGTGAAACTGAAATGAAGCTGGCTGGGGTTTTGCTTCCAGATGCAGCTGGACTCTTTTTGAGCATCGCACGTACACGTCACTTCCGGGGTCTGGGGACGCTAAAAAAAGCTTTTATCAAATCCATGTATAGTAAAATAAACAAACAAATATGCGTATAATGAATAAAAAATTAGTTGACTTATCTTTGTCTTTTCAAAAGTACGCAGTGATAACGTAATACAATTGTAAATAAAGGCATTATGGCTGCTCCAAGATCCTAACAGAACAGTAAAAGAAATATGTAATGTATCCATGTTTTTTGCCATTATCTCCTCAATTTTTATGTTCACAATATTATAAACTTATATTTATATTCACTCCGATTAAAATCGTATTTGGTTTAACCTAATATTGTATAAGAATGTGGTAGTTTTGTAAATGTCCTTGTTTCTTCCGGGACCTTTGACGCATCCTTTTCATTCAGCCATTGAGCTTAGCAGCCTTTGGTTCAGTGTTATGGCTGTGATATCTCCATAATACCAGGTTTTCTATCAATATGCAGAGGTTCAACCATTTATAGGACCTTTTTGGGGGAGTTTGGAATTAGAAGTTTGAAGTAGAAGGGAAATGTCGGTGGTGGCTGGTGGTAGTGGAGGATCGTCTGTGGCTGCTGCAGGTTCTGGATGTCTGTCTGTAGGCTCGCCCTATGCCTCTGCAGGGGTGGGAGCTTCTGGTGTGGCCGGGAGACTCCCAGCTCGCGTCCTGGAGCACATTTTTTCTTATCTAGATCTACCAGACCTCATAAACTGCTCGCTCGTTTGTTGGCATTGGTATAACATATTATCGGATGAAAACAGTGAGGTGTGGCGCACTCTTTGCAATCGGAGTCTCACCGACGAAGCTTTGCGGTCTGATGTGCTGTGTAATCTGCCCACCTACAAGGGGAAGGTAAGGGTTAATCTACGTGCATCCTCTGAAAGCTTACGACTATTATTGCTTGCAGATAATACCCATTTAGGCGTGTGAGCTCAAATAATTTGTCTGCATAAGGAAACACTAAAGAGGATCAACTCTACAATCTATAGATTATCTCCAGATATGTTCTTGACAATGCATTGAGATTTCGTTTTTTATTTTTTTTATGATTTTCTTCTTATTTATCATTTATTTTTGCGTAGTTCAGTGCTTCAGTCCTAGTCCGAATAAGTCTATTGACTCCTCTCTAGGAGTGTGACGATATATCGATATAACGATATATCGTGATACTTATCAATATGCATTTGCCAAGTATCGATTTTGAAAAAAAAATTAAACATTTTTTTCAATTATTATTATTATTTTTATTTTATTTGTATCAATACTTGATCTATGACTACTGTTAGGATTACATTACGCATATCCATTCCATTTATCATGAAATAAAGTGTATTTTTTCACTTAATTTTTTTCTTTTATTTATGCCATAAATTGGCATTTAGTATATTTCTGACCAATATATCGATAATCGTCATATCGTGATGTAATCGTTATCATGATATAATCGTTATCGTGAGCTTTGTATCGCGTATTGTATCGTGAGGTACCCTGAGGTTCCCACCCCTACTCCTCTCGGTCTCAGTATTAATGTAAATCTTAGTTATAGATTGTTAAATAAAACTGCAATACTTATCCATCCAACCCTTTTCTGTTGCGGGGGCATTCTGAGATGCCCAGACTTCCCTGTCCATGCACACTTCCTCCCTTTGAGAGAACTCTGTAGGCTTTCTTAGGTCTGCTGAGAATCCTTGCAGCGTGTCCTGGGTTGTGTCCTGGGTTTTCCATTGGCCTTATTTCGGTGGGGGACATGCCTGGAACTCCTTTCCAAGGGAGGTGTCCAGGTACTCCGCAGAAGAGACTTATTATGACGGCTTGGAACTACAACTAAAAGCTATTGTTTTTAGTTGTAGTTCCAGCCTTGAATGTCCAGGAATCTACTTGCACAGCATAATTCTTGACACCTCATATCTTATTGTCATGTGTTTATTTTTCAGCTCAAGTCCTTTCAACACGCTCTGAGTTCCAGCGACTGCTCCCGTAATGTTTACATCAAGAAAAATGGCTTCACCTTGCACCGAAACCCCATCGCCCAAAGCACGGATGGCGCCCGGGGGAAAATCGGCTTCTCTGAGGGACGACACGCCTGGGAGATTTGGTGGGAGGGTCCTCTTGGAACTGTAGCTGTTATAGGTATTGCCACAAAACGTGCTGCAATGCAATGCCAAGGATATGTGGCTCTTTTGGGAAGTGATGACCAAAGCTGGGGCTGGAACTTAGTGGACAATAATCTGCTTCACAATGGAGAGGTGAATGGAAATTTTCCACAATGCAACAATGCACCGAAGTATCAGGTGAGGACTCAAAACTTGTAATTAGTGGAATACAACCAAAATTTTCATTTTTACACCTATAATTTTCTCTACAAAACTAAACCTTCATAAACTTATTCATACTTTTGCATCCAATACCAGAGGCTCAAACTATGTAAATATGATAGCCTTTTCCTATGCCAGCATCTGACTATGAGCGCCCTGGCTTCAAATAAACAATTTTCTACATCATCCTTAAATTTAAATATAAAAAAATCTGTTTTTGATTGAGATTGGCAAATGAACCACATCAAAATAGATTCAGATTTGCAGTTGCCCTTAAAATCACTTTGGAATATATGTGCAAAAATACCCAGTAAGCACTTAAGCCGACATAAGAATGCATAGATTAAAAAATATTTAAAAACAAGCACACTAAAAGCAACATTGCAAATCAGAATATATCTTTAGGCAAAGTAGCAGAATTGCTAGACAAGTTCTTTAATCCATGACACTTTCTATACAGCAACTTTGCTTCCCACAAACGTCTCCTTACACTTTTCCTAATGTTCTTCTATGTACTTGTTGAAGTAAGTTGGCCGTCACCCTGCCTTTGCTGCAAAGCCCAGATGTAATAATTGGATACATTTTGCTTTAGTGTTAAAATGTTGTTCTTTCATATTTTTAACATGAAAGGAGTATGGCGTTTTCATAGCATAAAACAATCAAAGTTGAAAACCGTAGTTTTCACAAATATGTAAGAATAAAATCCACATTAAAGAAATGTATTTAAAACCTCAAAAAAACTTTAAACTTTGATAAATTGATTTGTGTGGTTATATAATATTTCAAAGCTTCTTCATTCTTCTTCTTTCTTCATGTAGATAATGTAATTGTAACTTGTGTTTCTATTTGCCTTTTCTACTTGCAAATTTTTGTTTGTACTGTGTTCAATATCTGGCGTTTCTATCTGTTCATAGAATAGATGTTTTTCATCTATTCTAATAATTCTAATAATAAATGCACAAAAGTAATTGAGTGTAACTCAGTTCTTAACTGCTTGTCTCTAATAAACTCTTCTACTTCATCCTCATCAGGTGTAAACTCCTGTATGTTTTGGATATCTTTAGCAATAAGGTATTGACTCTTCTTTTTGTCCTTTTTACAGATTGGAGAACGGATACGTGTGATTCTAGACATGGACGACAACACTTTAGCATTTGAGAGGGGCTTTGAATTCCTGGGTGTAGCATTTCGAGGACTGCCCAAAGCTTGCCTGTTTCCTGCCGTGTCTGCGGTCTACGGCAACACTGAAGTCACCATGGTTTACCTGGGAAAGCCTCTGGATGGCTAAAAGAGGACACTGTGCCATCAATGTGATTAAGATAAAAATAATGGTTTATTTACATAACTGACACAACTCCAGGACATTACCTAAAGTGGGTGTTTGCATTTGCTTTACATTTTTAACCGATTTGGAGGCCACGGGCCAACAAACCTTTAGAAACACTGTGCAACAGCCTCAAGTCACCTAAAGGGAAAACCATGGATTGTCTTGACCAATCAACATGGTTACACTGCAGCTCCTGTGCTCCAAAAAAACGGAATAGCATTTTAATTAAGCTTTATTATGGTTAGGACAGTATGTGTTAAGTTAACAAACACACAGTTAATAATCATCTTTGCCAAATCAATGTTTTTTGAACAAATGTGCACCAACTTAATTTACATATGTGCATGGTTTATGGCAAAATATTTCCTGGATTTGCCATATAAAGTCATCAAGTAATATATGTATCTGTACCATGTGTTTTAATGTGCTACAGTAGCTATACACTATTTATTTCTTATATCAATGGAACTATAGCCACAATATTGGTAATAAAGTCTACACATAGTGCCACTATCAGAGCTGCAAGCTTGCATTTGTCCACCAGAGGTCAATGTTTGAGATTTTATTATTCAAAATCTGAATTCTTTTTTGCTATTGTGAGTAACCATAAATCATAAACTAGGAAATTGCTCTGACTCTCGGGGGAAAACAAGTTAAAAAGTAAAAGTTGAATAAGGCATGCATGAAACTGAAAGCATTTATCAACACTACTATACTGTATACAGTGTAACCTAAGTACTTAAATTCCAAAATACAAATGGGAAATTCCACAAATACAAGCAGTACATTTTATACTATATTATTTAGATTTCATATTGTGGTGTTGCATTTAGATAATTTGATTAGCAAAATTTCATAAAAAAGAATGCTTTTGGTTTATGGTTATTACCACTGTGGCTATTAACCATAAACCTTTTTGTGGTTCTGAAAGTTCCATCACATTCAGTATTACCAGTAGACTTTGGTAAATTATGCCTATGGTAAAACAACATATTTTTTCACAATTGTTTAAGGGGTCATCTGTAATGTGTCATTCTGTGGAGACAGGAAGGGTGTATGCCCCAAGTGGTTTCCTCTTTTGTGCTCCAGCTCATCAGAGTGTCAGGGTGTGTGCTCTATGGTTTTGTGGTATCACTTTTGCTACCAAGTTCTGCTGGTGTTACTAGCTGATAATAGTGAAGCTTGTGTAGAGACAGAGGCAGCCTCCCTCCTGTGAAGCTTTCTGATTGCAGCTTGTCCATGTGACTTTGTTTCCGCTACTCGTTGCTTCCGTGATTGGTAGAAAAATGCATTGGTTTTTCAGTCAGAGTAGAGCAGTGAAACACATGAGACTCTGCAGTAATTAGGAGACCAGCGATATGGTTCAGAGGGCTGCTGTGAGGGGCCCGGGAGATCCACACATAACCGCCACTGTGAGTATATGAATAATCTGCTTATTCATTCATATTTATTGTTGATAAAAGGGGATTACAAATCCATGTTTTGTACCATGTAATAATAGTATACAATATATTTATACATTAAAACTGGGATCATTAAATCAAAAGTGATAACTCTTCTAATCACATAAAGGTAGCGCAGAACCATCTTCAGACTGTTTTATTCATCATGTAAATCAATAGATACATTGTAAATGCCTGGTACTAGTTTTACCACACACCACTTTCAGTAGTAATATCACAGCAAACCATTTGCAATATTGGCATTTTGACCAAACGTATTTGCCAATGCGGGAAAATTATTTATGACTCAGCAATATGTAGAATGTTTAAAAGTAGGAAATACATTTTGGCACAAAAGTTAGTTATTTGTGAAGCTAGAGTCTCTTCTTGCCGTTCTTTTCATATGTAGAATGTTAAGGAATATATTTTTAGAAGGCATTCATGGTGTTTTCAATAGTAATAATATTGTTATTTATGTAAGGGGTCAAAAAAGTTCCAAATCCATCATAATACAGATCAATATGTGAATTTGTATCGTAAAATGGGAAAACTCATATTTGTTTATAGAGTGATGCACAATACTCAATTGAAAATCATTGTTAATATGTTCATCAGTGAGAATGTTAAAATGCCGGTCCGTGGGTTCACCCCCCTTCTGCTGTGGCTCCTTCCAGTGTGGAGACTCATGAGCAGCCACCCTCCAGTCAGCCGCTGCCAACTGGTAAGACTTCCAATCTTACATTTATATCATTGTCAGCATTTATATCATCTCAATTATATTGTGTTAATGTTTGTATTTGTTTTCCCATTAATAAAAGTCTCAACAGTATACCTATTGAGGCCACAATCCCATATTAAGTTCAAATGATCCACTTTCGAGTTACAGATTTGACTAAATACATACTGTATAAAAAAAGAAAACAACATGGTATATTGGGCCATGTGAGAAGTGGATGTACGTCTGTGATGAAATATCAAAGTAACATGATTGTGCTTCTCACAAAAAGCATTTGACTCCACAGCAAGGATTGTGAAATATGTTTTCAGTAGAATATGATTAAATTCCACACAAAACACTCAAGTAGCATTTCCACACTAGCCATCTAAAAGATTTAGAATCAAGATTTTAAAATGAATTGGGCCTCTTATTAATTACTTCTATTCTTCTTCTCTCTGAATCGTATACTCAGAATTTAACCTGCCTTGCAACTTAGTTTTGTGTGTGACAGGGCAACCATCGAAGTTTGGGCAATTGTACGCACTCCTCTCTTCTTTATTAAGTTCTCCTTAAGTTTGCCTAAACAAGTATTCCATAATATCCATTCATAAAAAGGCAATTCCAAGGGGTGTGCATGCAGTGTGACTTTAGGAGACTTAAAAGTGTGTTAGAAGAATTGATACTTTTCTGTCTTCCCTGTGGTGAAAAGTTGACAAGGACTGAAAAATATTCCAACCTTTCACTATTGTCCCAGGTTGACACACCATTCTATGGCTGAAAAGACACGCTGAGGTATTTTTGTTGTTAAAAGTGTGATTCTTTTGATCGGCCAACCTTGTTCTTTTTAAAGCTCCATTACAAAGTTGGGATGGAATGGATTGTACTCAAGCTCCTCCATTTAGTTTTGTTCCTATTTCACAGCACATTTGTTTTGCTGTGATTTACAGATTTCAAACATGAACCCTAAAAAACGTTTTAAAAATTATGTAAAAAAGATACACATTAGTAATCTAAAAATTATTAAGAATTTGTGCAATCTGAAAAAAATGTCAATACAACACAATTTATTCTTGTATAGCCCTAAGTCACAACAGAAGTCATCTCAGAGGACTTAACAAAACCAAAAACTTTTTCTTTTTTATTATAGATCCAGAACACAGCTGTGTGCGACCACCGTCAGCTCTCCTCAGTCCCTCAGGACCTGCCCCAAAACACAGAAGAGCTCCAACTCAACTACAATCACATCACAACACTAATGGATGGTTCGCTGAACCACTATCCCTCACTCAAGACACTTAGCTTGGCCTGCAACCAGCTCCAGACAATACAACCAACGGCCTTTCAACACTTACCTGTGTTAACCAGCCTAAATCTGGCGAATAATGATCTTTATAATGGTTATGAAGACGCCTCTGCAGCATTAAAGTACTTACAGAGTCTTAAAGCTCTGGATCTTTCTGAGAACAAACTGAATGAAGAGAACGTCATGGTCCTACTTGAAAATCTAACAACAGTGGAATATCTCAATCTGTCTGGAAACCTCATGCAGCGTTTGGATGAAAACATATTCCGGTATCTTCACCATCTGAAAGAGCTGGACCTGCAACAAAATATTTTATTTGAGATTGACAATGCTTTTCACAGCAACCACAAGCTCCAAAGGCTTGACTTGGCCTTCAACTATCTCCCATGCCTGACGGACTTCCACATGAGCCAGTTGAAGGTGCTAAATGCAAGCCATAACTTTATTGAGTGGTTTATTTCAAGACAAGACCTCAATGATACTTTTCAATTGGAAACCTTGGATCTATCTCACAACAAGCTTCTGTTTTTCCCTTTCCTGCCAACTCACAGTCACTTGCAAAATCTATACCTACCCTATAACCATTTAAGATTTTACGAAGACTTGGAGGACAACAATTTGACCACTACTGTTCAGTTCTACAATCTGAAAAACTACACGGCCAATATTACGGCTCAGCTCTGGGTAGAGAATCTCCATGGGGACATTTCTTCGTTGAAAATTTTAGATTTAAGAGGAAATCGCGTGAGCTACTTCCCCGAAGGATTCTTTCAGAAGATGCCACATTTGTTAAGACTTAAAATGTGCATGAACTGCCTGGAAACGTTGAACTTGACTTCAGAGCGGTTCTCTGGAAGTTTATATGAACTAGATGTAAGCAGGAATGAGCTGAACAAGATTGAAGCAAGTGACGATGCACTGATTGCACTTGGCAACTTGACATATTTTAATCTGAGCCAAAATAATCTTACTTTACTACCTTCAAGATTATTTTCATCATTGTCAAGTCTTAGGTCTGTTGATCTCAGCTTTAACAACCTAGATATTTGCCTTGTTGAGCCAACAAATACCTTTTCCCACTGTATGAACTGGAAAGATGTCCCTCACTTAAAGCAGCTGTATTTAAAAGGATGCAACATCAAAAATATTCCAAATACTGCATTTTTGGGAATGTCACTGACTCATTTGGAGTTGTCGGAAAATCTAGGATTGAACGTGGAAGAGTCACTTCAATCCTTATGGAGAACTTTACAACATCTTGATCTTGGAAACACAAAAATAAAAATGTTTGACTATGCACAATTTAAAAGTTTGACATTCCTGAACATTTCAGGTAACTCTCTGTCCAAAGTCCCCTATTCGCTTCTTCAAATCGGGCTTAGAACTCTTGATTTGAGAGACAATCATATATCAGGCATACCCCAAGCCTTGGCTTCTGCTCTGGCCCCTAAACTTACTACAGTTTACCTCACAGGAAATCCTTTCAACTGCTGCCAAACGGAGTGGTTCAGGACATTTGAAACACAAAAGGCAATGTACATAGAAAGAAAATCGGATATAGAATGTATAGATCCGTTTCACAGGACTCATATTATAGAAAGCTTGGATACATCTTTGTGTCAGGGGGAAGGAGAGCCGGCGTTTTGGTATGCAATCCTGTTTGTGCCTGTTTGTGTGTCATTGCTGGGTATTTTTTTTATTGTTCTAGTCACACTGAAGCCCAAAGTGGTGGAAAAGTCGATCAAAAAGAACTGTTTGAAACCTACTTCGTACTGATACTTTATAAAGCAAAAACACTGTAATTAAAAGAGAAGATATATGTTTGTAAAATGTGTATATAAAATAAATTGGAGTTACAATCTTCAACAATTTGGTAGATTTGAAAAAATGTTCTCAAATGGGTAGTATTTTATTTTAATTGCACTAAAATATATCTGGCTTTTGGAGAGAGAAAAAACTGCTTGGTGAAGAGAACCCTTATTTTTCAAATGGCACTCATCTGTTTTTTTCTAATGAACTCTTAATATGTTGAAAGTTCATTACTCATGTACATTCTGTGAATTTATGATTGTCAATATTTCTGAGATTGTATCTGTGAAATTGTCGCACACAAAGGTGTTCATTTGTGCAGTCACAAAACCTTTGAGCCAGTTCCAAGTGATAATAAATGTAGGGTCACTCTTTGAAGTAAACAAATAGTGAACATGTAAACAACTATGCTAATGTGTTTTTAGAGAAAATCAGAGCAACATAGGATAAAGCTGGGGTACCTACATTTCTAAGCACAAAAACTAACTATGTTTTGAAGTCCATCTAACTACAAGCTATCCTAGCTCTTAAAACAGTTTGGTTCTATCACTAGTGTTTATAGCTGATCTGACACATTCAGATCAAAGATTACAGACAGAAATTCACTGAGAATCAGCTGTTTTTGTTTTGTCATTCTCTCCAAAATGGACCAATCATTTTACATTCTAAGGAGTAGAAAACACAGATTCAGTTTTAAAAAGCAAATGTGCAAATATTGTTATATTTATGGACTTTACTTTAATTGGGAATTATACATTATTAAGTAAAGACTCCTAGATTAGAATATTAGAATATTAGTTTTTGTTTAAACGTAAGTACACCCAGACCATACAAGCAGTGATAACGTGTTCTGCTATCGAAGCATTAACGCAATACTGTGGGATACTTTGGTGAGAGTAAAATCAACTGTGGCCAAGTATTAGTGTGAACATGCAGAAGTAATGTGATGCAAGCTGTAGCTATAAGCAGCAAAGGAAACATGAAATTTCCTGTTTTGCTCAGATGTGCAGCAACTGCCCAGTTCAGAATCTTTAAGAGGAGGGGCTTGCGGTTTTCTTCCCATCACAAATCAACTTGTGCTAAATCTTCAATGATCCAGACCTTTTAACGCAATATAATGATAGAGTAGGTGTGTGTGTGTGTGTGTGTGTGTGTGTGTGTGTGTGTGTGTGTGTGTGTGTGTGTGTGTGTGTGTGTGTGTGTGTGTGTGTGTGTGTGTGTGTGTGTGTGTGTGTGTGTGTGTGTGTGTGTGTGTGTGTGTGTGTGTGTGTGTGTGTGTGTGTGTGTGTGTGTGTGTGTGTGTGTGTGTGTGTGTGTGTGTGTGTGTGTGTGTGTGTGTGTGTATTGTAAAGCTGGAAGCCTAACCAAAAAGTAACCAAAATACCACTGTGGTGTTGTGAAGGGTCATGGTGGTTGAGCTGCACCAAGCACAGACAAGAGCATAGGTTCAGCTGCAAAGATCATTCAGATAAATGCAAGTTTGTTTAAAGTGTGGATGGCATGTGGGGGAAAAGGGTGTTACTTCTGTCACTGGTTCACATGAGAAAAAAGTAAGACTTTGGGTGATCAGTTTCAATAAATTTGGTTAGAAATTCACTGTAAATCTAAAACTTGTGCTTTGTATAGACAGTAAATTTTGAAAAATGATAATTGCTAGTTTCTTATTTGTATACTAAAATAATAAATGTATTATTGAAACTGAGCTTGCGTTTTGCCTAGTCAAAATTTTTATCAAATTTGGCTCAAATTGCTTCTATAGCTTAAAGCTGGGGTACCTAACTTTCAAACAACAAAATTAACTACGACACAAATGTTATTTTTGACAAGAAAAAGTACACGTTATTTATGTTAAAAACAATAAAGTTAGATATCCCAGCTTTACAACGTGGAAATGAGGTGTCTTGAAGAAAAGTCAAATTCTAAAAATAATATTGATGAATGCTGAATGGTAAAGTGGATTCTGTTGAGGCAGATTCTTATCATCTTTATGAAAAACTAGCAGGAATTGAAAAACGTTATGTTACAGTCTGTGACAATTTAAGAGTTGTTTGTTTTGATTATTTATATATTAGAGTGGAAAATGGTCTAATGTTTTAAAATCCATCTAAAAAGTGGAAAAATAGTGTGTAAATAAAGGCTACTCATTGGAATTATTTCGGTTAAGCTTCCTTGTGAAGTAATTCCTATAATTTATCCCCTTATTTTGAAATTAATGTGTATCTTAAACTTACAAAAAAGGGGGTTAAATGTAAAACAGATTATTTTATTTAAATACATGGAGGGTAAAAGTTCATGAGATGCCACACTTGCATCAAAGTATCATGACGACACACAATTTGTTACACAATGATAATAAACACATGAAATGTTCTACACAAAAATTATTTTTATGACAGACATTAGGTCAGTTTATCGCTTCTATATTTGCCCTATTCTTTGTTTTCAGCAGCATTATGTGAGAAACTAAAAGGTAAGTGAAAGAGGAAATGTTTCTCAGACCTATATGGCTTTATGTAACGGACCATATATGCTTCATGAGAAAAAGTGAGAAATGCAAAGACGCGAAAACAGGGGCTGCAAGGGAATGAAGCCAATGCAGTTTTTGAAATGACCTGAAAAGGATTTGAGGAACTTTTGGGTTCATAATATACCATTTGTCCCAACTGAGTAAACGTGTACATTTTGTGAACATATCAGCCCACAAAATTCTTTCTTTACATCATTAGAAAACTTTAATAGAATATAATTATTATCAGAGAGAGGCGAGTTCCTAGATGGATGTTATGTTTTTGTATTACACATGTATAAACACTAAATGAATAGTTACTAATGCTCTTATTGGAACTCCACCTGCGCGACAGGCAGGGTCCGTCTCAGTTTGCGTCCTGAAGCAGTGTCTTGCCTCAGAACAGTTTGCAATTTAAACTATACAATTTATACTCCAAGTGTATGTTATGTGTATAATATGTCAAATGGGTTCACATTTTTAGGATGTTTCCCCATACTTATAATTTATTTATTAGGGACAATTAAAAAAAAAACATTAGTCCTACATTAGTATATCATTGCACCAGGTTTCGTTCTATTGGGTGATTGGGTAAAACAAACATCTACATTTTCTTCAGTTCAATTTATGCACCAGAATAACCCTCACCAAAATCCTTTTTTTGGTTGCATCTGGTGCCATCTACTGACAACCCCGACAATAAGCAAGAAGCAATTTTGGAAAGTATATAGGCACGCTTTTATTTAAGGATGTATATCTTCTTCACAATAATATGTTTATAGTTTAACACAGAGCATATGCATAATGAAAAGAAAATCCACAAAAAAGAGATTAGTATTACAAAAAGCATAACTGTACATGTAAGCCATCAATTTGATTAATATTGTGTCAAATGTTTTTTTGCAGTCAATAACTTAAAAGACAGTTTATGGTTACAATGAAAAGCTTTAAGTTTGAGGCATAACTGAACTGGAATAGGCTCTTCCTAAGCGTGCAATTATGATATACCTTTTAGGGGCTGGCACAATGAAGGGAAATGTATGTCATACTGCCACTACAGCACCAAGAATTACAAATATCTTTTATAAAAATAAGACTGAAGTCATGCTCATTAAGATATTCTCACTGCAGAAATATTGCTAAATATAAGAAGCAGTGAGGCAAAACTATAAGATCCAAGACCCTCTGAGATACAGGCTGTAAACAAATACGAGTTTGGGAGATGATCAATTGCGCAAGATTGCATTGCATCAAAAACAAAGAGGCACATAGCAATTCAATTCACTTATAAACACAGAAGGCGGCTCATGTGTCCTTCCTATATTCAGTCCAGAGATAAAATTTAAAATAGCATCCCCTTGTGGAGTCAGGGGAAATGTCTGGAGAGGTGCAACACAGCGTCATAAATATAAGTATAAGGCCACAGATCTGTGGAGTCTTAGTTGAGGAGCTCCAGGTATGTGATGGGGACTTTTCCTTTCTGACTGCCTCTCTCCCCCATCAGCCAGTCGGTGTCCATGTCCGGGACACTGCTCACAGTGATCACCTACAGGGCAGACCACATGTGGAAGTCAATGTGGAGAAGTTGCATTTTTCTCATATAAGCAGAGCTCCAATGATTATGTGTGCTCTACACACAAAGCATTATTAAACACAATAAAAGTTTTCATTGTCATTATTAGCAAATCACAAAGACAATCACAATTAGTTCTTAACAAACCAAAAAGGAACAAATTAGAAGCAAACAAATCACTTTGAGAAAAATTTCGCTTGATAAGAGATCATTTTGAAGACTTGCCAATTGACCAAGCAAGTATATTTTCTCTTGTTGTCGGGTGGAAGCATTATTTTCTATTTTTCCTAATTTGCAGTTGCCTACAGTCGCTTGATTTAGAATAGATTTTGAAATTGATTTGCTCAGCAGACTCCAGCAGCTCAGCTGCTGACTCACTACAATGTAGGTCTGGAAAAAGCCCCTAAACATGAAGTAATGCTGCTTCACTCATGGACAACCACAGACATTGCCAAATTCCAAGAATGGGAGGAGCTTAAGTTTCCATCAACGGACCATACTGTGCAGAAACTGTTCCAGTTATTACATAAACCTGATTTTTACACTTGGTCAGAACGGCTAATTTGGTGTCTTTTGGTTTTTCAAAATTAATATTTGCATTTAGGGAATGTACTGAAATCTGCATCATGTCCGTAGCTCTGAAGCAGTCTTTGTTTTTTGCTTTACTTTGATATTTCTCTAGCTTTTTTGTAGCAGTAAATTTTACTGCAGTACAGTGTTCATGGTTTTACACTGACCCAGACCAGACCACAGAAGATTCAATGAAGTAAGTAAGAAATCTTCACTTATATAGCACACTTTACAGACCAAGGTCACCAAGGGCTTTAGAATTGTTGAATGTTCAACGCCTCAAAGCCCCCAACCAACACCACCCATTCACTCACTCATTCATTCATTACATTCATTCCTATAGTACATTCAAGGTCTGAACCAAGCAGATCAAGGGTTAATCCTGGCTAAAGCATTCAACATCTCACTCTGGACCAGAGCAGAGAAAATGGTCCGAACCAAGCGGCTACTCCACCTCTGCTGCTGTGACTTCAGTGCTGTTGCATTTTGTTAGTTTTGTTAGCTACTATTAGCTCCCCTTTGGCATTTTCAATTTCAGGCCTAAAGAAAATAACATTTTAGACACCGTCAATTATGTATATAAAAATGCTTTTCTTTGGGCAAAATATACATAACATGTTCCTTAACAGTTTTCAAATCAGAAATGTCTGATACTCAAATACTACATCTAAATACATTTTGCACATCAACTACTGTATCTGCTGTAGTTGCCTGTAGTAGCCACATTTTCCCAGTCTGACCTCATCTGCGAGCAGAGACAGCTCGCTGCTGCTGGCCGCATCGTAGTCATACAAGACTCGTGCTTTCCTGCTGCCGCTGGAGCCACGCAACTCGTGGAATCCTCCTGCCGCCGCACAGTTCCTGGGGTCCGGCAGAGATGCAGACACCGGGATCGTGGGCACTGAAATACTGCTGGCCCCAGCTGTCATGGATGACTGGTTGTTGTTGGAGAAAGAGGAGGGGAAACTAAAAAGGCAAAGTATTGTTCAGTTACAGTATATAAAATACATTAAAATGTGCATGACAGATTTTTATAATTTTTGTATTTATTTGTGATCTATATATACATGCTAGATAGAGGAGACGTTTACCAACCAGAAGTAAAATGATATGATTCTATAAAATATATCCATCTATACATGCACCTGCCAAGCTGTTTCTGAAGGTCCACTGTGTACTGGTAACATTGGGCGTAGTATGTGGTCTGAGCCTCCACAAAGTCGTTCAGGCAGCGCAGGTGATGTGCCTGAAAAGCACATCGTAATATGAATCAATGAGAAGTTTCCAGGGAATTATTTCAATGTTTGTAAAACTTAAAAAATGGTGCAAATTATACCCACATGAGTGCTGCTGACACCTTCCAGCAACAGTCTGGTGATCTCAGCCTGTCTGTCAAACTCGCTCTGCGTCATCCTCAGCTCCTGTTCAGCCTAAAGTCAAATAAACAATACGATGACTCTCAATACAGTATATAATTTAAGTTATAGTTAGACAAAACTCTGAGACAATCAATCACTTTCACTAAAAAACTGTAGAAAATGTTCTATTTTATAACAGTGCACATGGGTAACATTTGTCCAGCAGCAAAAAATAGTATTTTTAGACTTGAAATTTCCGATAAACAAACCAGCAGATTTAGATGGTGCAGAATGGCCCCATTGTTCTACAGTAAACTCCATGGTTCGCTGTATGACTCTGGACCAAATATCCATTAATAGTTTATTATAATCGCAAAGGCTGGTCTGGAGCTTGGAAGACACTGGAGGCAAAGACAAACCATGAGCAGTGACTGCAGACAGAAAACAAACCTGGTTGGGGTTTGATAAATGACAAAATATTGCACATTTTGCATTTCAAAACATCCTTTGATTATGTTTCTACAATTGATTTACCAATTACACAGTGGCATGTGTATTTATTTCAAATAGATTATGGCTGCAGCCTCACTATGAGAACGTTTGTTGATTTAAATGTGTGCACTTAAAAAAAAAAGAAAAAGGTCGTCACATTCCACTCACCTTGGTCACTTCCTTGACTCACATCTGCAGCTTTGCGTTTAGAAAACAGTGGTACAGTGGTTAGAGCTACAGCTGTCTCACCAGACACAACACAACAATATCACCCGATTTTAAAATTACACTATATGCCTTTTATCCCAAGTAGCTAACACATGTTCAAAATATTAGGATTGCCCATGTTCCAGTTACAATGACAAATGTGTGTTGTCCTGTGTTGATAAGCTGCAATATTACCATTATAATCAAATTATTCTCATTAACTGATAAAGAATGTCAGCATTGTTAAGTGATATGAGAAGTCTAAATTAATTCTGCAGGCACTTTGGAAAAGGAAGTGGTTTCAAAAAGCTTAGACAGAGGAAACTTTTGAGAATGAGTTTTTAGTGAAAACAGAAGTCGGAATTTACTAGAAAAATAGTGCAAATTTTTTGAGGAAACCATCACTAAATTTGCAGTTGACAATATTGTAGTAACACCTCTAAAATGAATGGTTGTTTCAAATACAATATATTTTACATGAATAAAAACATCAGTCAAACTGTTGCATTCTGGGGGACATAGGCAGAGGCTTCTCGACCTATGACGGCCGAGCATGAACCGCAAAGCATTCTGAGAAATGCAAAATAAAACCTGAAACACAAACAACAACCTGACCATGCTATGCCTGTCTATGGATCTATATATTGTGTAGTGTTTCAATGCCGTGTCCATGGTGATGCATGTCCGTGAAAGGAATAGCAAGTGTGCCAAGAGATGAACTTTTTCCTCTGGAAGCACATGCGGCAATCGAAGAGCAGCAAAGTGGTCACGGGTACCCAAGCGCACAGCCAGAGTAAGACCACTGATACTTGAAAACAGCCTAAACAAGAGGCAAACCAGGACTTAGAATGGGGGACACTGCTTGTGAACATGTCTCCAGCCTGAGTTCTCGTTCCCCCATGACTGTAAAAACAGTGCTGCTAACATGTAAGCCGACACAACAAATGTATTTATTTAGGTTTAAAAAAAAAAAAAACAATCGATCCAGCACCCCACTATATTTGGCCTTATTGGTCAAATATAGCCCTTACACAGCCTGGGTGTGAATCTACAGTCAATAGTCATGAAAAGAAAGGAAACTAATTGAATGAGAAAGTGTGTCCAAACTTTTGGTCTGTACTGTATATTGTGATACAGTACCTTGCAAAAGTATTCGCCCCCTTTATTATGAAGCCCATGAAAAGCTCTGGTCCAACCAATTACCTTCAGAAGTCACATAATTAGTGAAGTGATGTCCACTTGTTGTCCACAACAGCAAACCTGCCAAGAGACAGCCGCCCACCAAAACTCATAGACCGGGCAAGGAGGGCATTAATCAGAGAGGCAGCACAGAGACCAAAGGTAACCCTGGAGGAGCTGCAGAGCTCCACAGCAGAGACTGGAGTATCTGTACATCGGACGACAATAAGCCGTACACTCCACAGAGTTGGGCTTTATGGCAGAGTGGCCAGAAGAAAGCCATTACTTTCAGCAAAAAAACAAATGACACGTTTTGAGTTTGCGAAAAGGCATGTGGGAGACTCCCAAAATGTATGGAGGAAGGTGCTCTGGTCTGATGAGACTAAAATTGAACTTTTCGGCCATCAAGGAAAACGCTATGTCTGGCGCAAACCCAACACATGACATCACCCAAAGAACACCGTCCCTACAGTGAAACATGGTGGTGGCAGTATCATCCTGTGGGGATGTTTTTCAGCAGCCGGGACTGGGAAACTGGTCAGAGTTGAGGGAAAGATGGATGGTGCTAAATACAGGGATATTCTTGAGCAAAACCTGTACCTCTCTGTGCGTGATTTGAGGCAAGGACGGAGGTTCACCTTCCAGCAGGACAATGACCCCAAACACACTGCTAAAGCAACACTTCAGTGGTTTAAAGCTGCACTAACTGACTTTATTTTTGTATTCATTATGAAAATGCTATCCATGTCCATGTAGTGCATTGGGATATACGTCCTTTTGAAGAAAAAGTAGCGCAGATTTGTGCTGGCGTGACATTATATTTTAGATTGAGTTTTGATGAAACAAGGAAGAGAATGTGTTTCGGGTCGCAGATTGTGACCAATCACAGCGCACCACTAGCTCCCACTTTCGTGAGAAATCTACAGGTCCGTTAGCATAGACGGCTAAGTTAGCACAACAAGCGGCGGAGCTAACGTGAAACTTCCTCGTCTTCGTCACCGGTTACTGCTTACACAGCGAGACAGCCATCCAAAAGAAAGTCCCGTTCCTCCGCGCTTCCCGGTTCTATCGCTCTATGGTCACGCCTTCCACGTGCAAATCCATGTCCATGTATTATCCATATTGGGAGACGCTAGCTTCGTCCCAACAGTGGGTGTGTGTGGGGGCGATAGCTTCGTGGGTGCGGGGAGGGGAGCAGAAAGAGAGAGGCCAGCGAGTCCGCGGCTTCAAAATCCCAAAGTCAGTTAGTGCAGCTTTAAGGGGAAACATGTAAATGTGTTGGAATGGCCTAGTCAAAGCCCAGACCTCAATCCAATAGAAAATCTGTGGTCAGACTTAAAGATTGCTGTTCACAAGCGCAAACCATCCAACTTGAAGGAGCTGGAGCAGTTTTGCAAGGAGGAATGGGCAAACATTCCAGTGGTAAGATGTGGCAAGCTCATAGAGACCTTTCCAAAGCGACTTGGAGCTGTGATTGCTAAAAAAATGTGGCTCTACAAAGTATTGACTTTAGGGGGGTGAATAGTTATGCACATTGACCTTTTCTGTTATTTTTTCCTATTTGTTGTTTGCTTCTGAATAAAAAAGACAATATCATCAAGGTTGGGGGCATGTTCTGTAAATTAACTGATGCAAATCCTCCATCAATCCATGTTAATTCCAGGTTGTGAGGCAACAAAACACACAAAATGCCAAGGGGGTGAATACTTTTGCACTGTAGTTTTTAGCAATATCGCCCAGCCCTACTATTCGTTTATGTTTTTATGTGATAATTTAAATGTGTTTTATTGCATGTTTTTATTTGGGATGTACTTACTGCGGCTCGGGCATCTGTCATCCGTGCCTTCTTTAGCCTTGTTTTAGCCGCGTCCAAATCCAGTCGCTTAACTTGGAGCAACTTTCTCTCTTTCTACAAAACAGGCACAAAAAAAAATCCCATAAAGTTGAGAACAAATTTTTATTCACAGTTGTATAGTGTGTGGGCGTGCTTTTTATGAGACAGACATTGTAACAAGAGAGAAAGCTTCTGATATGACAAAGAGGCAGGAAGAGCTCTGGTCACAGCTGATAAGGAGTTTCAAATACATCCATATTCAAATAAAATTAAAAGAGAAACAGGACCACAATAGCAGATATTAAGGAGTTCACCACACTTGGACTATAGAAATTGAGTCACTGCTGCATTTGGGACATATCAAGTTGAATACATTTTGATAATACAGATCAAACAGCAAGTCACTCACTAGGATTGTTTTGAAGTCGCCTTCCAGAAAGTTCCTGAACGGTGTGAGGAAATTGATTGCAGAACTATGAATTAATTCCCGCTCAGCTCCTCCGATTTGCTTTTCTGTCTCTCCACATTTTAACAGCGCATTTCCTGCAACACAAGTAAGCGTCTTTACTAATTGTTATTGAGTCTGGCAATTGCCATAGTGATTTTGAGTGAATTTACAATTATTGCAATATATTACTTTTATCCAATCAAGAGAAGGTTTAGGCCAAAATGACTATTCTGTAAATCACAATTACACATTGTATTCATTGCACAGGCGTATGTCAATTTGTGCAGTTCTGGCATTAACTCTTGTAAAGAAATACCAACCCAGCTTGGTATACAAATGGTCAAAAAAAAAAGACTCAACTCTTATACAAATTGAAAGAATGAATTTAAGAAAAACCAACAATGAAACTATGGAGGCGTCCCTGTGTAATCACATGAAAAAAAGCCACAACACAGAGACAGTAATTAGAAGTGTCTAAAATTGCAGCTTTGTTTTCCAGTTCCTCTTTGTTGTGCAGCATTGAGCATTTCTCACCGTACGCTGTACCCGGACCAAACTCATTTCCCGCCTCGATCATGGACTGGCCCAAAAGCTCGTGGTTGTTCATCCGCGTGGGGGCCTTTTTCTCAAGCTTCTCGTACACAAATTCTTCTAGACGGAGATCTGTGGCAAGAAAATTAAATTACAAAGTCACAAGACAACAGTAAGGGAGGGAATTGGTAGGGAGGGGCTGAAGACTAAAGATATAAATAAATAACACAACATGAAAAGCATTAGACTTAACATTCATTAAAATAAAATATAAACTCAAACAAGCATATGGTCAGAATGTTTGTTTTTAGTAGTCCTAAACAAAGATGGCATCATGGTGTGAGGTTAAATAGCACAGCTGAGTTTACACACTCCAATGTATGCCCAATAAACACTAAAAGGATGAGCTGTAACTTGCAATTACATGGCAATACATTAAATATTCCAGTACCAAACGCTTAAGGCTTGGTTAAATACATTATATAAATGCGTCAAGTAAATTAACCATGTATACATACTGGGATTAGGCTGTAATAGCACTTCTGTTTGTTTCATGATCCTTTCTGTCCATTGCTTTGTGTTTTCTGCACGGATCAAAAGGTTTTCCAAATGAGCATCCAACTCAGTCTTCTCAGCCTGCCCAAGCTTTTCCTCTGTGAACTAAAACAGGAAGATACAATGTGACATGCAGTAAAGCTAATACAATCCCATGTCTGATGGAAGACGCATAGAAATACAAGTACAGTATATTCAGAAAAATATTTCAGTAATATTCAATGACAGTATTAGATTGAAAAATGTCTACTTTCTGAAATAACAGTATGGTTTGTGGTTTATAGAGGCCTCTTGCTTAATTGTTCATGTCATCAAAGGTATATTAGAGGATTTTCTTCTTCGGGGTGGATTATCAAGACTATAAGTCCGCCAAATTGTTAATCATTCTGTTGATATGTGATCATAAAAAGCAGTGTTTTGATCAAAAAGGGGAGAGGGCGGTTCTTTCCTAAAATTTGGGAAAATCCTCCTGTATACCTTTAATATGCGGCTGATAACAAGGAAATCACGCCTTGCCATTATTTACTTTATGGTTTGTAAAATATACACCATACCTAACTTTCTAAACAGTTTGAAGCTACGTCAGAGAAACACCACATTTCTAAACCTAAAAAAACAATGTGGACATCAAGGGAGCTAATGCTATTCAGCTATGCTAAGGCTAATATGCTAGCATCCCCTTCACATAAAATCACACGATACTTACTTGCACGGCACGGCTTAGAAAAGTCCCCGCGTCCGCAGCTAACCGCTTCACGTTAAAATCCATGATAAACAACAGTTAACAAATACACTCTAGAAATGTTTCCCTGTGCTAGGCTTTAATCTCCCATCTCAAAAGAAAATGTCATTGAAGCAACTTTTTTGCTCGTAGTTCCCACCCAGCTGTTGAGCCTGCCAAAGAATGTGAAGATGCCAAGAGAAATGTATGACCAAGCGGAAGAGTAGGGATCCCGGTAAATCAAATAAATACACTTTCTTATTTAATTTGCATGTATTAGTGACTATTGCATTTATTCTGCCTTTTACGTATTTACACATACATTATAAGGCATTTGAACAAGCCGGTATAAACAATATGTTTAGGCTGCACGACGATGTTGTTACCACTGATAAGAGAACCATCTTGACAAATACATGCATTCCAGTGTTTGGAAACATTTTTGCTGCATTCGTGTCATGTGGGTTTTCAGAATTGCTTTTGTCATGTAAGTAATCAGTTTTCAGAATAGCCCAATGAATGTAATAGCAATTAGGACTTCAGCATCCATGTTGTCTCTTAGTTGTCTTTGTCGTGAAGACATATTTATTGTAAGACTTCATAATTCCATTGATTTACTTTTTTTGACTTAAAGTTATGATAACCAACTTTGCTTTTGTACCCAATGGTTTAAAATGTTGATTTATTATTGTGTAATAATACCCATAATGTTGCACTCACAAAAAACGTTGTGGCCTATCACCCATGCCTATCACTCTTCAACTCTGGCCAACCCACCTTCAGGTCTGGTTGTGATTAAAAGAGGAGCAGAGGATCCCTGCTGTGTGGAAGGAAGTCTGACCAGGCCACACTGCACAGACAGAGCTGGGATGACTTCCTGTTAGAGCTGTGAGATCTAACTTAAGCCTGACACCAGAGCCTTCCGTTCATTATTAGGACAGCACCCCTTGTAAATACAGTAGTTAAAATGTATTTAGTAGAAATAATGATTAGTTCTATAACAAAATCTAGCCATCAAGCTATATAATCAAACCCATAGAAAAACACAAGAATCATTTAACCTTTATTTTACATTATAACGATGTATTTTTAGATTTCTACGTATCAGTCCATTTAACTTCATAAAAAATTAAGACACCGTTTTTGTATTTCCTTTTTTTTTGTAGTTGCTATGGTAACTGCCTCCACCTATGTCTTATGCTGCTCATGACCAGGAAGTCATTACAAACTATCAATTTATTAAAAAAAATATACATAGATGGAAAAGAAGGCAAGATTTTAAGTCAATTCTTAAATACATCTCTCAAATTACAGTATAATTCTTTGTTTTAGTGAAATGAGCTTAATAAATAGCATATTTACTCAGTTATTTACATATTTATTTGAGAATAATACATTCAGAGCCTGCATATAAAGGTTTTCAGATTCATTAGAAACTGCAGGATGTCTAAAGATATCAACTCCCTGGCAGTGTTTAATTCTTGGCCACCTTTTTTGCATTGCTGGGGCGTTGTAGTTTTCAGCACATACGAGTCAGCACTTTTAAAGAAGGCGGGACCTGCTCCTTGGAGGCTGGACTCTCTTGTTGTTCCAGTAGTAAATCTTGCACTTCTGTTGTTTCACTTTGATATAGAAGAACATTAAGGGGCTTTGAAAAACAAAACTATTCCTTGCACAATTATTTTCTCATCAAGCAGCAGCATTTTATTCTCTGCAATGAGAAAACCACAACTGTCCACCACAAGAAGAACGAAACAGACTCAATGGAGATATAGCCTTCCTTTATTTAGTCACTTTCACATGTTAAGTACAATGACTTTAAGAAATTAAATTCAGGTTTTATTCAGTGCAACACTTTGGAACAAAACTGTCATGTGCTTCTAAATCAAAGTACAATGTGTCATTTTTTATTGAGAATAGAATAAAACTAGCTCTTTTGATATTTTTCAACCACATTTTGTGCCAACTCCAACAGTTCAGGATATCTGAAAGTTCGCTTCCTCCACGACTCCGGGATTCCCTCAAGACCAGACTGTAACAGAAGGCAAAAGAAAATATCTTTTGTTTAATTCAACAAATAGCAACCGAGATTGTAACAGGCCTAATCAATATATGTTTAGAATAATAGGTCGCAAAAGATGCGTTATGTAACTCAAAAACTGTAAGAAAAAATAGTTAAAAATAAACTTTAGGCTACCAACGAATATAATGCACTAAATGAAAGACATGAGCAATAGTAGGCACAACAGTATATCCAATGGTAACTTCAGTAAATGACGGCAATTTTTTAATTACTTGTAAGTTCAGAGCCAGCATACACATGTATTGACAGTAATTTCAGAATATGAATATATTATTATAATTATTATTAGTAGTAGTATGTTATTGTGTATTTATCATATATACTGTACTTCAGGGACGTGCGGTGAGGTTTGTGATTGGGGAGGCACTGACTTTAAAAGTCAGATTTACAATCATTATTCAAATAAAATAGCATTTAATCACCAATGCAATGACATCCACAAACTTTATATACTGTAAAGATAAGAGAACCAGCTTCTTTTAATAATCTCACAACAAATCTAGCTGCTGACTCTGCTCCGCATCAAACAACATCTTTAAGAAGCGCAGGTGCGAGAGACGCGAGGAGAGAGAGACGCGAGGAGAGAGGAGCAGAGAGAGACAGAGAGGAGCAGAGAGACGGAGACGCGAGGAGCAGAGAGAGACGGAGACGCGAGGAGAGAGAGACGCGAGGAGAGAGGAGCAGAGAGAGACAGAGAGGAGCAGAGAGACGGAGACGCGAGGAGCAGAGAGAGACGGAGACGCGAGGAGAGAGAGACGCGAGGAGAGAGAGACGCGAGGAACATAAACAATAATTTAAACAAGTTGCAGAACTCTTGAGCAGTGTTTGAATCAGTGTTTTTCGGAAAAGCACTACTTTGCCGGTATCTGTCAATGTTCAACATAAAACACAGATTAACAAACTCCTCCCCCGCAGCCGGACTAACCTCGTAAGTCCAGTGGTGGTCTCCCAGTCTATATTAATTCTTTCTTTGTTTGAAAGTCCAATTGAGAAAAAAAATCTTCATTCAAATCATCCATTTTCCAGCAAAAGAAATAGCATTTTGGGCTGATTGTTTGTTAGCAACTCTGGTATGAACTTTATGCTCACTATCACCCCTAGCGGTGAGGCACAGATACCGCCTGCCTCACGCCAAGCTTTTTCCTTGTGTGTTCATCTACGATCAAAAGACTTAAACTAAATATAAATTGTACACACATACGTGCAATACACTACTAAACACTAAGAGGAGTTTAAAAAATGTTTTTAAAGCAGGATATTTGAAACAAACGGTGATATATCAACTGCACGAGCTGAGTGCACTCAGACACACACACACACACTGTGAGGGAGCGGTCTGGGGTGAGGCACGCAGGAGCGCTGCCTCACCTCGTCTCTTTGAATAGGAATAACGGGATTTCGGCGATTTTGACTTCAGAAATGATCAAAACTGATGGGAACCGTGCCGAATATACATTAAAAGCATAGGACAGTGGATATAAATTATATATTTAAACTAAAATAATTATTAGTTTCCAATAATGGCAGGTGAGGCTCTGCCTCCCCTGCCTCCCCTGACTGCACGTCCCTGCTGTACTTGTTATATAATATTCTTTGTCATTTTAATGATTATTCTGTGTATTATATTTGTTATACATGAAAATAAAATCTAAAACGCAACTAACCCATTCTCGCATTTGACTTCTCTGTAGAAAAGGCCCTTGTTCTTTCATTGTGTAACCTCTTCAAATGTAAAAAGAAGACTTGTCCCAAAGCCAACTCTGGTTCCATCGTTTTCTCTTCCCTATTCTCTTTATAAAATAGACTTGCATATCCCCCTGCTCTCCACCCTACAACTGCACACCCAGTACCTGCGCCCCAAAGCAGGCCCCAATGAAGGCGCTCCGGCTGGCAGTGCACCCCCCGCAGCGCATGGTGCTCCTCACAGCCTCCGCCAGCTGCGTCTGCGTCAGGACCCCGTGCAGCGCTCCCTGCAGAGCACCAGGCAAACCTGCACACAACACACCACTGAGTATCTACTGAAAATACTGGAATTAAATGATAAATATAAAAGGTGATGCAGCTGGAGAAATATTGTTTAAGTTAAGCCAAAATGCACCAAACTCCAAAGGCTGAAACACTGAAACACTGTCAACCCAGGACAACAGTGGAAAACAAATGTGTTCTTTCAATCCAAGACGGTAAATAGGGGACAAAATAAAACTTCAGACTTTCAATAACAGCAGTGCAAAAAGGGCAATGGCAAATGTACCATCGATGTGGTGCAATATATAGATGTTTAAACGTAATTTTTACAAGGAAACGTTTATAAAAGAAAGAGCAGTGCAAGCAAAAGCCCAACATGTTATGGTCAGAGCTTCTCCCTTGTTACATGCTCTCATTATGAAAAATAACACCTTCAACGGGACCCACATAATCAACTGGCTATAAAAGTGTTTGATTTTAGTCCACCAAGAGATTGGATGAAGGTATCAAATCAAATTTATTTTTAGTTGTGTCTTTACATGCTAACATTGTCGTTATAACACAGATGCCAGTCAGCGAATTGGACAGCGTTGCTATTCAAAATCAAAGAAGTTACAAAATTCTAAATATCCAAAGAGTTTAAAGACTCGACAGCTAGAGGCCAACTAGCTAAATTTCAATGGGAAATTTTACATATGGAAACTATAAGCTCTGCCCACTTTGCAGTTCTATTGAGAAGTGGTCATAATGTTTGGTTTGATCCTGAACAAACCACTTTAAGTCAGAGACACACAGCCCATTGAAGAAAACGCATGGAAAAGATCAGAGGATGTTTTAGGGAGAAGAAAGCCCAGAGATAGATCCTAGCCAAGTCCACACAGACCTCATGTGTTTGTGAAGACTGCAGGTATCAGCTCCTGGGACGACTTGGAGAGGCTATCTTTCACCTGCCTCAGTTGAGCTATATGAAAGCAGAAAGTTGTTCATTTTTTTCACATTGAGAAAGCAACATTTGATTATTTTTTCCTGTGGTAGTTTGAATCCTGACACTTCCTCTGCATTTACTTTCATTGTGCGCTCGGAGGATAAGTGTGCTGCTTGTTTTGGAGCTGAATTGAGAGCAGGGTAAAGAGCATAATGAAAGACTTCCTGCATTATTCAAATAAGACTCAGATCAAATCCATCCTCCAGGAGTAAATATAAAAAATGAAAGCCACAGGCAGCTATATCAGCTTCTCACAAAATTGCTTCAGAAATGACAAACTGCAAGACTTTCTTGTTGTGAGAAAACAAGAATTCATGGACTTGTATAATGATTAAGCTCTATAGGGAGGGAAAGCATATATTGTTATTTATTGTATAATGAGACGTTTATGTCACTCATACAACGTATCATTTTAAAACACAAATTATATTTGTACATTTCATGACCATTTCAATACTTGAAATAATAACTGTTTGACATACTTATTATCTAAAATATCTCCTTTAAGTTTCAAAGCACTATTATATTACAAAGCTTGTATACGAGTGCTATAGCTTTAAATATACAAGTAACACTCATTGTAAGTCTCACCAATGACTGCATTGTCCAGATCTTGTGGATTCTGTCTATTAGGATTCTTTAGTTGATCCAGGACAACATTCAGGACGTTTGCATCGGGACCATTGAGGATGAAGTGCTCCAAAATCCTGCCACAGACGACAAATGTAATCAACTTACCAAACTCAATTGATTATGTATATTCACCTGGCAGCCGCCAAAGTCACAGCCACACAGGTATCATTGTTCTGGGTGACCCTCACGGCCGTCTCTACTTTGTCCAACATCTCGCGACGTCCCGCAAAGAGGGCCACTATGGGTGCCAGTTTAGTGACACCATCCATTTGACAGTCCGTCTCAGAACCTTTAGTAGTAAACCATAATCAGCATGAGCACACAAATTAAACATGTGACAGTGCAGTGAGTAGAGAGTACCTGTTTCATCTTTGCCAGCATCCACATTTCTCATGAAGGCCTTCAGACTGCCGTTCCTCCATGGGCCATTAATGGGCAAGATGACTTTTGGACCTATGAGAATGAAAAGACTATATTTTATTACCCTACACTTTAGTCTGTTCACTTATTCCAGTCTGTCCTTGTTATTCAAATATCTATAATATGCTGTACAAACATATATATAGATTTAGATATTGGAACGTTCTCCACAATAGTATTAGTTTTGTCTTTGCTATAATTTATTACATTCCCTAATAGAACATAGTTAAAGCGGATACAGCAATATAAATATTTAAAAAGTGTAAATACTTTATACACCAATAAGAAAATACACATTACATTTACCATTACTATCTAAAAGATATTATTGTATTTGCCAATATACTAACTACGGTAGAATATCTTGACATGACAGCTGTAATGGATGAAGTGAGCTGCCTGTCCAGAGCCTATTGGAATATTCTGCTCTTCAAATGGATTACCAAGCTTGTACATAAACATGTTACTTTCTCCACAAAGACACACCAGTAAAATGTATGAGAAGGTAGAATAATCTCGCGGAAAGAGATTTCCCCAAAGGCTCCGACCGGAAAAACACAATCCTTCAGGAGCTAATGGTTTGCGCAGGTGGACACCGCACTAGTGACATGTTGTTTGTTACTTGTACCTTCTTTTGGCCTGTAAGGGTCATTCAGAGGCAAGTCATAAACGGTCCCAGGACCAAAGAACTCGTAGTAGCGCTTGGTCAGGTCTGCCACATCAACGTCTGCAGTAAAACAAGATAAAAGTATTTAACATAACATTTTTTATGTTTATGTCCACTTTATTTTGGCTCTGAGTAATTCTACTTGACAGTACAGTTGTGTGAAAGGTAGGAAAAATGGCAAAGGGAAGAATGTGAATTTGCAACACCACAACAACTCAAAGCGCTTCATTAATATTCATCAAGTACAGATGACTAACACTGTGTTTATATGTTTTCACTATTCCTTTTATGTGCCATCGAATCTGGCACAAGCAATCATCATTGCTTTATATTCACACATCCTCACAGAGATTTATCTGAGAAAACTTATGCCTTGAATGAGCAGTCCTGGTACATACAGTACTTCATAACTGAAATGTACTGATTCTTTTACCTCCACAGTGGCTGAGTGATTGCAGCAACACATAGGCCTGGTCTCCGTAGCAGGTCTGCTCTCCCGTAGTGCGTCTGTAAAAAGGGTTCGCAGACTCAGGTCTAAACTCAGGACTGGGCTCCAGCTCGGACAGCACTTCTTTGAGTTTGTCTGGGTTGTAGATCCAGTGCATGGGCTGAGCTGATCACACATGAAACATGCACAAGTGTACATATGTCACAACAACTATTTATTGAGAATATACAATTACAATTATATGGACACAGACTGTCACAGAAAATAGGCATTATCTAAACCATAACATTGACATCTACAGCTCAAATGTTGACATATTACAAATCAAACCTCTCTGCCATGGCAAAGATGTACATGCAATAAATATGTAGCCCAAATTATTGTTTTTTTTTCTCAATTTATACAGTAGAGAATTAGACTCAAGTAGCATTTATTCAGCTGGACATGTAACTGGACTTATCCTGAATGTCTGTGCCATAGCTGAAGAAATACAGAACAGAAAAGTTGCATGTGGCCTTTTTTATGCTGTGTTGAAATAAAACAGGCATTTTCTTTTTTCTTCATGTATCGTGGGTAAATAAAGCAGACAAGATGAGGCTTTTTATGTCCAAACTCTCATAAAAAAGATTGAGAGACAAGGTTTCTGTATTTGTATGCGTTATGTATCACTCCACATAACCTTGAGCACCATGGGCCCCATGCAAATGAGAAACCACCCAAGCATTTTATCTGCTCATACAGATGTGGCCTGCTCATGATAATGGCCATGTGTGAAAATAAAGGCTTCAGCAACATCTGTGCAGATTATGTGCACAGATCATTAAAGTAAAGAGCAAAAACACAGACACGTTAAACAAAAAGATGGCATGAATAAAACAGGCTATGCAAGTCTTTTCTTCCAAATGGTGCAGGTGCAGATGTTAGTCATTTTATTGCTTTACACCATATTTCAATTGATTGATAAAACTCCAAAAAAAATGTTGCTTTGGGTCATCCACATAGGGTTAAAAGGTTTTTATGTAGCTTTATTTCACCAAGAAAAATACAATAACCCATAGACAGGGCTTTATGCAATTCAAGTTAATAGATCAGGTCTATAATTACGCCATAAGATTTCCGAACAAAATGAACAAAGGATAAAATACTACATATTTTTAAACAAACACACTTTTGTATTTCTTTTATTCTTTTTTTAGGAGGCCTATTGTCTTGTTTTTTTCAATAGAATCATTGATTTTAATTTCACACAGTCATGTTTCTGATGCGTAGTCAACAGTGCGAACACTAGAGGTTGAATAAGATGTGTTTTATCTTACCTGCTGCATCTGCCACTGCTGCCCCAATAATGGCCCCAACTGCACGCTCTGCCACACTCACTGCCATCTGTCTCTGTGCAAAAAAATAACAAATTATTTATCAATGCTTTACTGCTCATGATACATACACCTAAAAGGTCTGTTTGCTGGAGATTAATGCTCCAAAATACAAAATTCAAAATGTCATCGGAAACTTGCATCAGTGTTCCTTCAAAATGTATGATGTACTGTAACTGTTGAAAGTCCTTTTCAAAGTAATATTAATAAACTATATTGGTATAACAACCCAGATTTGAATGCAATTTAATAATTATTGTAATCATGCTTTATATTTTTTGTTTTTCACCTTAGATTTTAAATGCTAAAGTGCAGTACAGAATTCAAAACAACAGATTCATTAATATGTCAATAAAATGAACAACATTTTCAACACTTTAGGCCTCCAAAATTACAGCGAAAAATAAGCATAGTCAAAATTGTATACAACAATTTAACAATTCACCTAAAAATATTGATAGTATCATATATACTCTAGAAATGTCTCTTTCTAATTGGGAATATGCACGTTAGGCTTACTCCAACACCGTATCTATATAGAAACAAAAAAAGTTCAGACACCCAAAAAAATGACAGCAGCTCCTTGTTTACCGTGTTTTAAAACAATAGATAAACTGGCTTTGAACATATTCATAGCATACAGTAAGTCATAAAAACAAAAACGCTATGGTAAAGCTAATGTTACTCACCAGTCTGGGGTGCACAGTCTCCTATAGTATACCTATACAGTCTCAAACTAGAGGCAGTTTTAATGAAGGGGGGGGGGGGTCTGGTGACGATTGGCCTCATACCACTGATAACCACAAGAGCAGGTCTCTGCAAGCGGATCATTCTCTATGCGCTTGATGATTTTGTGATGTAATTCAGTGTTTTGTCTTCACCGACTTCCATTTCTCAAATAACAATAACAGCACATGGTTGGAAGCACTCTTGCATTGAGAGAATGGACAACAATAAAAAAGTGATCATGCAGTTGAGCTAATTCAATCGTTAAATTATTTTTATACCATCTGTACCAGATTTTTAAATATACTAAACCTGCATCATGTCACCAATTTCATATGTAAACTTTGACTGGATTTTTAAAAGTAAAATGCACTATTTTCATCTTGCCGTCTTGATGTCTAAAGAAAAAATTGCATGATATGTTTTTTTTTCTAAATGGGAATATACACATAATAATACTTCTACAATAATATACTGAGAGACAAGGACTCGTTAGACCTGCCCATTTTCACTCCGCAGCCTCCTGATTGGACAAAATTAATTCAAATCTTTGAGGCCCATCTTATCAGTGTTAGTCCTGCTAATGGGAGTGGCTGCTTTCATTTTATTAGTGTTGAAAAATACTCATTGAACACAATAATAGTTGTGTCTCTTGGTCAGAACTATGCATTAATTTCAAAATTTAAGACAATTGAATTTGCCGACATCACCTTTACGCAAGGTCGTCATTTGTAGTGATCAATTGAAACCCTGACTTGCACAAGTGTAAGTCAGGGTTTCAGTGCCCACATAGACATATATCTTCCCTAAAGAGTCGCCCTATCCAGAAAATCACTTTAACAAATGTATTACCTTTAAATCCGAAACATCTCCATAGCACATAAGTCACATCCTTGCCAGAACCGGCTTAGCAGACTGATTGATTCTTCCCCATTGTGTGCAAATCATTTCTGGGTCCAACTTTTGCTAACACCCGTTTCTGAAATAGAAGATTTACAGATTCAGATTCAGATTCAGATTCATTTATTGGCCATGTGCAGTATAAAAACTACATTGGAATACATTTGCAAAAAAGGTACTCTGTGTGCACCGACAGAATAAAAAGCACGATACAATGTAATATAAAATACACATACACTGAATATAAAATAATAAAAAAATAAAAATAAAAAAAATAAATAAATAAAAAAACAGCTGACACTGTGGCACCGATCAACAAAACGATACAAGGGGTAAAAGCAGGAATTAAAGTGCTCTGTTTAGGCACCTAACAGCCTGTGGAAAGAAGCTGTTAGCATAGCGAGATGTCTTGCATCTCAGCGACTGATATCTTCTGCCAGAGGGAAGAAGCTGGAACATGGCTTTCCCAGGGTGGCCAGAAGAGTCATTGATGATTTTAAGAGCTTTGTTTAAAAGTCTGGATTTGTAAAGAACCTCCAGAACAGGAAGCTCACAGCCCACGGTCCTCTTTGCAGAGTGGAGCACCTTGTTTAAAGCTCTCTTTTCTTTATCTGTGATGTTTCCAAACCACACAGACACAGAACCAACAAGTAAACTCTCAATGGTGCAGCGATAAAAGTTAAGCAGAATCTTAGAGTTAGTGGTAAATTCTCTAAGTTTCCGCAAAAAGAAGAGCCGCTGACGTGCTTTCTTAACAACCCGGTTAGTATTTTCAACCCATTTCAGGTCGTTAGACAGAGTTAAACCCAGGAACTTGCACTCCTCTACGATCTGCACCTGGGAGTTGTCAATAACAACAGGAGTGTGAGAACTGCTACGACTGAAGTCAAAGACAAGTTCACATGTTTTTGCAGTGTTCAGCTGGAGATTACTGTAACATAAATTAGCATGCACGGGAGCATTTTTGGCATATATTAATAACAGCTACATTTAATCTTAGTAGAAAAACTCCCTCGCTCTTATTTGTCCCACTTCCAGTCCATTGCATTTACACTGTGGTTCTTACCAGATGATGCTCTACCGTTGTCCGTATAAGCAAAAAAAAATCTTGAAAGTCTCATCTCTCATGGGTATCTCCATTATTGATTTCTTGGCTCTCCTTTTAAACCTCCAAAATAGAGCACTAAGTCTTTGGTCGGCCAATCAATAACAGTTAGAAAACAATGAAAAAAAAGACAAACAATCGTGCCAATAAAGAGGATTACAGGAACATTTACAGCAGACACCTTTCCTAATCCTCCTGCTCGAAATATTTTATCCACAAATGCTATATATTTCAACATATAATGAAGAGTGGTATTTATAGCCGATTGCAGTGGAGTAATGACTGTGGGCCTGAGTAGTGGAATATCTATTGAGCGAGATACCCTGCCCTTCAGAGGGGATAATAGAGTTGCACAAAAAGACTGGCCACTGTCGCCAGATCGAGTGACACAAAAGCTCTAGAAATCACAGCCACAGCAGCAGAGTGGACAATGTGGATGAGGTGTATATGCACAATGTAGACGAGGTGTATGGTCTATATGCGCTATACTATGAGCTGATGGGACAGTGAGGCCTACATGTCAACCAAATACTGGCCAGGGAATATCAGAGGTCAAATCTGAGGGAAAATGTCAATCGTTTATGACAGACAGAAGCAAGTCAAGTGACAAATGACAAATCCCATACTGACATTTAATACGCTTTGCAGTTTCAGCGTTTTATGGTGACTATTAAGTTTCAATAGTGTTGAAGCTTGGATTCTTCTTCCACCAGATTTTGGTACGGTTCAACTCAATCATCAATTTTAAAGTGTTGTACCTTGTATTCCTCAGTTCTTACATCTTATGGGGAATTTTACTTTTGGTATGTGTATATTTTGTAGTACTTGAGATATTTGTCCATAAAGTTGTACTTTTTTTGATTTCATAATGGTATGTCAATGGCACTTTTTAAACACGTTTTATCTTTTGTTTTGGTTTATGTTTTGTATGTTTTTGATCTTGTTTTTTTACTTTTTTGTGGTAACTCAATTCTATAGCATAGTATTTAGTATCGCAGTACTTAAAGTACTTCAAACATTTCTATTTATTTCAATAGAAACTTATTCATAATGGTATCAAACATTGCATTACTTTTGGTACCTCTATAACTTTTCTAGTATTTGCAGTCATCACAGTGCTCCAAATTGTACTGTTTTTTGTTTCAATGAGTGCTATGTAATGTAGTACTTTGTTTTTGTTTAATGTATGCAATTCTATTTAAAAATGTGAAAATAATGTATGACAGACTCATTATAAAGTAAAATTCAGATGTATCAAGCTTTTCATTATTATTCTAATAATAGGGCAACAGCTAGTAAAAACTCTCGATGAAACATCTCAGAGAATAAGAATATTTAGAAAATGGAATGCAAGACATGGAAAAAGAAATGGCATATGGATTTTTGCATGTAATGAGTCTATATTATCAATTGGATTCACGTATGAAGTTGTAATGGAGAACTAAATGGAAAAAATATATATATATAATTTTAAATAAATAAATATTAATGAAGTTACAAAATAGTATATTACAGTTGTAGGAGCCAAAATGTAGTAAAGATACTTTGTACAGCCCCCATTGACGCTTTTGTCGCCATCTAGTGGACGCACTGGGGAAGGGCTACATAAGGTGTGCAGTATCACCTGGAGGTGTGGCTGCAGTAGGAAGAGACAGTCTTTGACCTCACTCACTCACTCACTCAGTCTCACATCTGCCTTTCATTTAGATTTTGGTACAATTGGAAGTACATTTTTTTGTTTGTAAAATAAATATAATTTTCATTATTCAAGAATCTTTTTTGTGGACATTTCTTATTTTTTATGTGGAGCGTCAGACCCTTTTTGCTCAGTCACCACAAAGAAAGGATTTTTTCTGACTCTACAACAGTGATTGGATTATTGATTAACTTAAAGGAGGAATAGTTTATATTAATGAACATTTTTACACAGTTGAATAAGCCAGATAGTTTTGGCTGGTGTTACACATTTACGGAGACTTTAAAGCTACGATAGTACCATATTAGAACCAAGGTTAGAACCAGTGGGGGCGGGTCCCGGCTCAAAAGTGGCCAAAATGATGTGCGCTGACATGCTTGCAATACCACCCCGGGCCGATGGGGGTGGACCCAGAAGTAGAATTAGCCAATGCTAACATAAGTATTGGCAGACCTCTCAAAAACGTCTTTACAGGATGGACCAAAAGTTGGCTCTTTGCCCAAAGCTCCGTTCCACATGTGTGTCAATGCTGAGGAGAGTTAATTTTTTTGGACCACTCTAGTTTACTTGCTGTGAATTTTTGAAGTCTCTCGTTCAAATGAATGGAGCTTGCGCCGGCTGACGCACTGACGGACTGCACTGTATGTTTTTGTGTAAGGTATAATGTTTAGAACGGAAAATAAGTACCCACAAGGCAAACCGCCCCAAAGATTTATTTAATGACTGTAAATAAAATAGTTCCCAAAGGTTTTCCCATTGCTTGGCAACGTGCCACACAAGCGTGGGTAGGTAAGTATCAGCTAGGCCAGATACTTATTTATATTGAACTGGACGTTCCCATTGAAGGTGCAGTTAAAGATGAGGAATAGTGGTGTATCTCTGGATAAGTTGAAAATCTGTCTCCCAGAGTCGGAGAAATTCCCTCAGCTTCTTTTGCAGAAACAAAAGCAGTGACTCTGGAAATGGATAACGCTAGCGTATATGCTGAACAGGGCTTGAAGGACAGAAGAAGAAAATAGAAAGCTTGTTGATAAAAAGGCTGGACTACATGTGGAGTGATCTGATACATGTGAATTACAAGCCCAAATTGTATTGCCATTGGCAGCAGCCATTATTGGTTCCAGAGGTCTGTTATCAAAGAAAAACGACCGGTAGAATATTTTGAAATTACATTAAAATCAATGGAGCGTTCTACTTCTGCTGTGAAGCTGTTTAATAAAAAATAACAAAAATTAAACAAATTGTCACGTGGAAGAAGCTGTACTGTAAATGATCCCAAACCAGGGATCTCTTTTACACTTGTATGTCTCAAAGTTGCCAAAAGTCACCAACTCGATTCAACAGTTGGTCTCCTCACAAATA